CCATGGGATAGAAATTTCTGGTACATAAGCGAAAAGCTTGTAAAAGATCAGTTTTCACTTCAGATGGCTATTTTAGTAGTTACTAGGATGTATAAACTAGTAGACTCTTCCCTAGTCAATACTTCATAGCCTCCAACTCTGTTCAAAGCTAATTCCAATAATAATCTGTTCATGTTTCTCGAATCCATCATAAATTTCACAACTCTAAAGTTTTTAACATAAATCAGGTTTCTTTCGTCGAACTCTTCAAAATAATTCTTGCCTAAAAAGTCATGAATAGCTTCTTGTTTCTATAATTTCCATATACGAACCGCTCATTTTTTTTCAAAACATTTCCATAATTTAATCTTTTCTTTCTTTCAAACACGTTCCTTCTATTTTGGTATTCTTTCCATTTTGATTGTGTAAATACAAGATTCTACGCTTCAAATTAGTTTTTTCAGCAAAAAAATATTCTTACCCTCAAAAAAAATCATTGCTTTTAAAATCATTCAGAATATTCAAATTGACGATTGTGGACATACAAAAAAAAACCTTTCTAAAACCAGTTTCGAGTAGTTCTCATGAGATGTTATTTCGTTAAAAAAATAATCATTTGATTTTTGCACAAAAATTCTTTTCTTTATTTTTATTCCTTCTCGCGAATATTCACGGACTCATCATAAATCAATGTGTGGATGACGAAATTTGTTATGCAAATCTTTTTTTTGTGCCTTTTTAAGACACTTTTGGATATGAGGGTAAAGAACTGTCTGTTTGTCTGGCTGGATTTGATGGGTTGTTGTTATTGACACATCTCCTCATTCCACCTCCTCTGAAAGCAAAGTGCTGTTCAAAGTTGTCAACTTCCCTAGCATATCCTTCCCGAAAGTGCGTGTGAGTGACCGGGGCATAGTTGAAAATAGGAGCCTTTTTGATTTTCAACAAAAAGTTTGGGCCTAAGCCCTGGTCACTTCCCCAACTAAACTGATAATGCTATTTTCCATTCAAATCTATTTTTATCTGATTTACATAAATATTGATTAGCAATAAATCACAAAAATATTCACATCCAGCAATTTTCATTATAATAAACAATTTTAAAGCTAGTCAAATGCGTCGAAAAATTTTACATTTTAGCTAGTGACCTCACACAACACGTTTCTGTAGCTATATTTTAAGATCTTTGATGTCGAACAAAATTATCACAGAAAAATAGATTGAAGAAGTATAAAATTTACTGTCATTCCTTTTTAAAAATACTTTGTTATGAATATTCAATATAAAAGATCTTTTTATGAAGCACGCCTTTAACTTCGTCAGTAAAAAGTCAATTTTTCATCAAATAAAAAAAATATTTTCTTTAATCCCCGAAAAGCGTAAAAAAAATTCAAACTTGTTTCTGCTTCTAAATTTGCACAAAAAGGTTTTATATTTATTTTCAGACTTTTATGATTACTGAATTGGCCATGACATTTGAATGTATAGGGGAGACATTCATTCTTGCCAGAATTCTCACAAGTTTAAAATTTCAAAATATCAACATTTAAAGTCGCACATGTGTTTGTGTGCCTTTGTGAATCGCATTCTTTTTTTTTGTTGGTTCGAAATAAGAATGTAAATAAGCCTCTCGGTCTCATTAACAAGAAGACTATAATTCTTTACGGTTTTCTTTTCCATCCAAATGTGCGCACAAAAATGTATGTGAATGAGATAATCGTTGTCTTCATCTTCATCTTCTTGATTCATACATAATATTATTTTTTTTTTGTGTATACATTGTGTTGCGAATAGTATGACTGATTATTCAGTGGTGGATTAATAAGAAATTCCTTTTCATTAAATTAATTGTAACAATGGGCAGAGAGGCTATATATAGCAAAGCAGAAATGCTCAATTATTCACCTCGTTTGTGCTTCAATTGCTTTGAATCGATACTTTATTGCTTCTTGATTATGAGATGGTGCTTATTTTTTTCTTTATGTTTCTGGATTAATGAATATTTTCTGTGCAATATGGCAAACTTTTTTAATGCGTTCTGGTTAAAGCATCTATAAAGCATTTTTTTGACATGCAAGAGAGGGATCCATAAATTCTTAGATTTTTAATGATGTTGTTTGATTTATTTGGAATTTGGCTATGATTCAGGCAGTTGGCAGAACTCAAGTGTACACATCAATGTAAATTTGTCAACAAAATTCGAATCCTTGTCATATTAGCTTCCAGGTTTGATATTTGAGATGGTCAGCTTTTACTAAGAATCGAACACACGTATTTTCAAAATAACATTAAAAATTAATCTGTTGTCTAGCTGCTAGACTACAGAGAACTTAATTTATCGATATTTATCACACAACACAATAGATTTTGCCATTATTTTGTGGTTTATATTTTGGAATAGTCTTTTAGGTCTTGCTCAAGTTCTAATATTTAAGCTAATCAAACTATAATCTGCAATATCAAAGTTCTAATATTTAAGCTAATCAAACTGAAATCTGCAAAATTAGAGCTTTTTTCAAGCTTTTTCTAATAAGATTCACTTCAGTAAATCAAGTAAAGACCCAAATTCGACTTGTAATTGACAACTGTCAACAGCTTTAGTTGCCTAGATCTTAGGTTTCCTATGACAAGCCTAAATCGCTTCAAACTCAACATTCCCAATTGATCATAATTTCTAACAATCACAAACTTCATTTATAGCAGAGCTCGAAGTCAACTCGAGATTATCCTCAATTTTTTGTGTCGGAGTCAACTCGGCTCCATCCAAAATTTAATCGACTTAGAGCTCTGATTTATACAGAACCCCTCATTTACATAAATCTTCAAGAAAAAATTCCTTTCTTTATTACTGAATAAATTAGTCACCAAAAACAAGATTTTCTTCAAAGATGTTGCATCAGAATCACAATCTGGTTATAGCCAGTTATGCAACAGCAAGAAAATAAATTTTTATCAATTTTTATAGATTATTCAATCCGGATATACCATCTTGAATTCTATAAAAAAAATCAATACAATAAAAAATGTTTCATGCCACATGAAAACATCCCATAAAGATTAAATCAATAAAATGTGTAAAGAAGAAATGCCTCATAACGATTTGTTTCTACTCACCTAATAAAAAAGAAGGTCACGATAAACGCACATTAGTATTTGAAGGTCGAGGACATTTGATAAGTTAATTTTTTTATTTTCATTCATGTAATTTTTGTTTTTGTGTTTTTTTGTCAACACAAGTGGCTACCCGGCTTTTATACTGCTATGCACTCTCATCTTTCTCTCAATTATTTTTTTGAGTATAAAAGAAATTTCCTCTCACAATAGAACTCGGGTTGAGGAAATGTTGGACGCATGTGGAAAAATCATATGATTATTGAGTGAAAATATTTTTTCTAAGTAGAGCAGACGTGTCAGACGAAATTTGTTAACAAAAAAAAAATAAGTGGAATATTAATTGAGCAATAGCTATAAATATGTGATGATTTTACATAAACACCAAAGACTGATTGAAATATTTTTGATGTGGATAGACTCAATTATTGTGAAAATTAATTTTTTTCTGCTCTCTCAAATTTTTTTTTTTAATGGTAGTAAGAAATAACCTCAAGTGAGACACAGTGACAAAAAATATAAATTTTATTCTCTTCCCTAAAGGCCGTAAAGTTATTAACCTTAATGATTACAAAATAATAAATAAAAGTAATAAAGTGAATGAAAATTTCTCCCGAGAAATCAAAAGAAATCTCTCGAATTTCATCATCATCATCATTTTTGAGAGAAGAAGAAATAATTGATTCTATGTCGCATTGCTAAAAATAAAAGGAAAAAAATATTTTAAGGCATAAAAGCAACATTTTTGAACTTTTTTTTTTGTTAATTTTTTAATGTGTGAAACGCGAAAAGTAAAAAGAATACAAAAGAAAAAGGGAAAGTGAAGAAGAACTTAAAGAAATAGATTCTATAAATCGCGATTCCGCGACGACCGTGAGAGATGGAGAGGAAAAATGAATATAATTTTGCTTATGAATTCAGGGTTAGTTAATTAACTGTGACTGTGTACAGAGTTGGCAGTTATTAATTACTAATGTGACATAATCCTTGGAAATTGTTTGAAAAATTCCCTACCAGATGTTGACTTATTGTGCATGATTTCAAAACGAGTTTTCTTTATTATTGACAGTCATACTAATTGGACTGTTTCATGTTTCTAAAAATACAATTTCTGTGACTTCTGTCATAAAAAATATCTAGTCTCTTATCAAAGTTATCTCGATTCAACATGATCTGGTGTGTGAAGTTAAGGTTTACGAGTTTTTGGATGTTCAAATCTTAAAAACCAGTTAACCATTGTTTGAAGATCAAACTGGAAGTTCTGTATGTGAAAAGACAATATTAAGCAAATTGCATTTGATGGGAATCGAACCCACTTCCTCAAAAGAGCTAATTTCTGATTGATCAGTTAAAGATCCTTAATACTCTTCCACCCAGACATTTGCTTTACTTCTGCTATCAGGCAAACACATACAACAAGATTCACTTCGAGCACTATGACCAAACCTATCTTCTTTATCTGTTTCTGTTCTTTTCAAGTTTTCAATGGTGCTTGTTAAAATCTGATCAGCACATGATATTTGATCTTATTTTTATATTGTCTGACTACCTTCAGGACAATCTCACATCTATACGATGTTTTGTCTTCGACATCATAATGTAATATATCATTTGAGCACTATCAAGGGTACTTGACAGATCGAAAAGATCAAAAATTATCAAAAATCAGTTCCAAAACCTTAAATTTACTATTATGCACCTCTCAAAGAGTTCACAAACATAATTACCCCAAAAAAATCTTCAAAACAACATTCCTTCCTTGTTGTCAACAATTTCGAATATTAATGACTGACCAACTCTGACTCATACAACTGTAAAAATTCATTTCATACACGAGTTGTACAAAAATACAACGTTCATAATTAAATCCAATTAATCAAAATACATTTATTTTTGTCGATTATCAACAGCGCTATGCAGAAAGCTTACGCAAACCACTGAGAACTTTCAGACAGAGTTCAATTACAGAAGAATTTGTGGTTGAAGATTCGCAGAATGAGAATGTGGCAAGGTTTGTACACAATTAAATCCAATTAATTAATCTCTTGATTTCATTTCTTCTTTATTTTATTAATTCGACAAAAAAAAACAGAGCTGGAGATCCTCAAACACAAGAAAGACAGCTATTATGGAAGATACTGAATGTATTGGGCATAAAAGATCCAAAAACAGGAAATACTTTGACCGTTCATGATGCCATAAAATTGAAACTATTTGACTTGAATAGCGGAACACTTCGTATAGAGGGGCAGGATACATTAAGCATTGACGATGCTCTGAAACAAGGTATTATTGATACACAGATGTGTGATAATTTGAAGACATTAAATGATCTTTCGAAAAAATATGAAATTACAATTGGCGATACTGAAAGTACGAAAGTCGAGACCGTAATCCATGGAGATGGAAGTTTTGATGATACTGATGGATCAGAAAGTCGCGTAAAGGTAATAAAATTTAATGAAAATGGTGCAAAGAGTTTTGCTGAAGCTATTGACAATGGAATTGTCGATTCAGCATCTGGTCTTTATCGTCTTAATGATGGTACATATATAACAATTGCGGAAGCCTTAAAATTCGGTTATTTGATAAGAAATGAAACGGTCAAAATCAAATCGACAGCAATAAGTTTCTCCGATGCTCTAACACGTGGATTATTTGATGAGCATGGCTACATGATGGATCGTAATTCCGGCGACAAATATCAATTACATTCGGCTATCGCGAACGGTTTAATTAATGAAAATTTGCGTGAAATTATTGATACAAAGAATGACTCGAAGGTCGCTGTTAAAAAAGCTATAGAAATCGGTTTACTTGATTCAAAGGCAGGTCTATTTAGGAATTCACTCTCAAATGATAAATGTACATTCAATTATGCGCACAATAGTCATTTGATAAGCAAACCATTAACGTTTAAGGACGTCTATGACTTGTCATTAATAAAAGACAATTGCAGAATTCTCTCACCGACATTCTCACAATGGCTTTCAATTCAAGAAGCTATTGATGCCGGTGTTTTAGATTATGATAACTATAAATGCATAACAAAAGAAAAGGGGAACCTCGTCACATTACGTGAGGCAATTGAATGTGGTGTTATTACTTTAGATGGAAATTATAAAGATATTGTTACGAATGAAGTTATAAGCATTAAAAGTGCTGTTGAGCGTGGCCTTATATCATCCGTTTCACAAAAATCCATTTTTGATATCGATGGCTTTAAAGATCCTAAAGAGGAATGTTTTGTGTCTTTAAATATTGCCTTACAAAAGCGTATCTTGCGTCGAGACGATAAACATTTTGTTATAACCGCAAGCGGTAATAAGTTTTTTACACTTAATGATGGCGTTGAGTCGGGCTTAGTCCGGCCGGAAGTCTATTCTATGTTAATGCGTCATATTGGTGTTTTTGATGAGGACAGAAATGAATTGCGTGTAATTGATTTAGTTTTTTATAAGCTCATTGATCCAATTAGTGGATATTTAATAGACATTCAAACAAAGTCCAAACTTCCCCTTGATTTGGCAATTGAAAGACAAATGATTACAGCACCAGGTGCCCTTTTGCTTAGCAGCCTACTCAATATAACACTTACGACGGAAACAATCACAAAAACTATCAAACGTTATGTAACAATAAAAGATCGCGAAATGATTGACAACCAGATAGAGGCAGAGCATGCAAATCCATCATTTTCTGAGGCGGTACAGAAAGGCCTTATTAGCATTGATGAACAAACATACCATCAGCCAGAAGAAGAGAAATATTATATGGTACAAGATGCCCTCAATAGAGATCATGTATTGGCGGATACAGAGAAATTCAATGTCAGTGGCGGTGCCAAGACAGCCACATTAACAATCATCACAAAATCATTTTTGCCATCGAATGGCGCAGCATCAACAACAATTATGAGACAACCACAGGAATTGCCACAACAAAAGTCGACAATAAAAATATTAAAGAAAATGCAAAAGAAGGTTATTAGCCTCAGTGACGCCTTACATATGGGCTTAATAAATGAAGAAACATACGAATTGTTGGAGAACAATGTGACATTTGCACACAACCCAGATTCATTCTTAAAAAGTAAGAAGTATAAGGTTAAAGACCCTCAATCGGGCCTCAATTTAACACTGGAGGAAGCAATTGAGCGAGAAATTTTGAATCCAAATGACATTACGAAATTCCACATTCCATTTTGTAGAAGTTTAACAATTCCACAATTGATTGAACGTGATTTATTGGATATTCAAAGTCAAATGATTATTCATCCTGAGACTGGAGATTTACTAACATTGAATGAAGCCATTGCATGTGATATTGTTGATAAATATTCACTAATACGAAATGATAAGAAGCACAAAATTACATTGAAGGAAGCATTAAAGTTCGGTTATATTGATGGGCATGCTCAAATTGTTATCAAGTCAAAGAAGGGTGATTTAAACGTTCAGACAGCAATCGAACGCGGTCTGTTTGATGTTGAGAAATCACCAAGTAAGGAAAAAGGTGTTGATGTGTCTAAAAATATTCCATTAATTGGACAAACTTTCCCAATTGTCGTTAAGCGTCGTCTCTTTATTCTTGAAACTCAAGAAGTTATTCACATTATTTCTGGTAAGAAAATCCCTCTAAAATATGCAATTGAATCTGATTATATAATGTCAGTTCCATGCGTTCCAAATGTTTATGAAATGTTCATTCCTGATGCAATCGATCAAAACTTGGTTGATATTGATTTTGGGACATTTACATGTCCACAAACGGGTGAAATTATGACTTTACAAGATGCTTATAGTCATGGTTATTTATATGCTAAACCATTACATGCTATTATATCTCATGAGTCATTAAACTCGACACAAATAACGAAGGAAGTTAAAAATATTTCACATACTGTAAAGACAAAAAGCATTGATATACTGGATGGATTCACAATGGTTTCAGCAAATGAAATTACAAATAATAAATCGGGAGAATCATATACATTAGAGCAGGCAAAAGAACAAGGAATTGCTATTGAAAGAAATGAAGTAAATGAATTTACAACGAAAGAGTTTGAAAATTTGTCTGAAGGTGAAGTGTCACGAACACCAGTCGAATCTGAATTTACAAAAACTACAGACTTATCTACCAGATTCGATGATAATGAGAATCAAGAAATGGAAATTTCACAATTGGAAGAAAAGCACATAAAGACAATTAAGAAAATCACAATTATTAAGGAGATCAAGTATGATGAAAATGGAAAGGAAATCATCACTGAATCAGTTGACAATGAACCTGAAATATTTGAAAGAAACATGCCAACAGCTGACAAAGAATTTGATGAAATGTTTAAGAAGTTCAAGCAAGAAAATCCCGATTTTGAGCAAGAAGAAATTGTTACGCAAACTGTGAACAACGAGACAACAATCACCAAGGTGATTAAGGAATACAACATAACAAGAAATGAAACAGAATTTACCAGATCAGAAGATATTGAGGAAGCTGAAGAAGCATTTGAATTTGAGGAAAATACTAAACCGACTGTTAAAGAAGTCAGTCCAGGTCCTAAAGGAACACTCATTTACAGTGAAAACTTGGAGAGTCTTCCACGTGATTCATCATCACACGAGACAGTCACATCATCAAGGACAATAACGAGAACAACTAAGTTCATCACTATGCCAGAAAATGAAATTAATATTTTGGTCGATAATGAAAGGCAAAGAAATGACCAACCAATTTCACAAGATACAAATGTCTCAGAAACAACAACAGTCGAAGAATTGCCAGACGAAAATCGTAAAAAAATTGTCATTACAACGACACGTGTCATTACAAAGAAACCAGAAAATGAGAGTGAACAAATTGTCGTAAGTGATCCACAGCAATCATTGCCCTCAGATGTGACAGAAAATATTGTAAATGAGCCAATAATTGAAGGCGATGATACAACTTCCCTCACAAAAACGAAAACAATCATAATTTCAACTATAAAGGCATTTACTGAAAGAACTGATAATAATCAACAGCTTCCATTAGAGGAACAAACGCCTGATGAGATCATTAAAGACGAAGAAAAAGTGACAAAATCTGACATTGAAAATGTTTCGACATTTACTAAAAATATCACTGACATCACATCTCAATTTATTGATGGCGAGAGAACACAAATCATTACTCCAATTCCTGCTCCAAGAAAGAAGAAGCCAGTCGAGGAATTTAAACCAGATGAGAATGAAACTGTCGATCAAACCGATGAGATTAGTGAGACATCCACAAAAACAGTTGTTATTACAAGAATTACGAAAACATTTATCGAAGGCGCTGATAATGAAGTAAGCACATCCGATGATACAGAAAAAATGAAGCATATTGAGCATATCATCGATGAACAGCTTGCAAAATCCACAGAACAAGTTAAATTTGATGAAAAAGTCGTTGAAGAACCACAACAATTAATAAAAGAAGACAAAATTAAGCATGAACCAATTGTTGAAAAGAAAGAAAATCTAGAAAAGGAACCACCAAAGCGCAAAGACAAAAAGAAGAAGAAGGACAAAGTCCCTGTTGAGCCTACAAAAGAAAAAGAAAAGTCTCCAAAACCAACTGATGAACAGCATCATGGTGGTATCTCGGATATGATGAAATCATTAGTCACAAGAACTAAAGTAATTACTTCTAAAATTGTTGGAACAAAAGATTCAGATACGAAAGATGCACCTGAAGAAGTTCCAAAAGACATTCAAAGAGAACTCACTCCTGAAAAGATTGTGGAACCAGCTGATGATAAAGATGATAAAGAATTGTCGCAAACCACAACAACAACAACTATCATCAGAAAAACAACTATTTACGGTTCCAAAACTTTAGAAAGTGAAGAACTTGAAAAACCATTTGAGCAAATTCCAGAAGAACAACCAGAATCTACAAGTGATGTTAAGATCGTTGAAGAGATTCCAAACGAACCAGAAACTGTTCAATTAACGGAAGATAATAAACCAAAAATTGATAAAACAGAAACATCAACAAAAACAATTGTAACCACATCAAGAGTCTTCGATTTTATTGAAAACGAAAAATATCAATTCAGTACTCAACCTGTGGAGACAGTCACACAAAAAGAAATTAGAGAACCAATAAAGGAAGAATCGATTCCGAAGAAAGATGAACCTAAAGAAAAGAGCAAGAAGCATCGCAAAGGAAAACGAGAACCACCGAAAGAAACCTCACTGCAACTTCCTGAAAAGAACGATGATAAAGTTCTCGATGAAGAATCCGAACCAAAAGATGAATCTTCTGGTCTATTTGGAGCTATAAGAAAAATATCCAAAAAGACAAAAGCTACAACAACAAAAATAAAGTCAAAGTTCATTGGATCGAGTGATAGTTATGATATACATCATGAAGGAGAAGAGGAAACTTCGGAACCTGAAATTAAAAAGTCAAAACAAGAAATCAAACCAGTTGAAATACCCAATGTAGTAGTTCCAGAAGAAGTTACTAAGCAAACAGAAAAGTTTATCGATACCAGTTCTGAAACAACCTCTTCTCAAACAGTAATCACAAAAACAACAGTGATCACATCTTATATCACTCAAGAGGATGGCACTGAAATAATCGAAGAAAAATTACCAGTCATGGAATTCTCAGAGCCTAATGATTCTGAAATAATTGAAACTCTGAAGCCAGGAAACTTTGAAGTTGTTCAAGCTCCAAAAGAAGATGTTAAACTTCAAGAACAACCAATTGAAGATTTAACCACAACTTCTAAAACTACAACATCAGTATTCAAAACAATAGTTCAACAACCTCAAGGATTTGATCCTCTACAAATGTTCATTAACAATGAAAAAGTTTTCCATCCAGATGAAACTGTTGAACCCAAATTAGTAGATAAACCTGAAGAAACTTCTGAGCCACAAAAAGTAAATAAACTAGATGAAGTTCCTTCAAACGATGACTTTAAAGTAGATGATCAATCAGAAATCTCAAATGTTATGAAAACGATCATTACAAAGACAACATTCATATCGTCGAAGATAATTGATTCAAATGAAACAAAAGATGATCAAGAGCCAGAAAAACCACTTCAAGTTGATCAGAGAATATCACAAGAAAAAGATGTTAAAATCTTGGAAGAGATTTCAAAACAACCAGAAACAAAAGAACCAATAACTGAAACAATTACATCTAAAGATGATAAGAAGAGTAAGAAGCATCGTAAAGGAAAACGAGAACCGCCAAAAGAGATACCGGTGCAACAAGAAAAAGTTCCTGAAAAGAAGGATGAAATGGTTCCTGAAGAACCAAGAGATGAATCTTCTGGTCTCTTTGGAGCTATTAGAAAAATTTCGAAAAAGACAAAAGCTACAACATCAATGATCAAATCAAAAATTATTGGAACTAATGATAGCTATGATGTACAGCCACCAACAGAAGTTGAAACGTTAGAACCTGAGACAAAGAAGTCTGAACCAGAATTCAAAAAAGTTGAAGAACCAAAGGCAAAAGTTCCTGAAGAAGTCACAAAACAAACCGAGGAATTTGTCGAAACTGAAACAGACTCTACCATAACAAAAACGGTAATCACAAAGACAACAATATTTACATCCAATATCACCCAGGAAGATGGAACTGAAATCTTCGAAGAAAAATTACCAGAAAATCTACAAGTGATGGAAATTCCTAAGTCTGAGGATTTGCAACCTGGTAAATATCCAAAGGAATACATCAAACCTGAAGAAGACTCGACAACTACAATTACTACCACACTAATTAGCACAAAGATTCAAAGTTTTGATCTTCTTCAAATGTTCCTTAACAATGAAAAAATTTTCCATCCAGATGAAACTGTTGAGCCACAAAAGTTTGTTAAAGCAGATGAAGTTTCTACACTAGACAAACCTGTTACTGAAGATAAGATCGTAACAGAACAAAATGACAAACCAGAAATATCAGATGTTATAAAAACAATCATCACAAAGACAACACTGATTTCATCGAAAGTAATTGAACCTGAAGATAGTAAAGAACCTGAAAAACCAGAGATATTGTCACAAGAAATTGTTGAATCTCCAAAGAATGAAAAGATCTTGAAAGAGCTTCCAAAAGAACCAGAAACAAAAGAATCCTTGCCAGAAACAGTTGAGTCAAAACAAGATGAAAAACCGCAATTCGATACAACAGAAACCACATCAGAAACATTCGTAATTACTTCAAGAACTGTCGATTTTATTGACAACGAAAAATATCAATTCACTCAACCTATCGAGAATATTGAACCTTTGAAGAAAGAATCAGTTCCCAAAAAAGATGAACCTAAAGAAAAGAGCAAGAAGCATCGCAAAGGAAAACGAGAACCACCGAAAGAAACCTCAGTGCAACTCCCTGAAAAGAAGGATGAAAAAGTTCCTGATGAAGAATCCGAACCAAAAGATGAATCTTCTGGTCTATTTGGAGCTATAAGAAAAATATCTAAAAAGACAAAAGCTACAACAACAAAAATAAAGTCAAAAATAACTGGAACGAATGAAAGTGAAGAACCACAAACAGAAATTGAAAAGTTAGAACCTGAAATTAAGAAGGCAGACCCAGAAACCAAACCAGATGTTGAAGCAATTAGAGAAGTTCCTGACCAATGGGAGGAATTTGTCGAAAACAGTTCAGACTCAACTATTACAAAAACAGTAATTACAAAAACAACCGTGATTACTTCTCATATCATTCAAGATGATGGAACTGAAGTATTCGAAGATAAAATGCCGGAAAATATTCAAATTGTGGAAACCTCAAAACCAAAAGATTCCGAAATTATCGAAACTCTTGAGCCTGAAGACTTTGAAATTATTGAAGCTCCAAAAGAAGATGTTAAACCTCAAGAACAACCAATTGAAGATTTGACTACAACAACCAAAATCACAACAAAAGTAACTAAAACAACAATTCAGCAACCTCAAGGATTTGATCCTCTTCAAATGTTTATTAACAATGAAAAAGTATATCATCCTGATAAATCGGTTGAGCCACAAAAAGTAGATAAACCAGATGAAGTTCCATCACAAGACAAGCCTATCACTGAAGATAAGATCCTAACAGAACAAAATGACAAACCAGAAATATCTGATGTTATGAAAACGATCATCACAAAGACTACAATCATTTCATCGAAAGTAATTGAACCTAAAGATAGTAAAGAACCTGAAAAACCAGATGAGATATTGTCACAAGAAATTGTTAAATCTCCAAAGGATGATAAAATCTTGAAAGAGATTCTAAAAGAACCAGAATCGAACGAATCCTTGCCAGAGACAGTTGAATCAAAGGAAAATGAAAAACCGCAAGTCGATACTACTGAAACTACATCAGAAACAATCGTAATTACAACAAGAACTGTCGACTTTATCGACAACGAAAAATATCAATTCACTCAACCTATCGAGAATATTGAGCCAGTCACACAAAAAGAGGTTACAGAACCTTTGAAGAAGGAAACAGTTCCCAAAAAAGATGAACCTAAAGAAAAGAGCAAGAAGCATCGTAAAGGAAAACGAGAACCTCCAAAAGAGGCACCGGTTCAAATACCTGAAAAGAAGGATGAGAAAGTTCCTGACGAAGAACAAGAACCAAAAGATGAATCTTCTGGTCTGTTTGGAGCATTTAGAAAACTATCTAAAAAGACAAAAGCTACAACAACGAAAATGAAATCAAAAATTACTGGAACGAATGAAAGTGATGATAAAAATCCACAAACAGAAATTAAGAAGTTAGAACCAGGAGTCAACCCAAATGATGAAGCTATAAGAGAAGTTCCTGAACAATGGGAAGAATTTGTTGAAACTAGCTCGGGCTCAACTATTACAAAAACAGTAATCAGAAAAACAACAGTGATTACTTCTCATATCACTCAAGAAGATGGCACTGAAATTATCGAAGAAAAATTACCTGAAAACCTTCAGTGCGTAGAAACTTCAAAATCCAATGATTCGGAAATAATTGAAACTCTGAAGCCAGAAAACTTTGAAACTGTTCAAGCTCCAAATGAAGATGTTAAACCTCAAGAACAACCAATTGAAGATTTAACCACAACTACTAAAACTACAACACCAGTAATCAAAACAACAATTCAGCAACCTCAAGGATTTGATCCTCTACAAATGTTCCTCAATAATGAAAAAATATTCCATTCAGATGAAACTGTTGAGCCACAAAAGTTAGTTAAAGCAGATGAAGCTTCATCACAAGGTGAACCTGTTACTGAAGATAAAATCGTAACAGAACAAAATGACAAACCAGAAATATCTGATGTAATGAAAACAATCATCACAAAGACTACACTCATTTCATCGAAAGTAATTGAAACTGAAGATAATAAAGAACCTGAAAAACCAGATGAGATATTGTCACAAGAAATTGTTGAATCTCCAAAGAATGAAAAGATCTTGAAAGAGCTTCCAAAAGAACCAGAAACAAAAGAATCCTTGCCAGAAACAGTTGAGTCAAAACAAGATGAAAAACCTCAAGTCGATACTACTGAAACTACATCAGAAACAATCGTAATTACATCAAGAACTATCGATTTTATCGACAACGAAAAATATCAATTCACTCAACCTATCGAGAATATTGAGCCAGTCACACAAAAAGAGGCTACAGAACCTTTGAAGAAGGAAACAGTTCCCAAGAAAGATGAACCTAAAGAAAAGAGCAAGAAGCATCGTAAAGGAAAACGAGATCCACCGAAAGAAACCTCAGTGCAACTCCCTGAAAAGAACGATGATAAAGTTCCTGACGAAGAATCAGAACCAAAAGATGAATCTTCTGGTCTATTTGGAGCTATAAGAAAAATATCTAAAAAGACAAAAGCTACAACAACGAAAATAAAATCAAAAATAACTGGAATGAATGAAAGTGATGAACCAAAACCAGAAATTGAAAAGTTAGAACCTGAAATTAAGAAGGTAGACCCAGAAACCAAACCAGATGTTGAAGCAATTAGAGAAGTTCCTGACCAATGGGAGGAATTTGTCGAAAACAGTTCAGACTCAACTATTACAAAAACAGTAATCACAAAAACAACAGTGATTACTTCTCATATTACTCAAGAAGATGGAACTGAAGTAATCCAAGATAAAATGCCGGAAAATATTCAAATTATGGAAACCTTAAAACCAAAAGATTCTGAAATTATCGAAACTCTTGAGCCTGAAGACTTCGAAATTATTGAAGCTCCAAAACCAGATGTTAAACCTCAAGAACAACCAATTGAAGATTTGACTACAACAACCAAAATCACAACAAAAGTAACTAAAACAACAATTCAGCAACCACAAGGATTTGATCCTCTTCAAATGTTCCTTAACAATGAGAAAATATTCCATCCAGATGAAACTGTTGAGCCACAAAAAGTAGATAAACCAGATGAAGTTCCATCACAAGATAAGCCTGTCATTGAAGATAAGATCGTAACAGAACAAAATGACAAACCAGAAATATCTGATATTATGAAAACGATCATCTCAAAGACTACAATCATTTCATCGAAAGTAGTTGAACCTGAAGATAATAAAGAACCTGAAAAACCAGATGAGATATTGTCACAAGAAATTGTTGAATCTCCAAAGGATGATAAAATCTTAGAAGAGATTTCAAAAGAACCAGAAACAAAAGAATCCTTGCCAGAGACAGTTGAATCAAAGGAAGATGAAAAACCGAAAGTCGATACAACAGAAACTACATCAGAAACAATCGTAATTACAACAAGAACTGTCGACTTTATCGACAACGAAAAATATCAATTCACTCAACCTATCGAGAATATTGAGCCAGTCACACAAAAAGAGGTTACAGAACCTTTGAAGAAGGAAACAGTTCCCAAGAATGATGAACCTAAAGAAAAGAGCAAGAAGCATCGTAAAGGAAAACGAGAACCTCCAAAAGAGGCACCGGTTCAAATACCTGAAAAGAAGGATGAGAAAGTTCCTGGCGAAGAACAAGAACCAAAAGATGAATCTTCTGGTCTATTTGGAGCATTTAGAAAACTATCTAAAAAGACAAAAGCTACAACAACGAAAATAAAATCAAAAATAACTGGAACAAATGAAAGTGATGAACCACAAACAGAAATTGAAAAGTTAGAACCTGAAATTAAGAAGGTAGACCCAGAAACCAAACCAGATGTTGAAACAATTAGAGAAGTTCCTGACCAATGGGAGGAATTTGTCGAAACCAGCTCAGACTCAACTAATACAAAAACAGTAATCACAAAAACAACAGTGATTACTTCTCATATCACTCAAGATGATGGAACTGAAGTATTCGAAGAAAAAATGCCGGAAAATATTCAAATTATGGAAACCTCTAAACCAAAAGATTCCGAAATTATCGAAACTCTTGAGCCTGAAGACTTTGAAATTATTGAAGCTCCAAAAGAAGATATTAAGCCCGATGAAAAGCCAATTGATGGTTCAACTATTCAATCATCTACCACTATAGTAATCAGCAATAAGTTTGAAAGACCACAAGGATTTGATCCTCTTCAAATGTTCCTCAACAATGAGAAAATATTCCATCCAGATGAAACTGTTGAGCCACAAAAAGTAGATAAACCAGAAGAAGTTTCCTCACAAGATAAGCCTGTCACTGAAGATAAGATCCTAGAAGAACAAAATGACAAACCAGAAATATCTGATGTAATGAAAACAATCATCACGAAGACAACATTGATTTCGTCGAAAGTAATTGAAACTGAAGATGACAATAAAGCTGTTGAACCTGCAGAGAAAGAAACTGAAAAACCAGACGAGATAATGCCCCAAGAAATTATGAAATCTCTAAAGGATGGCGAGATCTTAGAAGAGATTCCAAAAGATCCACAAACAAAAGAACATATGCCTGAAACAATCAAATTAAAGGATGATAAGAAGAGTAAGAAACATCGCAAAGGAAAACGAGATCCACCAAAAGAAACACCGGTGCAGCAAGAAAAAGTTCCTGATAAGAAGGATGAGATAGTTCCTGATGAAGAATTGGAGCCCGTTAAAGATGAGTCCTCTGGTCTGTTTGGAGCTTTAAGGAAAATTTCGAAAAAGACAACAACAAAAATAAAATCAAAAATAACTGGAATTAATGAAAGTAATTCTAAACAACCGGAAAAAGAAGATGAAATTTCAGAACCTGAAATAAAGAAATTTGAACCCGAAATGAAACCAATTGTGGAACTTAAGAAAGAAGTTCCTGAAGAAGTCACAAAACAAACAGATGAATTAGCCGAAACCAGTTCAGACTCAACTATTACAAAAACAGTAATCACAAAAACAACTGTGATTACATCTCATGTCACTAAAGAAGATGGTACTGAAATAATCGAAGAAAAATTGCCGGAAAATATCCAAATTATGGAAACCTCAAAATCCAATGATTCCGAAATTGTAAAAGCTCCTGAGTCAGATGACTTTGAAATTATTGAAGCTCCAAAAGAAGATGTTAAACCCCAAGAACAACCATTTGAAGATTTGACTACAACAACCAGAATCACAACAAAAGTAACTAAAACAACCATTCAGCAACTTCAAGGATTTGATCCTCTTCAAATGTTTATTAACAATGAAAAAGTATATCATCCTGATAAATCGGTTGAGCCACAAAAAGTAGATCAAACACCTTCACAAGATGAGACTATTCATGTAGATGATATTCCAACAGAACAGGATAAGCCAGAAATCTCAGAAGCAATAAAAACAGTTATCACAGAAACCGTTTCCTCAAATTTAACTGATTCAAATGAAACTGAAGATAAGAAACCCGTTGAACTTACTGAAATTGATAGAATGGAAGAACCAGTTGATGTAAAAACTGATGAAAGTCGCGAAACTTCACCTGAAACCGAAGAAAAATCTGAGCAAACAAAGGAAAAATCTTCAATATTCTCAGGAGCAAAGAAAAGGATGAAGGGATTCAAAACGAAAATGTTTGGCTCCAAAGATACTTCAGAGAAAAACAAACCAGAAGAAAAGCCGAAAGATGAGAAAACTAAGCCCGATATTACACCACGAAAAGAAAAAGAAGTTAAGCCCGATGTTGATATTGAAAAGATAGTCGAGACATTAGTAGAAGAATCAGAACCAACTGAAGATACTGAAATTTCTGAATCAGGCACAATTACAAGAGTTGTTAAAACAACCAGAGTTATTACAACCAAAACTGTTGGCTTTGAAGAACCAAGTGAAACAATTCTTGTAGAGGAAATTCCTACAACCGAGAAAATCTTCGAGAAACCAGAAGAAAAAGTCGAGACATTAGTAGAAGAATCAGAACCATCAGAAAACACTGAAATTTCTGAATCAGGCACAATTACAAGAGTTGTTAAAACAACCAGAGTTATTACAACCAAAACTGTTGGCTTTGAAGAACCAAGTGAAACAATTCTTGTAGAGGAAATTCCTACAACCGAGACAATATCCGAAAAACCAGAAGAAAAAGTCGAGACATTAGTAGAAGAATCAGAACCATCAGAAAACACTGAAATTTCTGAATCAGGCACAATTACAAGAGTTGTTAAAACAACCAGAGTTATTACAACCAAAACTGTTGGCTTTGAAGAACCAAGTGAAACAATTCTTATCGAGGAAATTCCTACAACTGAGTCAATTCCTGAAAATGTAGAAACAATTACAGAGAAATTAATTGAGGAGCCAAAGAAAAATTTGGTTTCAAGCATTGTTAGTTTTATCGAGAATGAAAGAAACATGGTTGATAAAAAGCCAGAAATCATTAAGCCTGCTGAACCTCAAGATCAGAAAGATGTGCTAAGTGCTATTTCAACAATCGTCAAAAAGACAACAATCATTACATCTAGTATAACTGGGTCTGAACAACCAAACGAAACGGTTCTTGTAAAAGAAATTCCTACAACTGAGTCAGTTTCCGAGAAACCAGAAGAAAAAGTCGAGACATTAGTAGAAGAATCAGAACCAATTGAAAATACTGAAATTTCTGAATCAGGCACAATTACAAGAGTTGTTAAAACAACCAGAGTTATTACAACCAAAACTGTTGGCTTTGAAGAACCAAGTGAAACAATTATTGTCGAGGAAATTCCTACAACCGAGACAATATCCGAAAAACCAGAAGAAAAAGTCGAGACATTAGTAGAAGAATCAGAACCATCAGAAAACACTGAAATTTCTGAATCAGGCACAGTTACAAGAGTTGTTAAAACAACCAGAGTTATTACAACCAAAACTGTTGGCTTTGAAGAACCAAGTGAAACAATTCTTATCGAGGATATTCCTACAACTGAGACAATATCGGAAAAACCTGACGAAACCGTCGTATCAACAGTGGAACATTCAATTGAGCCGACCATAACAAAAGTTGTTAAAACAACAAGAATTATCACAACTAAAACATCTGACTCTACAGAACCTGAAATAACAACTTCAACAGAGGAATTCACCGATGATAATCAAGGCAATATTCCAGATGAAGTAAGAGATTTAATTGATAAACTCACCGAGTCATACAAGCATGAAATTAAGGATAATATGACTCAGCCTGACGATAAATACGAGGTTGTAGATAGTAAAGTAAGTGAAGATGTAGAAACTTCGGAATCAACAAAAACGACAATTACAAAAACCACAGTAATTACTTCAAGAACATTCACGCAATCTGGAGAAGAAATTATCACTGAAGTTCCACTTGGAAATCTTCAAGTAATGGAAACTCCGAAACCAAAGGATATGCAAATCATGGAGGCCCCAAAACCAGAAGATTTACAAGTCATGGAAACAGTTAAACCCGATCATTTACAACTCATGGAAATTACAAAACCAGATCATTTGCAACTTATGGAAGTTCCAAAAGAAAAAGATTTACAAGTCGTAGAAGTCCCTAAAAAAGACAACGAAATAAAAACTGAACAATACGAAGATTCAACTAGTTCAACAGTAATCACAACTACAACAATTACAACAAAAGTACAAGATGGTAAACAATTCAATCCTCTTCAAATGTTCCTTGAAAATGAAAGAACAGTAGCACCATCAGAAACCATTGCGCCACAAAAACCTGTTCGTGAATCATCTCCACCACAATCTACAAAAGTGTCAACAACAGAAATGAAAACTGTAAAGCAATTCTCAGTTACTGAAAATGAAATTGAGGTGCTGCCTCTACGTGATGCTATAAAAGCAGGAAAAATAGAACCCAAAATTTGTCGTGTTATGATCAACGGAACTGAAATGCCATGGACAGTAAATGATGCATTACAGTCGAAAGATTTATCACCAACAGACATTGTGCAAATCAATTCCAGTCATGTTGTTGTCTTATTGCCCAATGAGCAGAAAGCATACCTTCTTAATCTTAATGATCGTTTCTCAGAAAAGTTATTACTTGAAATGGGTCTATACGATCCAAACTTGCGTTGCTTTATCGATCCATGGACGGGTAATCAAATATCCTTCGAATATTTCATATTCCATCTTGATGTTGTTGATCCAACAACGATACATGTAAAGAATCAAAAACTACAAACATATGTTCCAATTCAGCAAGCATTTAATGAAAAACTTATTGATCCACTACATGGTACAATGGTGGACATGAAAACTAGTCAAACAATTCCAATATATGAAGCAGTCGATAGAAAGTTTGTTATTCAAAAGATACCTAGTCAATTGCGAATTATAAAATTCCCACCAACAATTTCAGATCTTATCAGTAATGGAAATATTAACTTTGAGACCGATGAAATCATTGTTAATAATGAAAATTTGTCATTTAGCGAAGCATTACGTAATGGTGTTATTGACACAAATCAAATCACGATACGTGATCCGGCGACAAATGATGTTATAGGCTATAAATATGCTGTTGATCGTGGTATTGTAGACCTGCCACGTGGCATAATTATAAATTTGATCACACTCGAGCAAATTTACATTATTGAAGCATATAGACGTGGATATATAATAATAGGCAAGATGAGGCCCATTTCGCTTAATGCGGCTATATCATCAGATCTTTATGATAAGAAAAATAATAAATTCATTTCTCCATACAATAAAAATAATCCTCTATCATTACAAGAAGCTATCGACTGCGGCATTATTGATCCAAAACTTACCAATATTAAAGACACTAAGGAAAATTCTCTTGTCCCATTACGACAAGCTATTGAGTTCAATCTAGTCGATTCAAAAGTGGGAATGGTTAAGAATAAAAAATCATCAGTTCCGTTAAATAAAGCAGTTAAAGATAAATTGATTGTTGATAAATATGAACCAATTGATCTTGCTGAAATTATTATTAAGAATTATTATGACCCCGATACCGGTTTGATTTTAAATCCTTATACTAATGATATGTATGTCACATTAAGGGAAGCGATTTCGCTTAAAATTATTAATATTTATCACATAAGAATCTACGATGTCCTACAAGACCGTGTGTACTCTGTTGAGGATGCAATTAAGAATGGCTTGCTTGATGATATTAAAGGTGTAATTACACGTCCAAATATGCCACTTGATAAAGCATATCTTCAAAGAATCTTAATTAGTTTCAATGGTCCATTGTCATTGCCAAGTGCTTTACAATGTAATGTTTTCGATCCAGAAACTAGAAAGTATAATTTCGATAATCAGCCACTGAATTTGAGTGAAGCAATTGAGAAAAATAAAATTGCTGGCAATGAACTCGTCCTTTATGAACCAAATCGTCAAAAATTGTCGACTCTTAATCAAGCAATTTCTGCTGGCTTCTTAGATCCAATCGAAAGTATGATTGTTGATCCAATAAACAATAAAGAAGTTCCAATTGATGATGCAATGGAGCAAGGTTTTCTTGTAAAATCTCGTTCCGATGTCAACTTACGTGATGCAGTCTTTGAGGGCTTATACAATCCTAAAGACGGATCATTTAGCAATGTAGCAACGACTGATGAAAAACTTCCACTTGACATTGCAATAAATCGTAATGTTGTTGATGTAAGATCGACTATAGTCAATGTCAATAATGTTACTTTAGACTTTGAACAAGCCATCGAGCAAGGTGTCATTGATCCACAAAATTCTGTCGTTCAAACACAATCAGGCGAGAAATTGAACTTGATTGAAGCATTTGATCGAGGCATATTAAATACAATCTCAAAACCAGTTCGATTGCATGAGGCGATTATTAAGAATTTATATGACGAAACGTGCGGCTTATTTGTAGATCCGGAGACGCGTAGGAAAGTAAATATTCAAGAAAGTATTCAAGAAAGTCTTATAGATCCAAATTCTATTCAAATTCAAGATCCAAGCAGTAAATCCTACCTTCCAATTTCTATTAATTTTGCTATCCAAACTGGTCTGATAAATGCCAAAAATGGCACCGTCAACTATGATAATAAAGTCTTTACTCTAAAAGAGGCATTCGATTTGGGAATATTAATTGACAGTAAAGGTCCGGTAAGCATTCAAAGAACAATCCATCAAGGCACATTTGACGAAAATTCGGGTCGAATTTCAGATCCATTTAGCGATAAGAAAATAACAATTCATGAAGCCATACGAAAATTTGTCATAAATCCACACTTGCCATGCTATTTTGATGAGGAAAAGGAAGTCTTGTACTCATTAAATGAAACATGTAAGCACAAATTAATTGATCGATTCCAAGGTAACTTTATCGTTCCGCATTCCGGTGAGAAGTTGACATTAAATGAAGCCATGAAATTAGGATGGATAATTGATATTGAAGGTGGAAATTTCACATTATACAAAATTTTACAGTATCGATTAGTCAGTCCACAAAATGGTAAATTAATACATCCAGTAACTGGTCGTCATTTAACGCTTAACTATGCAATCGAGCAAGAGCTTGTTAATTCTGACTCGTCATTAATCAAAAATCGTAACGGTAAATACATAACATTGACCGATGCGCTAAAATTGAATGTAATTGACGGGGATAAAAATGTTTATTGGCTAAATGACTCACAGTCAATTCCATTGCATGATGCAATCGACAAAGGCTTAATTGTTTCAAGCGAAAAACCATATTCACTCAATAAAGCTATTAAAATGCGAATTTATAGACCTGAAACGGGCAAATTTGTCGATCCAACGACTAATAGCTATTATGATCTTAAAACAGCAATTGAAAATGATTTGATTAATGATGATTCAGTAAAGTTCAAGAATAATTTTACAAAACAAACAAAGCCAATCCTTCAAGCTATAACAGATGGCGATATAAATATTCCAAAAGGTCGCGTATTTGACCAAAAAACTGGTCAATCATTCAATTATGACGTAGCATTCGATAAAGGTCTCTTGATTAATATCCCGCGAGGTAAAACGGAACAGAAGAGAGAAATAATTCAAGAAGAAATTCCAATGATTAAAATTGACTTGGTTGATTCAAGTAAGCCACGCGAAATGACACTGGATGAGGCTATAAAAGCAAACCTCATTAATCCTGATGTCGCAATGATTAAAGATCCAAAGACAGGCAAATTTATCTTGTTGAAAGTTTTCATTGAAACTTATCAAATTATTTTAACACAAAAGACGACAATCGATCCAAAATCTCCATTCTTTGTATTCAGTCCGGGTTGTGTTGTATATTCGCGCGAGCCAAAATCATTTGATGATGTAATTGAGTCGAATGAGTTGAACTTGTCAACCGGTAAAATCGTCGATCCAGAAAACAAAGATAAGGAATTGACCATCCAAGAAGCAATCGATACTGGCATTCTTGATCCCGATACCATACTCATTAAGGATGGTTCGAAGAAGAAACTTTTACGCGTTAATGAAGCATTAAGAAAGGGTCTTGTTGATCCTGAAAGATCTTATGTCGTTGATACGTCATCATCAAAATTATACAGCCTTGAAAATGCTTTAGAGGAAGGTCTTCTTAAGACACCAAAAAAGCAATTTGATTTATTGGAAGCAATTGAATTTAATCTCTATGATGAGACAACTGGAGTATTTACCGACCCATTCGCTCCAACGTCAATTGAGGATCATAAAGAAATAGCTCAAATCACATTCGAAACTGGCATCGCTAAAGGTTTGATTGACCCTTCAACCACAATGGTACGTGCAACAAATGATAGTGAAATTATCCCAATTTCTGCCGCTATAACATCGGGTCTAATAGATCCGATCAAGGGAGAAATTGTCATTAAAAATCCAGAAAATGATAAGCAAGAAGAAAGAATTAATTTCGTCAAAGCAATGGAACTTGGCTTGCTAGTTCCAGCTGGCGAACGGGTAAGATGGCACAAAATCTATAATCTGGTGACTGTAATGTAATTTATTTGGTTGCACGTTCACAAATGGCTTCATTAACAAAACAAGATCTTAACTTAGAACTGAATTTAATTAACCAAAAAAAAATCACAAAGAATTATTTTTGGTGATTTATTTCTACTTCTTCCTATTTTAGACAGCTGTGCTTGATTCTATTCAGACATCTTCGATATTATTATATTTAAATGATTGAGTTGACATGATTCATGGCTGTGAGAGTGAATGATTGGATGAATTTTAATCAGATTATTTTATTTTTTTATCCTTTTCTGTAGAATTTTTATTGCATTTTTATTCGTAGAGTTTTTAATGGACATGTACAAAAATCAGACGTAACTGATACTTTAGCATGTTGGGTTGTAAAGCAGTTTGCAATTAAATAATTTTTTTTGGACATATTAATTGCGAGTTCTTTCTTGCATTAAGTTAAAAAATTATTTAGTGGCAAATTTCAATAAAGATCCCGATTGCTAAAGTCTGTATCTATGTCCATATATCTATATTATTATCTCTTTTTGGTCTTTTGCATGAACAATCATTATTGCGTGTTACAATCTCAAAATAATTAAATTTTTTATCTTGTTATTTTCATCTCTTGTCTTTCAATAAACAGCAAGCAGTCATCGAACGATTTGCACTATGTGAAGAAAACATTTCAATTCTCTTGAAGTGGATTAACGACATTGAACAACGACTCTCGAAAATTGGAGGACCACAAGAGCATATTGAGGAATTGCATGCACAAATCAATGTGCTGAAGGTAGGAACGAATTATTTGACATCCTCAAAAAGTAATAAATTTTTAAAAAATATTTTTTAGCACATCAAGAATGATATCGATCTTCAGGCTCGTCCAGTTGCTTCGTGCTTAGAACAAGTTCGTCAACTTGTATTAACAAGCGGAAATGTTTTATCAATCGCTGAAGTTACTCAATTGGAGAATTCCGGACGTCAATTAAGATTCCGTGTCGATCGTGCCCATGACAGCTCACTTAAGCTGATTAAGCATCTTCAAAATAGCTACGATGAACTTGACAAATTGCAAGGAGAAATGCATGATTTTGCAAGATGGTTGCAAAGTGGACAAGAAGTTTTGGACAACGAACATGCATACTTGTCAGATTTGAAACAATTGCCAGCACAATCAATCCGTATTAAGGAATTATTGAAAGAAATCATCGCCCATCAAGCTGATTTAAGATTCATTACAATTTCTACCCAGAAATTTGTTGATGAAGGCAAAGACTACCTTAATGTGCTTAATGATCTTCGTTTATCACTACCTGAAAGATTACCAAACATCGAACCAATTGCAAGCTTCAAATCTCCAGTAAGACAAACTGTCTCAGATTTACAGCAACGTTACAGTGACCTACTCAATCAAGTCAATGCATTTGCTGATCGTCAAAATAATATCAAAGAATCCTATCGCATCTATATTGAACAGCTTGAAAAGTCACGCACATGGTTGAGTGACGTTCAGTTGCGCGTATCAAGCGTTATTGCCCATCCAGTTGGAACTGACATCGAAACTATTCAGGAACAATCAAACATCGCCAAATCTCTTTACAATGAATTCTTAGCAAATGGAAAATTGATCGATCATTTGCAACAAAGCTTGAATGGCTTACTTGTATCTTTGACTGGAATCACAACACCATCTGAAAATGCAGGTCTAGAAATTCCAGTTGACGAAGTCAAACGTGACTACAAATCTCTTTTGGATGCTGTTGATAATCGTTGCAAACTTCTTGAAGTTGCTTATGTACAAGCACAAGGTGTTCAAGATGCTCTAGATAATCTCATTGCCCATATGAAACAAACTGAAGATAATATTCATATTCAGTCACAACCAGCATCACTTATTGTTGAAAAATTACTTGAACAAATTCGTGAACATCAATTCATATTGTCAGACTTGGAAACACATCGTGCCAGCTTAAATAGTGTTACAGAATCAGCAAAAGAGTTGTTGAAAGTTCCATCAAATGCACGACTTGCTAAAGTCATTGAAACCAAGTTGCAGAATGTTACTGATCACTATTCAAGATTGAGAGACAAGGCAGTTGCACATAATGAATTCTTAGAAGCAATCCTTAAGAAATTAACCAAATTTAACAATGACTCGACAATCGTTGAAACTGAATTAAAGCATCTCCAAGAACTCTCACACATCGAAGAGAAGTCTATTGAAGTTCTAATGAAATATTTACAGGATATCGTTCAAAATCGTAAAAAGATTCAGCCAGCATATGAAGATTGTATCTACCTTGGTAGAGATCTTGTTGAACGTAAGGATGTCACTGACACTTATGTAGTGAAAGATAAAATGAAGCGTCTCCAAACATTATGGGATAGTCTCGAACGTCGTCTTGATGACAAGCTTAAATTGACTAAACAAAAGTCAGAAAAGTTGGGAGCATTTGAAATTTGCAAGACGGAAATTTACTTATGGCTCTCACAAATGGAAACAAGAACATCCGCTTTCGATCCAGTTGCACTTGACCTTAGTGTTATTCGTAGACAATCTGATGAGCATAAATTATTGCTGAATGAATATAAAGAATTCAACAGAGTCATTCAACGTATTAATGATATTGGAGCTGAATATGATTCATTGATCAGAACATCAAGTCCAATTATGAATAATTCAGTTGATCGACAAGATTTGACAGATTTAACATCAATGCAACAAGAATTATTGGAGATTAATAATCGCTATAATTTCATTGGAGTTCGATTAAATGACCGACAAAAGGATTTAGATGACACAAGAACTGCTGTCCAAAGACAAAAAGAAAATCTTGAAGGATTGAATTCATTCTTGGATAAACTTGAAAAGAATCTTCCAAAATACAACTTGACAGTTCGAGAAAATGCTGAAAAATGCATTAAGCATGTCCGTAAACAACAAGACGAAATGTACGAAAGACAATCAACACTTGACACAACAAAGATTCAAATTCGTGAATTGCTACAACTCAAACCAAATGCACCTGGTTCTGAACAATTGAAATATGAATTGGATAGCTTAGTTGATCGCTGGGCACGCCTTGCTGAGTTATTGAAAGAATGTTCAATCTTTTCCGAACAATCACTCGACTTTATCGAAACTCATGACTTAATTTTCAACTGGTTAATATCGAAAGAAAAATTATTCTCAGTTTTGGGTCCAATTTCATCAGATCCACGAACAGTCAGTAGCCAAATGCAACAAGTTTCAGTTCTTCGTGACGAATTTAAGGCACAGCAAACACAATTAGATTATTTGAGAGATATTGGAGGTGGTCTCGTTAATCATTTCCAGCCAACATCACAAGAAGGCAAGGCAATTACAAATAAAATGAATGACATTGAAAAAAAGTGGAATGACTTAGCTGATCAACTTGAAAAACGCTATAAAAATCTTATTGAAGTTGCAGATACATCTAAAGATTTTGATGCAAGCCTTAACCGTTTGCGTGAGAATTTGCAGCAAATCAGCGACTCACTTGACAATTTACCAAGCGACAGCGACTTTGAGGGTAAATTGCACAAAATTACGCAACTCGAAAGACAACTTGAAGGTCAACGTCCATTGTTGGCTGATGCTGAAGCTACTGCTGCTTCTTTAACAAGTGTTATTAGTGATGCTAAATCAAGCGCTGAAATCAAGGCTAAAGTTCAAGCACTTGGCAAGCAATATTTGGCATTACAGAGGAAGCTTGACAACATCAAGGCTGAAAATGATGCAGCATTGAAGGACAAGAAGCATTTCTTAGAAAATTGTGCCAAAACTATTGGATGGATCGGAAGTAAACTCGCCAACTTTACAAGTCCACTTCTTATTTCAGCCCATAAGCCAACATTACAGTACCAAATTGAAACACATGAGCCAATTTATCGTGAAGTTATATCAAAGGAATATGAAATCATCATGCTGCTTAATCGTGGTAATGATTTACAACAAAAACTTGGAGAACTTAAAGATCTCGAGAAAATTAACAGTCAATGGACACGATTAAAGGAAGAAGCACAAGATCGTCAAACAAGATTACAGAAAGCTTATGATGTATACAAGAATTACGAAAAGACATCAAGTGGATTCTTACAATGGCTTTCAAATGCTGAACGTGAACTAATAGCAATGAAGCCAGGTATTCTTGTAAAGAAAGAACTCGATAAGGAACTTCGTGATGTCCAAACATTGCGTAATGATGTTCTCAAAAAATCATCAGATTATGACAAGACACAAAATCTATGCGGTAACTTCCTTACAGCATGTGATGTAGACAAAGATACATTAATGTCTGAAATGCAGTCAACTAAGGAACGATGGGATGAACTTAACCGTCTCATCAATCTTAAGATCGAAAGAATTAATAGCTTCGTTGAAAAAGTCATGGACTTTAGTGACAACTTCAGACAACTTAGTGCCTTGGTACAAAGAAATGAGGATTCATTTGATTCATTGGAAAGAATTCATGGTGCCAATGCAGGAAGAGATCCAAGATCCCTTGAAAAGATCAAAACAATCAAAGATGACAATTCAGAATTGAAGAAGAACTTCCAAAATTTGAGAGCTTTGGTAGAGAATATTGCTAGTGAAGCACGTCCAGTTGGTTACAATAGTGACAATCTTTATGCTGATTTAGAACGCCTCTCAGATCGTATCTTGACATTACAAGCTCGTCTCGATGATCGATTTAATGATTTAACAATAGCTTCTAATGCTGTTACAAAGTTCAACGAAAGTATCAATTATGTAACATTAGATCTTAGTGCATTAGAAAATGAGGTTGATAGTCTTTCATCACCAGCTCGTGAAGTAAAAGTTGTGAGAAGTCAACTTGATGCAGGCAATGATTTACTTCAAAAGATCGAAGATGTTGGCAATAAGATTTCAGGAATTGAAGCTAATGGTGACACAATGATTGAAAAAGGATATGTGACTCGTCCATCAGAAGTTCATGAACCACTTGATCAAATCAAACGTAAACGATCACGTCTTGAAAGTCGTACAAAGGATTATATTGAAGCTGTCCAAAAAGCACTAAAGATGTTGACAAGATTCTATGAAGATTATGAAGTCGCATTAAATGAAATTTCTCAAATTGATTTTGAACTAAAGAAATTAAAGACAATTGGATCAGAAGCAGCACAAATCCGCCTACAACAACAAGATTTCCAACAATTCAGAAGAAATGTTGTTGATCCAATGGAAAGAAAGATTGATGATTTGAATGATTTAGGAAAGGATTTGATTAGATCAGCTCATGAAACAGTTTCAACTGGTAATTTGGAACATGACCTCGAAAAGATTGTCGAAAAGTGGAGTGAGATTAAGTCAAGAGTGTCTGAACGTGACAGGAAGTTAGATCAAGCTTTATTACAAAGCGGTAAATTCCAAGATGCATTACAAGGAATTCTAAGATGGCTTACTGATTCTGAAGAAATGATTAAGAATCAAAAATCACCAAGCATCGACTACAAAGTTGCAAAGGCTCAACTTCAAGAACAGAAGTTCCTAATGAAAATGATTGGTGACAATCAAAATTCAGTTTCGTCAATTTTAAAATTAGGAGAGGAAGTTCTTCAAGGATGTGAACCTGGTGAAAGAATTAATATCGAAATGCAACTTAAAGACTTGACAGGACGATTTGATCATCTTAAGAACAAAGCTGATGAACGAACAATATTACTTGAAAATGCAGTTGATGTCGCTAAAACATTACAAGATCAATTAACTCCATTAGTGACATTCCTTGACCGTTCTGAAAGAACATTGAAAAATCTTGAGAATATTCCATCCGATGAGGATAAGTTTCAGCAAGCAATTTACGAACATGATCGTTTAAATAGTGAAATTTTATCCAAAGATCCAGATGTTGCAGCTCTTGTGTCATTAAAGAACAGCATAAGAAAATATTTTGAACCTGAAGAAGCTGAATTAGCAAATGATAAAATCGATTCCGTTAGTGATCGCTACAATATGCTTCGTGACGATTCAGAACGTCTTGGTGCTCTTTTGAATAAAACTAAGCAAGAAATTAAGCAGTTTGCTATTGCATATCAAGATCTTTTTGCATGGTGTGATAAGCAGGATAGAACTTTGGCTCAATTTAAGAATGCATCCGTCCATGTTGATGTAATTAATGAACAAGTCAATAAATTAGAAGATATCAATCGTGAGATTCAAAATAAGGAATCAACTATTCAAACAACGATTGATATTGGAAATGAACTCCTTCGCAGCATCTCACAAGATGAAGCATTAAAATTAAAGGATAAACTTGATTCATTAGGCAGAAGATATATCGAAATTTCTAAGAAATCATCTGACTACTTAAGTAACGCAAAGGATGCACATGCTTTAGCCCAAGACTTCCATGGAGCACACAATCGACTTGTCAATTGGATGCAAAATGCTGAAACGATTCTTGTAGGAAATGCAGCAAGTGAAATTGAAATTCTCACACTTGAAAGTGACTTGACTAAAATGAGAAGTGAACTAGAAGCACTCAATTCTTTAGGACCACAATTGGCTCAACTTTCGTCAGAAGAAGGTGGTGCTACAATTGAAGGAATCATCTCTCGTGATAATCGTAGATTCGATGCAATTGTTGAACAAATTCAACGTAAAGCTGAACGTCTTCAAATGATTGCTCAAAGATCAAAAGAAATCAATGTTGATCTTGATGAACTTATCCATTGGTTCCGTGAAACAGAAGGTAGTTTGAGAGATGCAGCTACACCATCAATTCAACCAAAGGTCGTGAAAAATCAATTGCTCGAACATCGATCATTAAATGACAGCATTTCAGGTCAAAAAGGAAGAGTTCGTGAAGTTACAGCAAATGCCAAGAAATTAATCCGAGAACTTCAATCAAGCAATGACAATTTAGATAACATCCGTGAAAAACTTGAAGATCTTAAGGATGTTGTTGACTCAGTGACTAACTTGAGTGCTGAAAGATTATCAGTTTTAGAGCAAGTAGCTCCATTATCAGAACACTTTGCTGATGCACAAGATGAACTTGATAGATGGTTGACAGATGCAGAACAAGAAATCTCCATGTTAACAGCACCCGGTGTAAGAGCTGACCAGATTATGCAGCAACAAGAGAAGAATGAAAGATTAATGAATACAGTCGCCAATCATAAACCATTGATTGATAAGTTCAACAAGACTGGAGATGCCTTCGCTACCCTTGTAGCTCGTCATGATGGTAATGCTATCCACGATGTTGTTGAGGGAGTAAATAACCGATACAATGCATTAAAGACCGAATTACGTGAGAGACAATTAGCACTCGAACGAGCATTACAAGAAACTTCCCAATTTGCTGACAAACTTGAAAATATGTTAAGAACATTGACCAATGCAGCTGAACAAGTCAAAAATGGTGAACAAATTTCAGCACATCCACCAAAGATTTCCAACCAAATTGACGAAAATTGGACAATTGCTGATGACTTAGAAAAACGAGAACCAACATTTGTTGCTATTAAGGTAGCTGCTGATGAAATTATTTCAAAGGCCACAAACCATTCAGATCCAGCAGTTAAAGAAATCAAGATGAAACTCGAGAAACTCAATGTTTTATGGGTTGATGTCCAAAAAGAAGTCAAAATTCGTGACAGTTCATTAAATGACACCCTTAATGCAGCTGAGAAATTCTGGAATGAACTTCATCTTATTATGGATAAATTGCGTGAGTTGAAAGATACATTAACATCACAAGAACCAGTTGCAACAGAACCAAAAGCCATTCAAAGACAAAAGAGCGAATTAGAGGAAGTCGTTCGAGAAATCCAAAACACCAAGCCAGAAGTCGATCAAGTAAGACTCAGTGGAACGAACTTGATCACTCTTATTGGAGATGCTGAAAAGCCAGAAATTAAGAAGCACATTGAAGATTTAGATCAGGCATGGGGTAACATCACATCTCTTTATGCACAACGTGAAGAAAATCTTATTCAAGCTATGGAAAAAGCTATGCAATTCCATGAAACTTTAGAAGCTTTATTGAGATTCCTTGATGAAGCTGAAGAGTATATGCGCGGCTTGAAACCAATTGGTTCAGAAATCATCCTTGTTAAGCAACAAATTGAGGAGCACAAAAGCTTTAAAGATCGTGTTGATCCACATGGAGTAGAAATTGAAGCACTTAATCGTCAATTAAATGAATTAAGTGAAATTACATCTGTCGACCAAACATCACAGATTCGTAATGGAGTAAATGGAATCAATAAGCGATGGGATTCATTGAAGCAATTGATGAACGATCGTCAGAAACAACTAGAAAATGCTTTACTTCAGCTAGGTCAATTTGAGCATGCATTAAATGAATTACTGGTTTGGATTAGAAAGACACAAACAACATTCGAACAGATTAAGATCGTACCTGGTGATGCTAAGCTTCTTGAAATTGAAATGGCAAAACTTAAGATTCTCATTAATGACGCACAAGCTCATCAAAATTCAATTGACACAATTAATGATGCTGGAAGAAAGTTACTCGAAAATGACGACTTTATTGATGCATCATCCACAAAAGAGAAACTTGACAATTTGAACCGATTATGGCAAGACTTGCAACATAACATTGCTGACAAAGAAAGAGAACTAGATGAGGAACTTGTTGAGGCACAAAACTTTGCAACAGAAGTTCAAGATATCATCACATGGCTTAATGATGTCGATTCAGTTGTCGGCTCTACTAAGCCAGTTGGTGGATTACCAGAAACTGCTACAGAACAGCTTGAAAAGTTTATGGAAATTTACAATGAGATTGAAGAAAACCGTCCAAGAGTTGACAATCTTTTAGCACAAGGTGCCAACTATGTTAAGAAACATGCTGAATTGAACGTAAGTTCTAGCAACTTGCAACATTCATTGAGAACACTTAAGCAAAGATGGGAAGCTGTCGTATCTAAAGCTGGTGATAAGAAGATCAAATTGGAAATTGCACTTAAGGAAGCAACTGAATTCCATGAATCTCTTCAAGCATTTGTCGAATGGTTGACTGATGCTGAAAAACGTCTTACAACAGCCGAATCCATTTCAAGAGTACTTCCAACAGTCACAAAACAAGTTGAGGAACATAAAGCATTCCAGAAAGAAATTGGAACTTATCGCGAGTCAATGCTACAACTTGACAAGAAAGGATCACACTTGAAATACTTCAGTCAGAAGCAGGATGTCATTTTGATCAAGAATCTTCTTGTTTCTGTTCAACATCGATGGGAACGAGTTGTTAATAAAGGCACAGAAAGAATGCGTGCATTAGATCATGGATTGAAGGAATCTAAAGAATTCTACGACTCTTGGGGCTCATTAATAAGTTGGTTACGTGACAACGAAGCTCAAATGAATAAGATTGACAGTGATCTAAATGGAAGCAATGATTCAATAAAGGTTAAACAAGCTTTGGAAAGGATTCAAAATATCCATCGTGGCTTATCAGGCAAACAAACTGAATATGATGCACTTTTAAGAGCTGGAAAAGCATTGATTGACAAAGCACCAAAATCTGATGAACCAGAATTGACAAAGATGCTCAATGAGCTTAAAGAATTGTGGACAAAAAGCTGCTCAAGAAGCATTGAAAGACAACGAAAATTGGAAGAACTTTTACTCTTGTCAGGACAATTTTCAGAAGCACTCACTGCCATCCTTGAATGGCTTAAGAAAGCAAAGGAATCACTCACGGATGAAACTCCACTTCATGGTGATATTGATACAGTAACAGGATTAGTTGATATGCACAAACGATTTGAAGCTGATCTTGAAAAAAGGTCTAAGCCAATTGATAATGTCATTGAAAATGGAAAGAGACTTGATCCAAATAATACAGCACCGGAAATCATCAAGAACCTCCGTGAAGTTGAGTCACTATGGAGCTTCGTAAAGACAATGAATGAACAGAAGACAGAAGAATTACAAAAGGCAGTCAAAGAAGCAGAAAAATTACACAAGAATGTTAACATCCTTATGGAATGGCTATCTGATGCTGAACAAAAATTGAAATATGCTCCAGCAATTCCAACAGACGAAGCTGAAGCACAAAGAATGGTCAGCGAATTTAATGTCTTCCTTTATGAAATGCGTGATAAGGAAACTGATAAGAATGAAACTCTCGAATTGGCACAAAATATTCTCGATAGAGCACATCCAGATGCAATTAAGATCTTGCGAACAATCATTCAGACCATTCAGCAACGGTGGGATGAGATTTCACAATGGGCACTTAATCGTGAAAATAAACTATCTAGTCATTTACAATCATTGAAAGATCTGGACGGAACATTAGACGATCTACTCGCATGGCTTGCAGGATTAGAAAGAACATTAAAGAATCTTGAAGCTGAGGATCTTCCAAATAATGTTTCAGAGATTGAAAAACTTATCGAAGACCATAAAGAATTCATGGAAAATACAGCAGGTCGACAAAACGAAATCGATCTTATATGCAAACCAAGCAAGGCCAAGCCATCGCTAAAGGAAGCTAGAAAACCTTCTAGAACTGCAATGCGAACTACCAGGTATGTTTTTGTGTGATTTAAGCTTTGTTTTTTATTTCTATGGAGTGTCTTGTCAGTATTTCATATTACTTCTGAACTCTAAACTCTTGACTAGATCTTTTGAGCTAGAGAATGAAGTAAACTGACTCAATCTAACAGTTTATGACTTGGTGCCTATTTAAAGAACAATTTGTACCAAGAATTTTTGTTTTGTTTTGATTAACAATGTTTAAATTTTAAAATCATTAGTCGTCTCTCGCCATCGGCAATTTCTGAAGCGAAGGCTGCAGCTGACAATGGTTTACCGCATTATGGACCTAAATTTTCACCTGGGTATGTCAATTTGTGTTGTGTTTTGTGGATTTTTCATCTTATTATGTTCATTTCTTGATTATCAATGTCATTAACATACTTTCCATCACATACAGTGTGGCTGAAATCGATTTCCGCTCACCACGCGCCAGAACATTGTGGGATAGTTGGCGCAATGTCTGGATGCTCGCATGGGATCGTCAAAAGAGACTCCACGAGCATCTCATGATGAAGCGCGAGCAAGCAAAATTACAATCATTCGATTGGGAGGATTGGAGAAAGAGATTCTTAAAGTTCCACAATCACAAGCGATCACGTGTTGTTGAGTTCTTAAAGAAGATTGACAAGAAACAGAATGGATTAATTCCACGTGAAGTTTTCGTTAGTGAGATTATAGCATCAAGTAAGATTACTATTTTACAATACTAGATTCAATATTTCATTAATCTATGCCCATTAAAATTCACAGAAGCACCAACTAAACGTTTTGAAGTCGAGGCAGTTGGTGACAAATTCGATCCAGTGAGCGAAGGAGTTATTGACTGGGAAGATTTCTTGATTGCCCTCAAGCCAGAATGGCAACAAGAGCCAAAGCACGAAGCTGACAAGATTCATGATGAAGTCCGTCGATTAGTCATGCTTTGTACATGTCGCCAGAAATTCCGTGTCTTCCAAGTTGGGGAAGGCAAATACAGAGTAAGATTTTGTGTCTTTTTTGTTGACTTTATGTTTGACATGTAATTTTATGTACTTAATGTTGTCACTTAATACAGTTTGGTGCTGAACAAAAACTCCGTTTAGTTCGAATTTTAAGAAGTACTGTTATGGTTCGTGTCGGAGGAGGTTGGATAGCCTTAGATGAATTCTTATTGAAGAACGATCCATGCAGAGGTAAGTTGTGTCATCCACAATCCCTTTTGTTCTATCCACTAACCAAATATAATATATTTTTGAATTTTGTGACAAAAAATTAAATTTTTGAACACATTTTTAACATTTTTTTTATCATTCTTTAATCTCTTCTTAAACCTGCAATCATGAATAATGTTGGGAAAATTTCGTAAAAAAAATCTTTAAATTATTATGTTAAATAGTTGCTTTAATGTTACCTCTCAGAAACCCATTCCATCCATGGGAGCATGAACCGTGTTGCCCTTTGGGTAAAGTTATATGTTAAGACTTAAATAGACAGTTTTTGTTTGCTTTGGGTTTGAAATTTAAATTGTTAACGGAAATTTTGATTTTAAATGTTTCAAAACCTTACAAATTTTATTGGTTTTTGAAACATTTGTATGGTTTTGAAGTTGGTTATTTTGAAATTTTTCTTAACGGGCTTTCTTGTAAGAATTTTAAAATTATTAAGCTAGTGATTTTTGACTCTTACATCCGTTTTTGTGATCTGTGCTTTCATATTTTTTATTCACACTTGATTTTTGTAGTAGGATTATCATAATTGCGTTATTCTCAAGATCCAGAAGCTTATTCATTTGTTATAGTCAGAATCATTTCATCAATAGTTTTTGGCACCTAATTAGATGATCTATGCTACCAATAAATTATCAAAATTCTCTCTTTTTATCATTTTTTCTTTAATTAATCTCACAATTACAATACAAAAGCCAAGCCAGGATTTTGTAAGTAACACAATTTGTGGATTTGATACACAAAGTAGCCTGGAACTCATAATCTTTCCTTTCTTTCTCTCTATTTTCTGTTTAATGTGATTTTTTTGACTAGATCCCAATTGGCGATTTAAATACGCTTAATAAGCTTTTCGGATACTTTTAAATAATTTAGTACTATAAATTAATTATGCTTGATTGTTCTTTCCCGTTTTTTACATCCATTACTAAATAATAAATTTGAATTGATTTTTGAAGCACGTGGTAAAACTAACACAGAACTTCGAGAGGAATTTGTCCTTGCTGCCGGTGTTTCACAGACCATGCAAGCTTTTACACCTCGCCAATCTATTTCATCCGCTAGTCCTGGACAGGTAAGTTTTTTGTGGTTTTAAAAGCAATTAACTATCGACCATTTGTGATGCATGTAACCTTTTTTTGTGTGGCAAATTAACGACATTATGAGATTATTTTCTGTGTGATATATCCAAAAACAACTACTAGTTAGAATAGATCCAACGAATCTAGCTCATCTGGCAGAAACGATGGATTCCATGGATTCCATGGATTCCATGGATTCCATGGATTCTATGGATTACCCGAAACTGTTGGTTTTCCATCGAAACTCACAGCTTTTTGAATCCATCGTTTCTATAGATTCTATTAAAAACCCTTAGCTTCAGATTTTCCATGGAATCCATGGAAAAATTTTAGTAAACCTTATCAAACTTTTAATAAAACTTATCAAATTTTAATAAAAGTTTTTAAAATTCTACAGCGTTGTAAAACTGTTGTAGGTTTCCAAAATTGTAAGGCTTTCATATATTTTATATACTTCACAAACGCTCCAAGAAATGACTTATACAAAAGAATGTCTTAGTTCTCATACAAAGTCATATAAAATTATAAATTTCTTTTATATAGTCATATAAAATTATAAATTATGCAAAGTCTTAAGCTTTGAGAAAGCATTTTAGTTAAGACTTGAAAAAGCTCCATACTATAAATTAATTATACTATAAAGCTGTTTTTGTAAAAAAAGTAATCCAAGAAATTTTAATGACTTTTTACTAAAATCCATGAACAAATTTAATAAAAATTATGAAAATACATCTTAATAATTTTTTACTAATGTTTAGTAAGAAAATTATTAAAATTTTAACAGTTTTGTAAAATTTGAATGCAATTTTGTAAAACCAAAACGTTTAATAACCCTTATCAAATTTTAGTAAAAGTTATCAAGATGTATTTTTATAAAACTTTTTCATACATTTTTAATAAAATTTATCAATTTTTTTTATGAGTGTGGGATTATTATCTCCCAGGTAGATAATAATTTCACTTACATTTCTAAGTGGGATTATTATCTTAATGGAACACGATTAAAATTATGGATTAAATTAAATCCAAAAACTTATTTGTCATAGTGACATAGTAGTAATTTATTATCTAATAGGATTTTCATCCAAAAAAAAATCCCACTTATTAATTTGTCAATTTCATTATTCTAAAAACTTAAATATGAAGAAAACACAAGGCGTATACACTCGAAAAAAAAGTTGGGATTTTTTGGGTTTTTTCGGGATTTTTGGGATTTTTGTAGAAAACCTGGGATTTTTGGGATTTTTCTGGGATTTTTGGGATTTTTCTGGGATTTTTGGGATTTTTGGGATTTTCTGGGATTTTTCTGGGATTTTTGGGATTTTTAATATTTTAAAAAAATTTAATTCCTTTTATGGAAGTAAAAATCTTGAAAATTTGCTCTAAAATTTTTAAGAGAGTTATTTCATGGTATAAAAACTTATTCATCATCAATATAAATTAATAGTTTTTACATATTCTGTTGGTAAATCTTGTTCTGGTTCACTTGTGTAACAGAATAACTGCTAACGCTGTAAAACACATTTTTGTGTAGTTCCACAATTTGTTCATTAACAACATAATAAGCTGTCAACCTTTAGCTCTTAAACTGTAAATTGTTACAAAATCTCATAAAATTTTTTTATCCTTTTTTGCCTTTTTGTTAGAGTAATTCATATTTAAAACTCTTTCTGTTCCCAATATTCCATTTTCATGTATAATACTATGATCACCACGTCCTATTTCCTTTTCTTCCCAAATCAGTTCCTTTTCTGATACTTGTCAAATTTATACATCTTTTTTCTATATATCGTCTGGTTGTATCGGTGTTTTTAGTAATCATGATTTGTTTGCCTTGATAAGTTCCTATTAATTAAGAATTTGCTTTGGAATTATTCCTTCAAAAATTTATATTTGTTATTATTAAGCCATTTGGGAATTGATGAACATCTATATCAATTTCTTGATCAACGCCAATATTTGATGTCTTGAATGTAACATTCTTATCTTCTAAATAATCTTTCAAAAGAAATTCAGAATCAATATCATCTCGTATGTTGATTGCGTTTTGCGAATCTTCAGTTAGTAAACTCATATTAATACGTTCGATTACCATGCCTAATTCACGTACTTGCATTATGGGTCAAAATTTAAATTTTTTTGTAATTATGTGGCTGTTTGAAGTTAAACAAGTGAAAATTTTGATTTTTTTCATTAAAACTGAAAAATCTCTTCAGTAGATAAAGATATCAAAAAAAAGTTTTGAATTCTTCAAAAGTATCAAATAAGAGCTTTATGATGATGTATTATAAAGATACACTTATGCTAGCAAATGTATGAAAATCCAAGGAAAAATATCTTTAAACGTGTCGCAACCATCGTAAATGCCCAACTTCTATCCTAAAAACCATATATCACCGTATAGCTCTTGACTTTTAAATCCAAAACTGTATTCAACTTTGGCTTAATCAGGTGCAAAATAAATTTATTGTGATTTTAAACGTTATTTAAAGATGAACTTTGAAGAAATTTTTTCAAAAAAGTTAAAATTGGTCGAGATATAGGGTACTTTTGATATCTGACGACTTGTATGTTTTTTTCTTCACTCAAACCACCAGTACTCTTACAAAAAAATAAATATTTTTTAATTCAGTTTTTATTTTATTATAGCTTAAATCAGTACCTTTCAAATGATGTATAAAACTTGATAGTTAAGTTTGATCTTAGTCATGAAAATAAGCCTGGTTTGTGACCGACCCAAAACGAAGAAAAATTTCAAAAACGTCATTTCTAGAAATATCACTTAGAAACAAATTTAAGTATTGATTTGTAGTTTTTTATGATGATTTATGATAGTTATGACTATTTTAACTCAAAAATTTACATTTCATAAACTTTTTGCTATCTCAGGTAAAAGGTAGCTTTTAAGGTATGACCCTAGTAGACATTGATATTTCATATTAAAACACATCTGAGACAAAACACATTCGGCCTGTTTCACTAAAGTATATTATCCTCGATTTCGGATTATCTACTTCAGTTTTGTGGAAATTTCTCCAGACGCTCAAGGTTATTAAGAGATCTAATGTGTGATCTAGTTAGAGTACTTTTCTCCTTAAATCAACATGTACTTAGAATTTTTATATCTTCATTAGTTTGAGAATTATAACAAAAATCGAAGTTAATCTACTCGATTTGGCTAGAAAATTGAATGATTAATACTTCTTACCGAAAATCAAAAGTTTAAAGTACATATACAGAAATGAATGTGAAACAGGCCGATTACTTTTATATGGTTACCTATCAAAAAATTTTCATTTTCGCTATTTTGTTAAATTTCAGCTTGCGTCGGTCACATTAAAAACTTTTCGATAAGAAGTATAAGTTTCATACAAATTTTATACACCATTTTAAAGGTACTGATTTAATCTAGCAATAACCGAAAACGGATTGCAAAATATTGATTCTGAATAAAGTTATAGATATTTGAGTGGATCAAAATGCATACAGAACTGCAACCAGCATAGATAAAAATACAAAAGTTGAAAATTTCATGCTTTTTTGGCAATTTTTTTTTTGTAATTAGGATAGTATTTTAAGATTTTTCCAATTCTTTTTTGTAAGATTTTAAGCTCTCAAGGACACAAAACACTTATGTAAAATGGTAAACTGTATCGTTGTGTTGATATTGGTTTCTTCTACATGCTTTAATTAAGAAAATATTTGACTTTTTGTATGCGTTGTACTTGTACAGAATGTTGAATTCTGAAATTTTATCCAAAAATTAACTTAATAATAATTAACAAATTAAAACTTTATCATTGTGCATGCTTAATTTACCTTAAAAGCACTTATTAAGTACCATTTAGTAGAAAAATGAGGAATTTTAATTCAATTTCTGTACTAGTGCAACGCAAAAACGTTTATTTTCCTAATCCGCGAACAAAATATTTCAAATTTTCCTTTAATTAACAACTTATTTTTTGATTAGAATGTTGTTTATGATATATTTCTGCTGGGATTTTCGGGGATTTTTCGGGATTTTCTGGGATTTTTCGGGATTTTCTGGGATTTTTCGGGATTTTTGTAGGAAACTTGGGATTTTTGGGGATTTTTGGGATTTTTTGGGATTAATCCCAAAAATCCCGAGTGTATACGCCTTGAGAAAACATAAATATTGGTTGAATGTTTGCTTTTAAAAAATATATTATTCCAAATTGTTTAAAAAATAAAATCAAGGTGGGTTCAAGTGGGTTCAACTAATCTAAAGATGTTAGCTATTCCATATAAAATTATGTTCGAGATTCGCTCGAATGTTTAAAGAAAATGTAGCCGTAATTCCATTTTGTTTCGCTTCATTCATTCAACTGTTTAAAAATCACAGTTTTGTTCAAATGTTTAGAAGTAGATATGTTAACCTCTAATGGGCAAAATAATAAATTTTCGATTCTTTCCTGAAATTTTCCAAAAGCCTTTCAAATAATTGTAAATTGCCCTTAAGAAAATTAGATTTATAAATCTAATCATAATATTATTTACATATTTTGCTAAGAAAAATGTAAAGATTTAAACATAAAAAGAACGCAAAATTAAAATTCTGTTGCTAAAATTCTTATTAAATTAACTAGAATTTTAAAATGATGGCAATTCTGATGCTGTTTAACCGTGTGTACAAGCCCCAAGAAGGTTTCCAATGGTTTTAGAACATTTAAGAGATTTGATTGTTTATAATCTCAAAATTTCGAAATTATTCTGATTATTCAGGTATACAGGGTTACTTAAACAAACTGATGGCGACAAATTTATTGAAAATGTTCAGCAAATAATTAAAGTGATTCGAATAAAATTCAAACGTAATATTTTGTAAGTTCTTTCAAACTTGAGCTCTTTTAAAGAAAAGCTTAAAATAAAACCTGTCAGAACTAGAGTATCGGGCAGAAACCCAATGCGGATTATATTCACACCGTACCATCAAAAGTCTAATGGATAGAGCAAGATTTTCCCAGCATAAGTATGAAGGTATGAAGCTTGATAAGTCAACTGAGCTTCGCTCAGCAAACGTTTGAAGATATAAAGCTAGCGAGTGAGCTGAGCTTCGTTTAGCATAAGTTTGAAGGTCTAAAGCTTAACGAACATTCTTTAAAAGTTTTTAAAAAAAATTTTTCATCCAAAGTTGAATTTTATAAAAATCACAGTCAACTTTTGTTTTAAAAAATTCATAAGAAAGGAAAGTTTTATGCTTTTTCTGAAGCAACGGCTGTTCCTACCTTGCCCAAAAACAATACAGCTCTTCTATAGAGCAGCACAAATCAAATTTAAAAAATAGAAGTCTCTACGATGTCTCGTTATCGAGATTTCTTGCTGATTAACTTGCCTTTTTTTGACCTTTTATAACCAATTTTGCTTCGTTTTCTCAAAAAATGCGAAAAACTGATTTTTCAATCTGAACAAAACCAATAGATTCACACGTGAAAACGGTGTGAATATAAAAAAATTTTATATCCTAAAATAGATTTTATATTCACACCGTATTCACTTTATTTTTGTTCAGCTTTTTTCGCATTTTGAGGAAAAAAAGCAAATGGGCAAAAACAGAATTTAAATTGGCTGTAGCATTGATGGGAAAATCGCATGATACGTAAGCAAACAAGCATCAAGGCAAGTAAATCAGCAAAAATCTCAATAACGAGGCATCTTAGAGACTTCTAATTATTGCATTTTGATTCTTGCTGCGTTAAAAAGGATAAGGCTTTATTTTTTTATTGGGTAAGGTAGAAACAACCATTGCTTCCAAAAAATCAAAAAACCCTGCATCCTCTATCCTGCATCATGTGAACTCAAATTTTGCCAATGACAAAAATGATAAAAACGTGATTTATTAGTTCCGCACGTTTTAAATTTTGAAAGAATTCATTTCAAAACTATTTGCAAAAACAAAAAATTGAAAATTTTGTGTGAATATAATTTCTTGAGTGAATAGATCTTTGATACATTAAACATTTAGGCTCTAGGCTTTTAAAAAAATTACAAAAGGCATAAAAACCAAGTTTTCAACTTAAACATTCAACCAATATTTATGTTTTCTTCATATTTAAGTTTTTAGAATAATGAAATTGACAAATTAATAAGTGGGATTTTTTTTTGGATGAAAATCCTATTAGATAATAAATTACTACTATGTCACTATGACAAATAAGTTTTTGGATTTAATTTAATCCATAATTTTAATCGTGTTCCATTAAGATAATAATCCCACTTAGAAATGTAAGTGAAATTATTATCTACCTGGGAGATAATAATCCCACACTCATAAAAAAAATTGATAAATTTTATTAAAAATGTATGAAAAAGTTTTATAAAAATACATCTTGATAACTTTTACTAAAATTTGATAAGGGTTATTAAACGTTTTGGTTTTACAAAATTGCATTCAAATTTTACAAAACTGTTAAAATTTTAATAATTTTCTTACTAAACATTAGTAAAAAGTTATTAAGATGTATTTTCATAATTTTTATTAAATTTGTTCATGGATTTTAGTAAAAAGTCATTAAAATTTCTTGGATTACTTTTTTTACAAAAACAGCTTTATAGTATAATTAATTTATAGTATGGAGCTTTTTCAAGTCTTAACTAAAATGCTTTCTCAAAGCTTAAGACTTTGCATGATTTTTGGCACTTAATGTGCCTCATAAGAAATTTATAATTTTATATGACTTTGTATGAGAACTAAGACATTCTTTTGTATAAGTCATTTCTTGGAGCGTTTGTGAAGTATATAAAATATATGAAAGCCTTACAATTTTGGAAACCTACAACAGTTTTACAACGCTGTAGAATTTTAAAAACTTTTATTAAAATTTGATAAGTTTTATTAAAAGTTTGATAAGGTTTACTAAAATTTTTCCATGGATTCCATGGAAAATCTGAAGCTAAGGGTTTTTAATAGAATCTATAGAAACGATGGATTCAAAAAGCTGTGAGTTTCGATGGAAAACCAACAGTTTCGGGTAATCCATAGAATCCATGGAATCCATGGAATCCATGGAATCCATGGAATCCATCGTTTCTGCCAGATGAGCCACTCCCGATCCAACACATGTTTCCCTTTATGAGAACGTCTCTCAATACGTTAAAAAAATTATTTGTTATTTCTATGTTAGCATCAGAAACTTTGGCAATGTTACAGCCGATATTTGAAAGCTTGAGAGCTGATTCTGAAAATTCATCGATGTTTTCGTTTCCAATGTTAACATCCAGTAATGTCAAATTCCATAAAGTTAATTCTTTGTTGCGTCGTACGAATTTGCCACGAATTTCTGTATCACAATGTCATTCGGTAAGGCATCGAATGATGAAGCTATATGTCTGACAATTATAAAAATTCTTCAAAATTTTAATATAAACTTACTGTATCCACAGCCATCACGCGACTATTCATCAAAATCACGACAAGGTTCGACAACAGCTGACTCCGATCATTCAGATTCTGTTAGTGCTGGTCGTCGAACACCATCGAGAACTCCTTTATATACGAAAACATCGATACCAATAAGATCAAGCTTAACGCCATCAACATCTTCAAGAAGTAAGCCTGTATCACGTCACGGATCATCAATATCTTTAGCAAGTAATGATGAATCGACCCCAACAAGAATACCGACTAGAAAAATCGGTACAACACCGAAAACACCCACATCAAGTACCAAACCGCCAGTATCGTCTGCAAGCAAGGCACGATTATTATCAAAGTAAGTTGAATTAATTCCTTTATAATGACTCAATAATTTAGAATACTAACCTATTCACTCTTAAAAGTACTCCTTCAAAAATACCAATTCGTCAGCAGTCAATTGATGAGTGAAAGCACTCAAATATGGTAAATCTTAATGTACTAGTTCTTTCTCGTGTGCCGTTCTTGTGTTTCTGTCCTATTTTTGAACCGGTTCTGATTAACCGTCATTTCAAATTTGAATATATTTTTTGTGTAGTTTGACGCCCTATGAAACATTAAATTTAAAAATGTTTTAACCGGTACTTTTTCATACTTTAATTAACAGGAAAGCAGAAGAGAAACCACCATTTAGGTAAATTCTACATCTACAATGTATGATCACGTGGGACCATCAACAAATAATTAAAAATGTACCCAAACATTAATCAACTAACATCACAAAATGTTCATCAAGAAGAATTACAATAATGGCAGACTAATTTAGCAATTAAAGGAAATGTGACATGCTAATTAACCAATAGTCATAGATATTATTTAAGTTTCACTCTTAATTTCTCAAATCGTTAAGTGTTTTGAGCATTAAACAACTTTTTAACATAAGTCATAAGAAAATTTATCTTTTTTATATCAATAACAAATCATAATTGTTGCTAAAGCATTGTTGAACCATACTTTTTATTATCAAGCTATGCTGAAAACACATTTTATAACGCAAGATCAGATATAGTCAATAAAGAAAAATGTTACTATTAAATTTGCTTACTTTGTACCTTTATTAAACGTTAAGAACATAATATATTAAGTTTCAGGTATTACTTCTACCATTTATGAATGAAAAAAAAAAGTCTAATTAATGTATGTATGAGATGCAGCTTTAATTGTTCATTGTATCAATATACTTGGTAACGGCCTTGGTTCCCTCGCTTACAGCATGTTTGCCCAACTCTCCTGGCAATAACAATAATGTGCTTGTTTGGATATCGCGACTTGAAATTGTAGCTCTCTTGTTATGATGCGACAAGCTCGATGCTTCCATTGCCAATTTCTCAAATGTGTCGTTGACAAAGCTGTTTAAGACACTCATTGCTCTTGGTGTGATGCTACAGTCTGGATGAACTTGTTTCATTACTTTGTAGATGTATTTTGCAAATGTTTCCTTGCGCTTTTGTTTGCGTGCCTTCTTTTTTTGCATATTTGACACAACCAGCTGTGCTTTAACAGCTTTCTTTGCTGGACTCAACTTCTTTCCGAATGCCATTGTTAAAATTTAATCAAAAACTTTTATAAATATTTTACTTAAGATGTTATCGCTTTGAAGTCAAAAAGCTGAATGAAAAAATGTCAAGAAAGTGCGCTTCTTTTATAAGGAAATGATTCAAAATGGCGGGCATAAACAAAGGAAAATATAAATCATCAAAAATCTTAATTCATTAACAATCAACAGCTTATCAAAGGAGTGGAAAGGATAGAAAACATCATATTCTACTTATGTAGTGCTTTAAAGCACCTTAATTTGTAATATTTGAAGATAAAATATGCATCAGAAATTTCCAACGTGGAAAAGATAAAAACATTAAATTAATTGATTAATTCTTCTATGGATGTTTTGAAAATGCTATGAAGATGTCGCTATTGTTTAGCATTATTAAATTCTCTTAATTAAACTATGCTTAATAAGGTATAATTAAGCTTTGAGAGAATTTCGACTGTCGTACACAAACCAACACTTTTACAGTTTTGGAATATCGAATTTTATTCAGTAAATTTGCAATCATTGGTTCTATTTCAGATCATTTAAATACAGTAATTATGTAAAATATGTTTCAACCTGTGTGTTGCTATTGAAAGTTGTAAGTATTTTGCGAGCAATAAAGCTATAATTAACTTTCGATATTCCCTTTTGTTCACTAATACAGTCACAATATTCAATACGCGAACATCGACAAACTTTGAATATTTCATGACTGGTAGAAATTTTTTGATGCATTTTTCATTAATTTAACTAAAGTAATTCATTAAATCTGATACAATATGAATCACATGAATCAACAAATAATTTTATGAGCAATCAAGTAAAGAAATTAAAATAGGTTTGCAAATGAAAGTTTCTGTGCAGTTCAGCGACACTTACAAAAATGCATTTATTTAATTAACAAGAGAAGCTAGAGTAAAGATGACATACCAAAATAAAAGGATTTATATTCTCTATAGTAATTAAAAGTTACATTAAGCCAAAATATCAAGGATAAAGATATAAATTTTGTGAAATCTCAGCTACTTCCCCATACTTTCTGCTCAATCCAGGTCAAATAAGCTGCAACCTTTGTGTAAACGGCAACAGAATTTTCAACTCCACAATATTGACTTCCAAAACTCGTGATTCCAACTATAATGTGAACACATTTATTTTTTGGTGATATTATTTGAAGTGGACCTGCGAAATTAATAGAATTTATTAATTAAATGCAGTGTAGGAACAGTAAGGAAAACTTACCTCCAGAATCCCCCTAAATAGTCGATTCATAAAATAGAAATGATATTAAATTGGTTTTTAAGAATCAGCAATCAATGAATCATCTTACCGAGCAAGTATCTCTTGTCTCTGAAATACAGGAAAAAATAAATAAATTAAATGTCAAGTGAATCATGAGTAATGGCTTAATTAACAGGAATACGCTTGTAAATGACGTTCAGCAAGAAAGAACTCTAAAAAGATCCCACGTAACCATAAGTCGACGAATGGAAGATTTTATGTATTACATCAAAATCTTCCATGTATGTTCCACATGTACATTCCATGTATCGTACATTGGACATTATGCTAATATGAAAAGGGACGATTTTTAGTCGATTTCACGTCGATTATTTTTTTGAACCAAAATCAAATTTTTTTTGACCGTTACAATATAAAAACCGATTAACGGAAAAATTTTGAATTTTTTTTACATGAAAATATTTTTTGTTAATTATACTATAATTTGTAGACAAAATCCAAAAAAATTAATTAAGGATTTTGTCTTTGAAAAAAAGAGTCGAAGTCTTCATTTAAATGATTCGCATGTAATTATTTTAATTAATTAATCACACTTTGTATGAAAACTTGGCTGTGCCTTATATAAGTGATTTCTGATTGCACTTGTGAAGTATATAGCGGCTCAAGAAAAACGAATGTAATGGATGAAAAATCGACGTCTATTGGATCATCCAAAAAATTGTACATTTAAGTCGATTTTTTCATTGACGGCGATTTTGGTTACGTGGGATGTTCTTATAGACACATTCTGTCATTTTATTTTTTAAAATCCCCCATAACTGCTCGATCACTGATTTCAAGGTTTGAAAGTCATTTCAATTAAAATTCTGAGAAATTCTAACGAATATTTATGGTCTTCTAAGAATTGTCATGCTGCTGCGGATCTTGGATTTTCCCATTCTTAAAATTATTAATAAAAATGTTCATTAAGCTGCCCAAATTTAAAGTTTTCGAGCAATTGACAATCAACAAAATCAAAAAGAAGCTCCTGTTTTATAATTCATAAACTTACTATCCCCAGCACAAATCTGGCTACTATCAACATTTTCATTATCCAAATAGTTCCGGCATGTACTAATATCTTTGATCTTCAGTTTAGCTTTCTGCAAGATATCTGAAGTGAGGCCTGTAAATGCTTGTGTCAATCCCCAGCCAGTAACAACAGCTTTGTCTACATTAACTTGATTGTCTGGTGTCATAAGGCATGCAGGTCGAATAAATTTTGATAAACTGACCTTATTGACAAGTTTAATTACAGCAATATCATTTTTCTTACGATTTGGATCGTAAATTTCATGACTTATAAATGATTCTATTGCTATGTCTATTTCATATGAGCTTTGTTCCTTTACTTTCAAATTTAGAACTCCAAGACGAACAATTGATGATGCTTTACCATCAAATATTCTACAATGTGCAGCACTTAGAACAAATTGATCAGAAATTAAAGATCCACCACACACAAAATGAGCAACTCTATTCTTGTCTTTATATCCAACAGCTGCCATGTGAGGAAATTCACCAGCTTTTGCATTCTCTCCATTAATTATCAAACTTATTGAATTCTCGCAATTTTCCATTTTGACATTTTGAAATGCCGGCCTTAAACTAAGAGCACTGGATGACACATTCCTTAATGACATATTTAGATATTCCTCGCACTTCATTTCACTTACTCGATGTGCTGTATTTAAACTTGTTTGAGAACTGTCTTGAGAATTTGGATGTTGATTTGAGTATTGCAAAGATTGTTGCTGGAGGTAATTGTCATTGGATTGCTGTGGCTGTTGATAGTTCACATTTGATGGTTGTTGATTAGTCAAATATGAAGGTTGTGAATAGAATGAATTAAGTCCCTGTTGCTGAGGATAGTATCTATATGCTGGTGCCGTGTAAAAGCTACTTGATGGCTGTCTAATGAAGGAATTCGATGCTTGTGGATAAAATGAGTTTGATTGCTGCTGTGTAAAGTAATTATTTGGCTGATAATTTCGATTAAATGTGTGTTGAGCATTTGGATCCTGACGAAATTCAAAATTGTAGGGATTATTCCAATTATATTGTGAGTATCCAGACTCAAAATCCACAATTAGAGCGAAAAAAGTAAGTGCAAGGCTTTTCATTTCAATAACAATATAGAGCACATAAGTGTCTTATCAAGACTGTAATATTTTTGGAAATATAAGTTTGCACAATAATCGACTGACACGGTTGAAGTAAGACTGTCGAAAATAAGAGGTTTGTGCTCTTTTGTCATGCGAGAACTGAAAGCTCTTACTCTCTGCGTATTTTCCCAAAGATAAAGTTCTATTACGTTCTTATTATAAGTTTTGTGCCATATAACTGAGTCACAGTATAGATTCGTTGATTTTTGAGGCACATAATCCAAGTTTTGTCTAGTCTTAAATCTTGAATAAATACTTAATACTTTTAAGTTTTGTGCCATAAAACTGAGTCACAGTATAGATTCCTTGATTTTTGAGGCACATAATCCAAGTTTTGTCTAGTCTTAAATCTTGAATAAATACTTAATACTTATGAGTTTTGTACCATAAAACTGAGTCACAGTATAGATTCCTTGATTATTGAGGCACATAATCCAAGTTTTGTCTAGTCTCAAATCTTGAATAAATACTTAATACTTATAAGTTTTGTGCCATAAAACTGAGTCACAGTATAGATTCCTTGATTTTTGAGGCACATAATCCAAGTTTTGTCTAGTCTTAAATCTTGAATAAATACTTAATACTTATGAGTTTTGTACCATAAAACTGAGTCACAGTATAGATTCCTTGATTATTGAGGCACATAATCCAAGTTTTGTCTAGTCTCAAATCTTGAATAAATACTTAATACTTATAAGTTTTGTGCCATAAAACTGAGTCACAGTATAGATTCGTTGATTTTTGAGGCACATAATCCAAGTTTTGTCTAGTCTTAAATCTTGAACAAATACTTAATACGTATAAGTTTTGTGCCATAAAACTGAGTCACAGTATAGATTCCTTGATTTTTGAGGCACATAATCCAAGTTTTGTCTAGTCTTAAATCTTGAATAAATACTTCATACTTATAAGTTTTGTGCCATAAAACTGAGTCACAGTATAGATTCGTTGATTTTTGAGGCACATAATCCAAGTTTTGTCTAGTCTTAAATCTTGAATAAATACTTAATACTTATGAGTTTTGTACCATAAAACTGAGTCACAGTATAGATTCCTTGATTATTGAGGCACATAATCCAAGTTTTGTCTAGTCTCAAATCTTGAATAAATACTTAATACTTATAAGTTTTGTGCCATAAAACTGAGTCACAGTATAGATTCCTTGATTTTTGAGGCACATAATCCAAGTTTTGTCTAGTCTCAAATCTTGAATAAATACTTAATACTTATAAGTTTTGTGCCATAAAACTGAGTCACAGTATAGATTCCTTGATTTTTGAGGCACATAATCCAAGTTTTGTCTAGTCTTAAATCTTGAATAAATACTTAATACTTATAAGTTTTGTGCCATAAAACTGAGTCACAGTATAGATTCCTTGATTATTGAGGCACATAATCCAAGTTTTGTCTAGTCTCAAATCTTGAATAAATACTTAATACGTATAAGTTTTGTGCCATAAAACTGAGTCACAGTATAGATTCGTTGATTTTTAAGGCACTTAATCCAAGTTTTGTCTAGTCTTATATCTTGAATAAATACTTAATACTTATAAGTTTTGTGCCATAAACTGAGTCACAGTATAGATTCGTTGATTTTTGAGGCACATAATCCAAGTTTTGTCTCGTCTCAAATCTTGAATATATACTTAAAACTTATACGGCCTTTTTCACTAAAGTGGATTATCCTCGATTTTGGATTATCCACTTCAGTTTTTTGGAAATATCTCTAGACGCCTAAGGTTATTAAGAGATCTAATGTGCGATATAATTAGAGTACTTTGCTACTTAAGTTAACATTTACTTAGAATTTTTATATCTTCTTTGGTTTGAGAATTATAGCAAGAATCGAAGTTAATCTACTAGATTTGGCTAGAAAATTAAATAATTAATACTTCTTAACGAAAAGAAAAAGTTTAAAGTATACAAAAATTTCAGGCATATTTCACTCTATTATAATCCAAAATTAGAAATACCACACCTCCCATAAAGTTTAAGATATTTACAAAAAACTGAAGTGGATAATCCGAAATCGAGGATAATCCACTTTAGTGAAACAGGCCGATAAGTTTTGTGCCTTTAAACTGAGTCACAGTATAGATTCCTTGATTATTGAGGCACATAATCCAAGTTTTGTCTAGTCTTAAATCTTGAATAAATACTTAATACTTATAAGTTTTGTGCCATAAAACTGAGTCACAGTATAGATTCGTTGATTTTTGAGGCACATAATCCAAGTTTTGTCTAGTCTTAAATCTTGAATAAATACTTAATACTTATAAGTTTTGTGCCATAAAACTGAGTCACAGTATAGATTCGTTGATTTTTGAGGCACATAATCCAAGTTTTGTCTAGTCTCAAATCTTGAATAAATACTTAATACTTATAAGTTTTGTGCCATAAAACTGAGTCACAGTATAGATTCCTTGATTTTTGAGGCACATAATCCAAGTTTTGTCTAGTCTCAAATCTTGAATAAATACTTAATACTTATAAGTTTTGTGCCATAAAACTGAGTCACAGTATAGATTCCTTGATTTTTGAGGCACATAATCCAAGTTTTGTCTAGTCTTAAATCTTGAATAAATACTTAATACTTATAAGTTTTGTGCCATAAAACTGAGTCACAGTATAGATTCCTTGATTATTGAGGCACATAATCCAAGTTTTGTCTAGTCTCAAATCTTGAATAAATACTTAATACTTTTAAGTTTTGTGCCATAAAACTGAGTCACAGTATAGATTCGTTGATTTTTGAGGCACATAATCCAAGTTTTGTCTAGTCTTAAATCTTGAATAAATACTTAATACTTTTAAGTTTTGTGCCATAAAACTGAGTCACAGTATAGATTCGTTGATTTTTGAGGCACATAATCCAAGTTTTGTCTAGTCTTAAATCTTGAACAAATACTTAATACGTATAAGTTTTGTGCCATAAAACTGAGTCACAGTATAGATTCCTTGATTTTTGAGGCACATAATCCAAGTTTTGTCTAGTCTTAAATCTTGAATAAATACTTCATACTTATAAGTTTTGTGCCATAAAACTGAGTCACAGTATAGATTCGTTGATTTTTGAGGCACATAATCCAAGTTTTGTCTAGTCTTAAATCTTGAATAAATACTTAATACTTATGAGTTTTGTACCATAAAACTGAGTCACAGTATAGATTCCTTGATTATTGAGGCACATAATCCAAGTTTTGTCTAGTCTCAAATCTTGAATAAATACTTAATACTTATAAGTTTTGTGCCATAAAACTGAGTCACAGTATAGATTCCTTGATTTTTGAGGCACATAATCCAAGTTTTGTCTAGTCTTATATCTTGAATAAATACTTAATACTTATAAGTTTTGTGCCATAAACTGAGTCACAGTATAGATTCGTTGATTTTTGAGGCACATAATCCAAGTTTTGTCTAGTCTTAAATCTTGAATAAATACTTAATACTTATAAGTTTTGTGCCATAAAACTGAGTCACAGTATAGATTCGTTGATTTTTGAGGCACATAATCCAAGTTTTGTCTAGTCTCAAATCTTGAATAAATCCTTAATACTTATAAGTTTTGTGCCATAAAACTGAGTCACAGTATAGATTCGTTGATTTTTGAGGCACATAATCCAAGTTTTGTCTAGTCTCAAATCTTGAATAAATCCTTAATACTTATAAGTTTTGTGCCATAAAACTGAGTCACAGTATAGATTCGTTGATTTTTGAGGCACATAATCCAAGTTTTGTCTAGTCTTAAATCTTGAATAAATACTTAATACTTATAAGTTTTGTGCCATAAAACTGAGTCACAGTATAGATTCGTTGATTTTTGAGGCACATAATCCAAGTTTTGTCTAGTCTCAAATCTTGAATAAATCCTTAATACTTATAAGTTTTGTGCCATAAAACTGAGTCACAGTATAGATTCCTTGATTATTGAGGCACATAATCCAAGTTTTGTCTAGTCTCAAATCTTGAATAAATACTTAATACTTTTAAGTTTTGTGCCATAAAACTGAATCACAGTATAGATTCGTTGATTATTGAGGCACATAATCCAAGTTTTGTCTAGTCTTAAATCTTGAATAAATACTTAATACTTATAAGTTTTGTGCCATAAAACTGAGTCACAGTATAGATTCCTTGATTTTTGATGCACATAATCCAAGTTTTGTCTAGTCTTAAATCTTGAATAAATACTTAATACTTATAAGTTTTGTGCCATAAAACTGATTCACAGTATAGATTCGTTGATTTTTGAGGCACATAATCCAAGTTTTGTCTAGTCTCAAATCTTGAATAAATACTTAATACTTATAAGTTTTGTGCCATAAAACTGAGTCACAGTATAGATTCGTTGATTTTTGAGGCACATAATCCAAGTTTTGTCTAGTCTTAAATCTTGAATAAATACTTAATACTTATAAGTTTTGTGCCATAGAACTGAGTCACAGTATAGATTCGTTGATTTTTGAGGCACATAATCCAAGTTTTGTCTAGTCTCAAATCTTGAATAAATCCTTAATACTTATAAGTTTTGTGCCATAAAACTGAGTCACAGTATAGATTCCTTGATTATTGAGGCACATAATCCAAGTTTTGTCTAGTCTCAAATCTTGAATAAATACTTAATACTTTTAAGTTTTGTGCCATAAAACTGAATCACAGTATAGATTCGTTGATTATTGAGGCACATAATCCAAGTTTTGTCTAGTCTTAAATCTTGAATAAATACTTAATACTTATAAGTTTTGTGCCATAAAACTGAGTCACAGTATAGATTCCTTGATTTTTGATGCACATAATCCAAGTTTTGTCTAGTCTTAAATCTTGAATAAATACTTAATACTTATAAGTTTTGTGCCATAAAACTGATTCACAGTATAGATTCGTTGATTTTTGAGGCACATAATCCAAGTTTTGTCTAGTCTCAAATCTTGAATAAATACTTAATACTTATAAGTTTTGTGCCATAAAACTGAGTCACAGTATAGATTCGTTGATTTTTGAGGCACATAATCCAAGTTTTGTCTAGTCTTAAATCTTGAATAAATACTTAATACTTATAAGTTTTGTGCCATAAAACTGAGTCACAGTATAGATTCGTTGATTTTTGAGGCACATAATCCAAGTTTTGTCTAGTCTTAAATCTTGAATAAATACTTAATACTTATAAGTTTTGTGCCATAAAACTGAATCACAGTATAGATTCCTTGATTATTGAGGCACATAATCCAAGTTTTGTCTAGTCTTAAATCTTGAATAAATACTTAATACTTATAAGTTTTGTGCCATAAAACTGAGTCACAGTCAGGGTCACAGTATAGATTCGTTGATTTCTGAGGCACATAATCCAAGTTTTGTCTAGTCTCAAATCTTGAATTAGGGGTTCCAGAATTCCCGTTCCCGTAAGATTTCGGGAATCGGGAACGGGAACGGGAATGATGTCCGGGAACGGGAATATTCCCGGGAATCAACAAAAAAAAGTTAAAAGCTACACTTACACCATGTATTTTCTTTAGGTTTTTAAATCAAATTTAAATTCTTTTTGATTTGATTGTCAAATTGATTCTTTTGACAATAATTTCCGTTTGAAATTCAATTATTTTTGATTTTAGAACAATTCTTAATGTACGATTTTAACTGGTCTAGCAATCTACTGCGATTTTTTGAGACAATATTATTGGAGATTGAAAAGTTACGTTCAGCTCTTGTAGATGTTGGTGGATTCCAGAAATATTAATTTCAAGCACGTTTTTTTATTTTGGAAAAATTACTTTAATCCAATGTCAATTAAGTTTATTATTTTATAGACATCATACATTTAAAAAATATTTTTAAATACTTTTCTCTTCGTTTTTCATAAATATATGTTTTTGATTTAAAAAACATCAAATTTGAGTTTAATATTTCAACTCTTAAATTCCTTAACGTATGTTTTCATTATTATAATTTTTTTCTTTAAATTGTAGTTTTTTTCATGGAAAATACAAAATTTAAAAAAGCTAATTTGAATTGTCGGTTTTTTTTTGGTATGAAAACGGGAATTCCCGGGAATATTCCCGATTTTAGAACCCCTATGATTGACCATCGTCAAGACAATAAGACATCGTCAAGACAATTCTTCTGTAGTTTGTCAGTTAAAAAAGTCTATATAAATTCAATTTGTATCAAATATTCATACTATGTGCTTACTTGTGTGTGAACGATGAGTAATTGTTCAAATGTGAAGAAAATAACACAACATATGAAATGTTTTATGATGGCTATAAGTGCTGCTCCTTAAAGAACCTAAAATATATGGCAATTTTAAAAACGAATTAGTAAAATCAAAATAAATTTAATTCTTAATTAAGATTTGCTGTTTAAATTAAAGTTTTATGATATCAAATTCACTTTCTCTGATGGAAATTAGTCAGAAAAACTTTCAAAAAGGCTCACATAAAGCCTACGTTACGTAAAATGATTAAGTAAAATCACACAACATTAAGTTCTACGTTGCGTTTGCTCTTTCTCGATGTAAATTAAAGATGGAAGTCGATGGACAGGTAAAGGAGAAGCTGATGCAAGATAAAGGAGAGATTAAACTGAGAAAGCAAATTTTTTGATGGTTCTTCTTTCATAGTTAATCATATCAAGTTTCATTCCATTCAATCGTGTTTTTATTCTATTACTGCTCACATTTCAGGCTTTGAATCAGAACAGTCCGAGATAGAGGCAAAAACGTTCTTTACCACACACCTGAGCATGAAAAAGAATCACAATTTAGGGTTAGAGTTAGACGCTTGTAATTAAGCTTCTATTGATTACAACTCAAATCATCAGAGGCTCATTTTTCACATTAAACTACACGATACGTCATTGGACCTGATGTAAGTCTAATGCTGTGTGTGAGAACAGGCATCTAGACAAAAAATTGCAAGTCTCTTTTACGAGCAAGCAATCAATGTCCTTGATGCCACTCTACATCAAGGATGAACCAATCAATAGCCACGATAGTAAGTCTCACAGGCAGAAACACATGACTCATAGGCTCGATTTACAAAAAAAAAAAACAAGAACAGAAAAACTTTTTAAAAAAAGGGTCAAAAGACTTTGCTCCCTCAAGTTTTACCCCTCCTCATCTTGCATCGACCCCCCTCTGACCTATTCAACGACTCCCACTCTTAATTTACATCAACAAAGGCTGACGAAATTTAAAACTCAATGCAATGCGTTTTTAAGTAATCATTTCACGTATTGCAAGCATTACGTACGCAATTGCAGGAAGTCAAATGGCTGGTTTCATTAAAGAAAATTAATTTGAAAATCTGAATGTGTTTCAGATGACGTAGATCAATTAAGTTAAAGTGGCCCTTGAATGTCCTATTTATCAGTATACTTAGCTTTTTCTTCGTTGTCACTAGCCTCTTGCTTCTTTAATTGTGTCCTGGTTCCTTCAAGCTTCATCAATCTCACTTTCACTACAATTTTACAGCTTCTTGAATTTAATTTTCTTAACTTTCAATGTTCACTCAGAAAATTTTTCATTTTTTTCTTCACTTTTAATTTTTTCATCACTTTTGGCTTATTTTCACTGTTGTTTCCATTTTAGCACTTCACTATCACTTTTATCTTGAACTCCACTTCTTTTTAAGCATTAATAATGTCATGTTCCAATTTATTTGCACCGATTTGCCAATATTTAAAAACACGTCTTTAAAGAATTAAACTGAAGAAAATTGTGAAAAAATCGAAAGTCAAAGGTTGCTGAGAAATTTGATTTGATTTTTTTGACTGATTGTAATTTCACATTTTCTGTCGTTAATTAAGGGTGTATTCAGCTCCTGTTCATGTCAATTTCAATCGTTTGTTTACATTTATTTACAATTGAGCATTTTTAACGGATATTTTGAATTTAATTATCTTGTTTCGGTAAAATTTTGAAAAAAAAACGGTATTTCTTCATGTTCCAGTAAATAGCTTATGGGCAATTCCATGAAACGATTTATCTACAAATTTTTCTCCAAATTGATTTTTTACATCTTTAGACTGTTCTACTGCAAATAAGCTTTTCGTAGGCCATTTAAAACATCATTTTCTATATCATTTCCATAAAACTGAGTCACAGTATAGATTCGTTGATTTTTGAGGCACATAATCCAAGTTTTGTCTAGTCTCAAATCTTGAATAAATACTTAAAACTTATAAGTTTTGTGCCATAAAACTGAGTCACAGTAGAGATTCGTTGATTTTTGAGGCACATAATCCAAGTTTTGTTTAGTCTCAAATCTTGAATAAATACTTAATACTTTTAAGTTTTGTGCCATAAAACTGAGTCACAGTATAGATTCGTTGATTTTTGAGGCACATAATCCAAGTTTTGTCTAGTCTCAAATCTTGAATAAATACTTAAAACTTATAAGTTTTGTGCCATAAAACTGAGTCACAGTAGAGATTCGTTGATTTTTGAGGCACATAATCCAAGTTTTGTCTAGTCTCAAATATTGAATAAATACTTGAAACTTACTTTTATTAAATAAATTAATTTTAAATATGTTTTCTACACAAATTGACATTATTTAAAAATATAGTTTTAGCGACATAGTTATGCTCGATATATGATAAGGAACTAGCTTGTGAGATTGTGATTCCGGTCAATAATCTGTTCAACTCATGATCATTACGGATGGCTATTTTAAGATGTCGTGGACTTATTAAGGCTTCTTTACTGTCACGTGCTGCATTTCCAGCCAATTTCAAGATTTCTGCTGTTAAATATTCTAATACTGCAGTTAAATAGATTGGAGCACCTTAAAATAATATATTTTTTGGTAAGGAAGTCGTTTTTAATAAAAATCAAGTTACCTGAACTGATACGACTCATGTAATTTCCTTCCTTCATCATTCGATAAACAAGTCCAACAGAAAACGTTAAGCTAGCCCGTTGTGAACGGGTCAGGAAAAATTTTAAATCACTTTTTCGAACCATTAGATCCTTGAGGTAATTTAATTAAGCTATATGTTTTCAGCTTTAATGCTGTTTCCTTATTGATGACTTTTCGAAGATTGCGTGTTCTATTTATAGGTAATAAAGTAAAATGGCGACATTCGAAATGAACATTATTAAATGTTTATAGCTTCGTCAAAATGATTGTTTAACTTAGTTAAGAATGCACTATATTTGTTTTGAAACATCCATAAAAACCCTTAAAAGCAGCAAGAATATTAGAGATTTTAATTTTACAGACTAAAATAAGGCTTGGATCTCTTAAAATTATGTTCAAAATGTAGAACAAGATTAATACAATAAAATGAGAATAGTTATTTGTTGCAATAATAACTAAGTGAAGCTTAATATTGCTTCTTTATTTTCTATTGTTCAAATCATTCAGCACTAATACATACAAAGAATTTTATTGTTCAATATGAATCTGCAATTTTAGATTGGTTCTTCCAACATCGAGTATCTTGGCTCCTTTTATTGCTTTAATCATGTAGAATTGTATGCTTTAAAAAGGTTAATGGCCATAATAAGGGCTGAAAAAGAATTTCGAAAATTTTCGTATTTTCGCTCACCAACACCATTACAAAAGTTCTGTATAAAAGAACCGACGCTTCTGCACAACTTATCATTCAGTTTTCGGACTTCAGACAGTAAACATCTCATCTGAAATAATAAAGTAAAATAGTTAAAATCATGACTGGACGAGGCAAAGGAGGAAAAGGACTAGGAAAGGGAGGAGCTAAGCGACATCGTAAGGTTCTACGTGATAACATTCAAGGAATAACAAAGCCTGCAATTCGTCGATTAGCAAGACGTGGTGGAGTTAAACGTATATCAGGATTAATTTATGAGGAAGTACGTGGAGTATTGAAGATCTTTTTAGAAAATGTCATTCGTGATTCTGTGACTTATACCGAACATGCTAAACGAAAGACAGTAACAGCTATGGACGTAGTTTATGCACTTAAACGACAAGGACGAACATTGTATGGATTTGGTGGTTAAACCAACTGGAACTAGAACATTATAAATTTACATTAATTAACAAAATATTTTTATTTGATACAATTGAGGAATAAAAAGCTTAACAAAAGTAATTTGAAATGTTGACTTTATTATTTGAATGCCTTCATAGTTTTGTCAAAACTATTCTAGAAGCTTGATAAACTGTTACTTGCTCAACTTTTCCTAATTTTACAGGTCTGCTTATATGGCTTGATGATTCCATAGAATAATTATAAAGGAATTCAATAAACTATTATCTATTAAGGAGATTAGATTTATTTATGGAGCTGAAAAGTATGGCTTAAAGGACCTTTGTGGTGCATCTATGATCCAAAATGCTTCAATTGAAAATGTTATGGATTTTTACAACCTCGCTGATTTTTATGGCATTAAGGATTTGTTGGATTATTGTGCAAAATTTATAAAATTGTGAGTTGCAGGATGTTGCTTTGTTTCTGTGGATTAATAAAAGCTATAATACATATTTACAGGAATTATCAAGTTTTGAATAGAAACAAACAAAATTGGGAGAAGCTGGAGAAGGAGCAACTAGTTTCACTTCTAGGATATTATCAACAAACTCCAGACTGCTCTCTTATTTTTGAATCATCATTATAATGAGATTAATCATCATATTGAAAGCATTACTGTTTGTTAATTAAATATAGTTGTGATCTATAGAAAAATTATTGTGTTTAATGTTAAGAATGAGTCTATGTTCTCCATAATTCATGCTTTAAAAGGAGTACATAAAAATGCATGCTCTATTTAATAATACTTACATCACATATCAATAGCCATAACTATAAGCTTAATTTTTATCGTAAAGGCTGAGATGTCTACACTATATTACATCCGGTAGCTGTTTTTCTAATGATGACTATTTGCTTTTGTTGTCATCCACCATTTTTATTATTATTGTTGTAATTGTGCGCCATCTTGAATTTTTTCCTATAAAATGTGTGCACATTTTGACGAATTGTCATTCGGGTTTTTGAGATCAGACTGTTCACATCGTGATAAAAATGGCAAAATCCAAGAAAACTCCAAAAAACCGGGATGTAAAACCAGCAAGTACTGTCAAAAATACCGAGAAGAAGGAAAAGGTTCGTAAACGCAAAAACAAAGAATCTTATGGACGATTCATCTACAAAATTTTGAAGCAAATTCATCCAGATGCTGGAATTTCGTCGAAAGCAATGATTATCATGACTGGCTTCTTGAATGATAATTTTGAAAAAATTGCTAGTGAAGCTTCCCGTTTGACAAAAATGGTCCATCGTCAAACATTAACAAGTCGCGAGATCCAGTCAAGTGTTCGCTTATTATTGCCAGGAGAACTAGCTAAACACGCAATTTCGGAAGGAACTAAAGCTGTTACTAAATACACATCGTCATTATCTCATTAAACTTTATTTAAGTATCAATAAACCAAGTTGTACAGACCATTCTGGCCTTAAATTATTTTTATTGATTTAATTCTCTAGTTTTTGATGACTGCGGTTAAAACTTTTATTATATCTGGAAAAAAATGGAAGTAAATTATTTTTCAGATCACTTTAGCTTCTTACCATCTAGATTATACTGCATAGTTTCGGATTTGTTGCTTTCTTCATCAATATCATAGTCATGCTCAGTGTTCTTAGCTGTTTTCAATGACAAGTAGATGTACCTCTTAATATTCTCATAAACAGCATGCTGAATAGCTGTCTGATCTATCTCTGTAAGTCCAACATTAATGATCACACGTTGTCTAGGCATAGTTTCAATTATTAAAGTTGCAGCTTGGAAGATAAAATCATTTGTGAAGCCATAACAGCATGAAATGTCAAGGAACTTTAAGGATTTGATGTTGAACAGCCTTAAAACATTTTCAGCAGAAAGGTGAGAACATCCAGCAATGTGAATTTCTTCAAGATGCTCTAAATCCACAAGATAGTCTATCAAGTCATCAGAAACTGCAGTTTTAAAGTTCATGATCAACTTCCTTAATTTCTTCATTGTGCTGATTGCATAGATAGTTGTTAATGTCAAGTTCCCATAAGATATGTCTAAAATTTCAATGGAATTGCTCAAGTTTATGGTTTTTAAAAGCTGGTCACATGGTGGATAATTAAGGTTGTGGATAGACAGTTCCTTTAAATTGATCATACTATTAATGTTAGGGATAACAGTCTTCGACATGTCTTCATCCAAATAATAATTATTTATTGTCAAGGACTTCAATTGCAGTGCATTAATAAGCATTTCGTTTATTTCGCATCCATAAATGTTTGGACATCTTCCAATGTTTAGTGACAAGAGGTTTTTATTGCCTTTAGTGTAAGGAATAAGATGCCGTCCATTAACATTTCTACATCCAGAAATGTCTAGCTTGCTGAGGAAAAGAACATTTTCAAGAAAATCTCCAATCACGTTGCTATTTGAGACATTCAATGACTTTAAATTTATAATTTTAGACTTTTTGTAGCAATTCATAAAGCTTTCATGTATTGAGCTATTGTCACTCAGATCCAGTGACTCCAAACTTAACAAAATCTTCTTCATTTGACACCAAAACTCCTTGCTATTTAGCCTGAATCCAACAACTTTTAAATGCTTAAGATTCGGAAAATATCTGGGTATTAAGCTTAATATCCTTTGATTATTAAACTTTTCGCTGTCAATTGACAATCGAGTAACATTACAGACTCTTTCACAAATTAATTTCACTTCCAGCAAAGTCATTCGCTTCAATCCAGTCACAGTGAGCCTTAAAGTTTTTAAAGTGCGAAAATAATAGTCAGCAAGGTCATGAAACTTGCTACAAACTTTTTTCAACATAAAAACATCGTTTGGTTCTAGGAAGGATATGACGTGCAACAAGCAATCATCATCGAGGATCGATAATAATTCTGATTCACTATTACTAATTTTTGCATTGACATTGATGATTTGTGGATGTCCAACATAGTCTGGTTGGAGCCAAGTGTCAGCAGCATTAAGTTTGAAGTATTCATCAAAGTTCTTTCGACTCAAAAGTGCTTTTGTTGCGTCACAGCATGTTTTGTATGTTACAAAGCCACGATTCTTCATCCTCACTTTTCCTGGGCTAATGTTAATCTTCATGTCCTCAATTTCACCGAAAGCATGTAAAATGTGATTGAGTTTATCAATATTTAAGGAACGCTGATGGATTTTGAAATAAAGTTTTCTGATGTCAGTTCCATCTTCAGTTTTTAGGCAATATTGATTGTCAGACTCAATTGTGTCTGCAGATAATGAAGTTAAGTTATGGGAATTAGGTACGCATGAAGAACTTACCTGACAACTGCTTGTAAAGCTGAATAAAATGTGAATTTGGATGATAACGAAACATTTTAGAGGAATGCCATTTTTACGTATTAGAATTTCAAGGTAGTTGCTATGCGACATAAATAAGCTAGGATGTTTATTATTGCTAAATAATTTAGTTTTATTAATTCATTTCACAGAAATTCATAAAAAGTTTCAAATTATAATCCATAATTAGCAGTGCTGACTATTCCTCTCGATTCTTACATTCCTTCTTTACAAGTGATGACTCAAACAGCAAAACCTTCTCGGGAATGTCATGATAATATTCCAAAAGTGCAGTCAATTCATTAATTTCCAACATCCTTTCACTTTGTTTTCTGCTATAGCTTTATGATTTCTAGCATATATTTCATATAATACTTGTAAGCTAGGATAAAGCAGTATACAGCAATGTCAACTGTTAAATATTTGACCAAATACTTGGCACAGTGAATCTTTAAGCCTTCCAATCCAAACTTTTCAGCACCATATAACAAATATGCGTAATCTCTTTTCATGCCAAAAATATTGTCCGTGTAAATGTATCTTCACGTAAATGCTGTGAAATCACTTGCAACTCAGAAGTTCATCAATCAATGAAAGGTACAAAAGTGTTTATTTAGTCAAACTTTATTTTTATTTAAATATATAAAGCTTTATGTAACATGTTCTTAATAAGTTTCTTTAAAGTTATGCACTGCTACGTTTTGTAGTCTTCTTTTGCAATAAAATGCTATGGATGTTTGGCAAAACGCCTCCTTGTGAAATTGTTACTCCAGTCAACAACTTATTCAATTCTTCGTCATTCTTAATAGCCAATTGAAGATGTCGTGGAATAATTCTTGCTTTCTTATTGTCTCGTGCTGCATTTCCAGCCAATTCCAAAATTTCTGCTGTCAAATATTCCAGCACAGCAGCTAGATATACCGGAGCACCTTAATAGTTTGATAGATTAGAAATCTATAGAACAATAATGTTATTAATTATAATCACCTGCACCAACACGTTCCGAGTAATTTCCTTTTTTGAGCAATCGATGAATTCGACCAACGGGAAAGGCTAATCCTGCCTTTGCTGAACGACTTGTTGGTTTTGAACGAACTTTTCCCCCTTTTCCTGACATTGTTAACTTTATTAAACGGTGTTTACTGCTTGACGTCTCAAATTATAATGAAGAACTTTCAGAACGTGAACTTCTTTTATAGGAAAAAATTCAAGATGGACGACATGAAAAGCTTTCTTAAAATGGCTGATATAAACAAGCGAAAATTATAAAATCAATTTATATGTCAAAGAATCAGCAGAGATCGAGTACAATTCTAAGTAAAATGGATCAAAATAACGTCAACCTAGATGATGAATCCTTGAAATGCACTCTGAATATGTTATTTCATGCCTAATTTACAGTAATGTTTTTGAAAATTTTGTAATTTTGTTTTGGGAATATTATGCCATTATATGACTGCTGGATCTTTAAGAAATACGATAGATCTGTAATACAATGCAGGTTCTAATAGTTTCACTAGTTATTCGGTCCATAAAATAACTGAATAATCAAATATTTTCGATTTTTTAAATCATCAAAGAATAAGATTGTGTAAAATAGTTAAATATAGCATAAATCTCTTTAAAACAAAGTGGCTGTGGCATTACTTGGTGCTTCATACAATGATTTATCTATCTGAGCTGTGACTATAATGTAGGTTGTAGCTGTGGATATGCACTGAAATAAAACATTTTCAAATGATCTTCTGGATATACTCATTAGTTAATTAAGGGTTACATTACCCCAAAAAGTAGCCTCCAATCAATATCAAAGAATAAAGTCTCAAAACTTTTCCTAATCCCTCGAATGTGCGTCAAATATGCTTTAATGAACCGAAAAGTATTCGGTTCCAAAGATTTCATATCCTTTAAAATTTGATACTCAATTGAATTGATCTTGTTGAAGCTAGTCATAGTACTGACCGATGAATAAATGACAACAATCCATAAATGAAGACAGAGAAACATCCATAGAACATTTGGTGATAAAATTAAGAAGTTCACATGTGCTTGTAGATGAAAAACGAGTATGAAGTTGTGTATCTCAAATATTATTGAGACTAGCAAGAATCCAAACATGTGAATGAGCGGGAATGTCAAGTTATTATTAATTAAATCGATGCATTCGAAGAGCTTTTCATAAATCTCCAATGTTATATAAATTTCAATCATTTTCGTATGCTTCTTCTGATAAACTAAGCAGAATCTGTCACGAATAGCAACAACAGGACATGCAAATTGAAAGATGAAAGGAATACAGTAGATATTCAGGATGTTGAACAATGCAGACATGCCTATGTCAAAATTGAAATTTTCTTTATTTTCTACCATAATTATTATTGGCGTTAATGTCATGTGTAATGCCCAAAATAAGAGCGTTCCATAAATGAAATAAAATGATTGTCTTCTGTGTCCATTATAGTTTATATGAAGTTTTAGAAGAGCCAACTGGAAACGAAATTGCAAAAATTAAAATCATGCTTACTGTCTTATTGATTTAAACTTTTCATTCACAATAATTTATGCACATGAATCTTGAGTTCTAATAATCACATGTTTATGCAATGAAAAAATAACGACCAAAATTTATTTAAATTTGCAAAATAATTTTGAACCGGCTGAATCAGTTCTTTAAAATTTAAATAATTTTTATCCGTTAGGCTTTTATTCAATTTGAATTTTTATAATCGAAAATCTGTGCCTGTCTAGATATTTAAGCAATTTACCTTTTCATCAACTTGATCAATTACATTATAAAGCTGAGGAAAATTTTCAGATCTTGAATATTGGTAAATTAATGTCACTAATAATGAAGTTCCAGAAATAATTGTTGATCCTTCAAGTGCACTATCCAGCAACTGGTATGAATTAGAGAGCAGTTGAAAGTTTCTTAACATATTCCACAAAAATAATCCAGCAATAGTAAAAATTACACAAACTGCATATATTTTTCCATAAATTCTCACAATTATGCTGTATGTAGATTCAAATGACGGCACAAAAAGTCCACAAAACTTTAATAAGCTGTAAAGTGGATAAAATGAGGAACAAAGATTTTTTGAACTTTTCTGAATCATTTTGTGTGTCCTAGTTTGAGGAACTTCTAACACACGAATAAATTGATTGAAAAAATCATGCTTGAATCCTTACGTTATAATCAAGTTAAGGATCTATTTACAACAATGAATAATTAAGTGAAATAATTAAAGGTGCTGTGTGTTGGGGGCTGTTCACTTATTACGTAACGCGAAAAAATTACTTTTTAGACCCCCCCCCCCTCGTAACAAAATTTGTATGAAAAAAAAATTTCCTTGTTTGAACCGTAACAAAATCTTAGACCCCCCTCCCCCCTAAAAGCGTTACGTAATAAGTGAATGGCTCCTTGACAATGGATGTGAATTCATTTATGTTTCGTATAATCAACAGCTTTAAGCTTTATTTTGAAACTATCGGATTTTGAGTTTTAAAAAATCGTTGAATGATAAGTTTTGTGTATACGCATTTAAACTCAGTTGATGCCTAAAATAAACTTGTAAAATTAGAAGGTGCGTTATACTTTGACTTATCAGATTGAACAGTGATGATTATGTATGTTAATATTGTTGAAAAACACTATAATTAAGTTTTAATGAGTCACATATTGAATCTTTAAAGATTGTTTATATTAACTTACCCCAAATAACAGCCTCCAGTCAATGTCAAAGAAGGCAGTGCCAAAATGTCTCCTTGATCTTCTAATTTTCTTCAAATGAGCTTTAATTAAATGAAAGCTTTCAGTATCCATATCTTTAATGTCACTCAAAATTTTAAAACCAATAGAATCAATTCTATTAAATACAGCACTAGCACTGACAGATGAATTAATCACAATTGACCAAAGGAAGAGATAGTTCAACATCCAGATCAAATCAGGACACAAGACATTAAATTTTGCTCCCGATTTTTGAAGAAAGACAACAATAATGTTATGGATCTCAAAAATCATTGATACCAAAAAGTATCCAAACACATAAATTAATGGAGCTGTAAGGTTATTGTTGACCATAACAATGCACTGGAAAAGCTTCTCATAGATTTCTAAAGTCACATGAACATCGAATTTACTGAGGAACTTTCATTCGTACAGCACGTAGAACCTATCACGGAGAGCAATAACAGGACATGTGAACTGGAAAATAAACAAAATTCCGTAAATATCCAGGATGTTTAAATTGACTGACATGATAATATCATAATTGATGCTTTCCTCGCTTTCGATTATCATAATTAATAACGACAGCAACGCTGTAAAAAGAAGCAGCAATAAGGATCCTGAAATGTAGTAAATTGACTTATTTTTGTGAGCTTTGTAGCTGATTTTAAGGTTCAGGAAACTCATCTGAAATTATATTTATGGGATGTTTGATATATGCCAAGCGACCTTAAAACTGTCAATTTGAAGAGACCTACCTTATCATCTATTTGATTAAGTATTGTAAAAATCATTTTTAAATTTTCTGACCTTTTCTGTAGATAAACAACAGTTAACAGCAAGGAAACTCCTCCCAAAATTAATGAAGTTTTAAGTGCACTATCCAGCAATTCCGATGAATTTAGGAACGATTGAACATTGATGAAGATATTCCAAAGAAATAATCCAGCGATTAAAATTATGACAGAAGCAGCGTAAAGCTTATCAAAAATTCGAATTTCCAAGCAGTAAGATGAGTCAAATGACTGCACGAAAATTGCAAACATCTTCAATATAATGTAAAGTGGATAAAATGACAAATAAAGCTTTTGTGAATTATTACGAAACATTTCGTGTTCCTTTAATGAACTTTAACAGACGAATGAATAAACAAAAATAGAAAAGCAGACATGCTGCATGTAGACACTACTTAATAATTTAAATATACTCTTGTTACATGTTATTAAACTTTCGTTCGTCGACAGCATAGCATTTAAGTGCTAGTCAAGGAATCTCAATTATTGGAAGACTAATGGATATTTGTATAGCTTTATTATTATATATTAGCTCAACAGATGCATCATGATTGCTTGAAAGTCCTTAAAATAGAAATTAATTTAAGCTACAAATATAAAGTTGTAAAGAAAAGTAAGTTTTATTCAAAGGAATTGTTAATGCTGTTATACAGTTTAATAATGTATCTTATTTTTTAATTAAATTTAAATTTGCAGCTTTATGCTCGTTCTCCACGAATGCGACGTGCCAATTGCACATCTTTTGGCATGATTGTTACACGCTTTGCATGTATGGCACATAAGTTTGTGTCTTCAAACAATCCGACCAAATAAGCTTCTGCTGCTTCTTGTAAAGCCATTACAGCTGATGATTGGAATCTCAGATCTGTCTTAAAGTCTTGTGCAATTTCACGAACCAATCGTTGGAATGGAAGTTTACGAATCAATAATTCCGTTGACTTTTGATAACGTCTAATTTCACGCAATGCTACAGTTCCTGGACGGAAACGATGTGGCTTCTTAACTCCACCAGTATCCATTGGGCCCTTACGTGCCGTTTTACTTAGAACTACTTGCTTTCTTACTGCCTTTCCGCCTGTAGATTTACGTGCTGTTTGCTTTGTACGAGCCATAATAATTTTTTGACGAGATGTTTATACGTTGAAGTCCGAAAATCAAATGATGAAATTCATGGAAGCGTCAAACCTTTTATACTGAAAAGTTGTAGTTGTATTAGTGAAAGGAAAGAATATGAATGCATTTTTTACTTTAATTACTAAAATTAACTTGAATAAAACTTTATTAAATCATAGATCATGATGTATGCTATACGATGAATTAAGTTAAACTCTTCAAATAGCTGTCTCAATGCCTAAAATCTTAAATCCCTGAAAATGCAAATGTGTGAGTAAAAAACATAAATTATACTGAAATTAATCATTAATTCAGTATAATCAGGTAATAATACATTAACTTAATAGCATTGATGATCATCAACATCATGATTATCGTTCAGGAACTTATTAACAGAAAATTATTCCCATGCAAATCATCTTTAATGAATTTTGATGAATACAGTACATTTTGAATAGATTACATGCAAACAGCTTAAAGATTAAGACATAAGCAAGTTTGTTTATTAAATCCTGTCATGGAATATTGTAAATTAGCGAATATATTTTAGACTCTTTTGTTTTCATTCAGGATCAGGAGAACATTTTGGATTTTTGCTATAAAACTGCTATAAAGTAGCAAAAGTCACAGGAAATCTCATTGTAATTCGTGACATCAAGCAATAAACATCGTGTTCGTAACAAAGTACAATATAATTCATCAAAAATGGCATCAAAAGACGTAAAAAAATCTAAAAGCCGTTCGAGCAGATCAGGACTGACATTTCCAGGTAAAATTATTGACACTAAAGCTGATATTCAGCATTTAATTCTAATAATTCCATCATAAATTTAGTCGGTCGCATTCATCGTTTGTTGAGGAAAGGAAATTATGCAGAACGCATTGGTTCAGGTGCTCCTATCTATATGGCTGCTGTTTTGGAATATTTGGTAGCAGAAATCTTGGAATTGGCGGGAAATGCAGCACGTGACAATGAAAAGAGCAGAATTGTGCCCCGTCATCTTCAATTGGCTATTCGAAACGATGAAGAACTTAATAAATTATTGGGAAATGTTACAATTTCTCAAGGAGGCGTTTTGCCTAACATTCAAGCTGTTTTACTGCCAAAGAAGACTACAAAGCATGCAATGGAGGAAAATGATGACGCATAGGATATAAAAGTTTTATTTTAAATGTTTTGTTATTATCGTTAAGCACAAATTTGTGGAAATAAATGTATCTTTTTAATATTGAAGCCATTTTTAAGCATTAAAGTAAGTCTAGTTAAACTCACTGTTTTCTTACTAATAAACCTGCTGCCGCCATTTCATTTTGCTATAATTTTTAAAGGTGGTTTAAATTGCTATAAAAATTCCACTATAAAACAGCTGACATAGCAAAGAACTTGTCATTTATAATTTTGACTTTAACGAGTTCACATCGCATAAAAACAAAATGGCAAAAGGAAAGGGAACATTAAAGGCAAAAGCCCCAAAAGTAAAGGAAGTAGTTGCTGCAAAGGATAAGACGAAAATGCGTCGACATAAACGTAAAGAATCATTTGCAATGTACATATACAAAGTATTGAAGCAGGTTCATCCAGATACGGGAATCTCATCAAAAGCTATGAGCACAATGAACAGCTTTGTCAATGACATATTCGAACGATTAGCTTGTGAAGCTTCACGTTTGTCACATTACAATAAACGTTCAACAATGTCAAGTCGTGAGATGCAGACAAGCGTTCGTTTATTATTGCCAGGAGAATTATCCAAGCATGCAGTCTCTGAAGGAACTAAGGCTGTAACTAAATATACATCATCATTGGCTTAAACTGTATACATTTATTATAATAAAAGAGAATTTTCAAGACTTTGGTAGCTAATGCATGTGCGTTTGATTTTAAAATATTTCAGATTTAAATTGAGCAGTATTGAAGACACAATCGATGATTATAAATCCAAAAATAACGAACTGTTTTCAAAAAAAGGTCTAAAAGTTTGCTATAAAATGCCTCAATCTCTTACACATCGTAATTGTACCTTATTAACAATCTTGACTTCAACGAGCTAACATCGTGCAGAACAAATCAAGGTAAACAAGATGACGAAAAGTAAAGTTCCAAAAATAAAGGATGTAGGCAATAACAAGAAGAAAACTCGCAGACGTAAACGCAAAGAATCATTCGGAATTTATCTATTCAGAGTATTAATACAAGCTCATCCAAACGCAAGCATATCAACAAAAGCAATAGGAATAATGAACAGCTTTTTGATGGATATTTTGGACAGAGTTGCAAGTGAAGCTGCACGCATAGCAAAATACAATAATCGCCCAACAATTTCGTGCCGTGAACTTCAGACAAGCATTCGTTTAATATTGCCAGGAGAATTGGCTAAGCATGCAGTTGCGGATGGTGTTAAGGCTGTTCATAAGTACATGATGAGCCCTAAGTAAATCATTAATAATAAAGCACATTTTGAATGACTTTCGACTGGAATAAACTTTGTTTTAATTAAAATATGATCAAGTAGAAAATATTTCAGTTTAATTCAGCAACAATGAGTGACGAGGCTTCAATTAAGTCCATTCAAGACAAACCAAATTATAAGTTTACAGGCAAAGGTGTCATCAAAATGTTCATCAGCTCAGTAAATTCATTTTATGGAAAATTCATCGTCTCACAGCTTTTATCATACAGCACAAACAATGGAACTAAGTATGAAATATATGGAACAATTCAAGAAAGTCAAGCTATAATGCTATCTGATGTTGAATTTTTGAATCCAGAAAGTGAAAGTTTTTTATATAATGTAACTAATTGTGACGTTATTGTAATGGATATATCACATGATAAAATGCAGCTACAAGAGTCGAAGGCTATTGTTAATCAACTAGAAAATCTATTGACAAATGGAACTGAATTAAAAGTTAAATTGATATTAATTTCTACAGTCTTAATTTGGACAAAAACAACACATTATGACGAAATCCTGACAGATTCAAATTATCGGAAGCGACTTCCCCATCCATGCTTTAGTGCTCATTTGCTGCTTGAGAGACAAGTCATTTAAAGAAAAAGTTTAAGGATTCAATTAAAAGTGTTGTTTTATGTCCAGGAATCATTTATGGAGAGGAACAAGGCATATTCCATTACATTTTTAAGCAGTGCTTCTTCAATCATCCATACGTTGATGTTTTCATGCCAGGAGTTAATTATTTGCCAATTATTTACATCCATGATTTTGAGAAAATTGTTTTGAATCTTTTGACAAACTTTCCGGATGTTTCAAGCAACTACATACTTGCTGTTCAACCAAATCTATCAACTGCGTTTGATATTGCTAGAATATTTGCACAAGCAATCAGTGGAAATGAAATTATGATCAGAATATGTGGAAAGGAAGAGATTTTTGCGATTAACATCGATGAAATAACGGTAAAAATAAATTTAATTTCACCGGTTTTAGAAAATTTAAATTTATGCTCGATTTGAATGTTGAAAATTCTTTATAGCAAAGGACCTACAATCACATGACGCTAAATCTTCGATTGAAATCTGACTATTTAAAAGACTTTGAATTTACAATCAATGGACATAACTTAGAAGATTCTGCTGAGCAAATTGGAAATGAATTTTACGAATCGAGAAGATTAAAACCAATCAAGAGTCCTCACACTTCTCAATTAAAATTAGCAAAAAAGCTCAGTCAATTCTATTGTCTTCATCCTATCGATCATAAATGCTTTTTAAAGACTTATCAATGTCGATTGGTGAGTAGCAACAAAAGTCGTACGTAACATTTGGTTCTGAAATTCGAAAAACACTTGCCAAGTTATTATGAATGAATGTTGAAAGTCGCATGCTCTAAACGGTTCTTGCATTACTTTATATCAACTTTGATTTCCAGGCATTAAAAGTTCATTACATTGAAAAGTATCTATCGTACATGAAAGAAGTTTCACTAAAATGCTCAGAAGAAGCCTTGAAGATCATTAAATTCGAGAAATTGATATCTAGCCATGAATCTCAATTGGAAAATTGGAAGCAAAAGAAAGAGAAACTCGATGAAATTTTACTATTCAATAATCACACATTTGATGACATTACTATGTATCTGATCGAAAAATTGTCATGTCATGGCTGTTCACAGCAGTTCACAGCATCAGGGATATGTTTTAAGTAATTTCCAGTTTGACAGCATAATGGCTTAAAAGATCTTTTTATATTCACACCGTTTTCACGTGTGAATCGATTGGTTTTGTTCAGATTGAAAAATCAGTTTTTTGCATTATGTGAGAAAACAAAGCAAAATTTATTATAAAAAGTCACAGAAGAAAAGTTTGTGCCTGAAATTTTACATCATTTTCAAAAAACAGATTTCAAATTGATTGAGGCATTGCTGAGAAAATCATAAAATACGCTTTCTGTAAGCAAACAAGCAAGCAAGCAAGAAATCTCAATAACGAGACATCGTAGAGGGTTTATAAAAATGGATTGAAACTTTGCATAAATATTCTAGTGCTTAAAACAAATACAAATAAAACATCCAAAAATTTTTTTGAGCAAAGAACCAAGTAGGAAATACAATTTCAATTTTGGACTAGGGGCGACCCTAGTCAAAATCAATTTTGTCACTTTTTTCTTCGAGGGTTTATCCAAATGGATTGAAACTTTGCATAAATATTTTAGTGCTTAAAACAAATACAAATAAAACATCCAAAACATTTTTTGAGCAAAGAACCAAGTAGGAAATACAATTTCAATTTTGGACTAGGGGCGACCCTAGTCATAATCAATTTTGTCACTTTTATCTACGAGGGTTTATCCAAATGGATTGAAACTTTGCATAAACAAATACAAATAAAACATCTTAGAATTTTTTTGAGCAAAGAACCAAGAAGGAAATACATTTTCAATTTTGGACTAGGGGCGACCCTAGTCAAAATCAATTTTCTCACTTTTCTTCGAGGGTTTATCCAAATGGATTGAAACTTTGCAAAAATATTCTAGTGCTTAAAAAAAATGCAAATAAAACATTCTAAAATTTTTTTGAGCAAAGAACCAAGTAGGAAATACATTTTCAATTTTGAACTATGGGCGACCCTAGTCAAAATCAATTTTGTCACTTTTTTCTTCGAGGGTTTATCCAAATGGATTGAAACTTTGCATAAATATTCTAGTGCTTAAAACAAATACAAATAAAACATCCAAAAATCTTTTTGAGCAAAGAACCAAGTAGGAAATACAATTTCAATTTTGGACTAGGGGCGACCCTAGTCATAATCAATTTTGTCACTTTTATCTACGAGGGTTTATCCAAATGGATTGAAACTTTGCATAAACAAATACAACTAAAACATCTTAGAATTTTTTTGAGCAAAGAACCAAGAAGGAAATACATTTTCAATTTTGGACTAGGGGCGACCCTAGTCATAATCAATTTTGTCACTTTTATCTTCGATGGTTTATAAAAATGGATTGAAACTTTGCATAAATATTCTAGTGCTTAAAACAAATACAAATAAAACATCCAAAAATTTTTTTGAGCAAAGAACCAAGTAGGAAATACAATTTCAATTTTGGACTAGGGGCGACCCTAGTCAAAATCAATTTTATCACTTTTTTCTTCGAGGGTTTATCCAAATGGATTGAAACTTTGCATAAATATTCTAGTGCTTAAAACAAAAACAAATAAAACATCCAAAAATTTTTTTGAGCAAAGAACCAAGTAGGAAATACAATTTCAATTTTTGACTAGGGGCGACCCTAGTCAAAATCAATTTTGTCACTTTTTTCTCCGAGGGTTTATAAAAATGGATTGAAACTTTGCATAAATATTGTAGTGCTTAAAACAAATACAAATAAAACATCCAAAAATTTTTTTGAGCAAAGAACCAAGTAGGAAATACAATTTCAATTTTGGACTAGGGGCGACCCTAGTCATAATCAATTTTGTCACTTTTATCTTCGATGGTTTATAAAAATGGATTGAAACTTTGCATAAATATTCTAGTGCTTAAAACAAATACAAATAAAACATCCAAAAATTTTTTTGAGCAAAGAACCAAGTAGGAAATACAATTTCAATTTTGGACTAGGGGCGACCCTAGTCAAAATCAATTTTATCACTTTTTTCTTCGAGGGTTTATACAAATGGATTGAAACTTTGCATAAATATTCTAGTGCTTAAAACAAAAACAAATAAAACATCCAAAAATTTTTTTGAGCAAAGAACCAAGTAGGAAATACAATTTCAATTTTTGACTAGGGGCGACCCTAGTCAAAATCAATTTTGTCACTTTTTTCTCCGAGGGTTTATAAAAATGGATTGAAACTTTGCATAAATATTGTAGTGCTTAAAACAAATACAAATAAAACATCCAAAAATTTTTTTGAGCAAAGAACCAAGTAGGAAATACAATTTCAATTTTGGACTAGGGGCGACCCTAGTCAAAATCAATTTTGTCAATTTTTTCTTCGAGGGTTTATAAAAATAGATTGAAACTTTGCGTAAATATTTTAGTGCTTAAAATAAAAACAAATAAAACATCCAAAAATTTTTTTGAGCAAAGAACCAAGTAGGAAATACAATTTCAATTTTGGACTAGGGGCGACCCTAGTCAAAATCAATTTTGTCACTTTTTTCTTCGAGGGTTTATAAAAATGGATTGAAACTTTGCATAAATATTCTAGTGCTTAAAATAAAAACAAATAAAACATCCAAAAATTTTTTTGAGCAAAGAACCAAGTAGGAAATACAATTTCAATTTTGGACTAGGTGCGACCCTAGTCAAAATCAATTTTGTCACTTTTTTCTTCGAGGGTTTATCCAAATGGATTGAAACTTTGCATAAATATTCTAGTGCTTAAAACAAATACAAATAAAACATCCAAAAATTTTTTTGAGCAAAGAACCAAGTAGGAAATACAATTTCAATTTTGGACTAGGTGCGACCCTAGTCAAAATCAATTTTGTCACTTTTTTCTTCGAGGGTTTATCCAAATGGATTGAAACTTTGCATAAATATTCTAATGCTTAAAACAAATACAAATAAAACATCCAAAAATTTTTTTGAGCAAAGAACCAAGTAGGAAATACAATTTCAATTTTGGACTAGGTGCGACCCTAGTCAAAATCAATTTTGTCACTTTTTTCTTCGAGGGTTTATCCAAATGGATTGAAACTTTGCATAAATATTCTAATGCTTAAAACAAATACAAATAAAACATCCAAAAATCTTTTTGAGCAAAGAACCAAGTAGGAAATACAATTTCAATTTTGGACTAGGGGCGACCCTAGTCAAAATCAATTTTGTCACTTTTTTCTTCGAGGGTTTATCCAAATGGATTGAAACTTTGCATAAATATTTTAATGCTTAAAACAAATACAAATAAAACATCCAAAAATTTTTTTGAGCAAAGAACCAAGTAGGAAATACAATTTCAATTTTGGACTAGGGGCGATCTTAGTCAAAATAAATTTTGTCACTTTTTTCTTCGAAGGTTTATCCAATTCCATTGAAACTTTGTGTGAGTATACTAATAATTATACAAAACAGTTTTAAATATCTAAAGCAAGAAATGTATTCTATATGTCGTCAGACCCAAATTTTATAAATTTGGTTGTACATTCAAAAACAACGTGACTTAAAATTTTATCCAAAAAATGATTTTTATTAATTCAGAAATGTGTGACCTGAGGATTAGAATGCTCATACAAAGTTTTACTGTATTTGGATTTATCCTCGAAGAAAAAAGTGAAAAATTAGATTTTGACTGGACCTGTCCCAAGTTCATAATTGAAAATGTATTTCCTACTTGTTTCTTTGCTCAAAAAACTTTTGGGATGTTTTATTTGTATTTGTTCTAAGCACTAGAATATTTATGCAAAGTTTCAATCCATTTGTATAAACCCTCGAAGAAAAAAGTGACAAAATTGATTTTGACTAGGGTCGCCCCTAGTCCAAAATTGAAAATTGATTTTCTATGGTGAACTTTTATCAAAAAAATTTTTTGGATGTTTTATTTGAATTGACATAATTCTGAAATAAATCACATACCAATATTACTTTTTGTAATGCATAGCTTAAAATAATCGAAATCTAAAATTTCGACTACCCCATCTGAATTTTGTTCATACTCTTCACAGTGGAAACCAAAAAACAAATTCTTTATCTTAAAGCACTTGACAAAATAGCGACATAATTCAGGATTAATTACTTTTTAATAATATTTCAACATTTACGAGAAAATATGGTTCAAATAAGTGTGAAGTATGGCCGAGATTTGGACCAAAATCAGCTTTACTGGTTCATAGTGTTCCCGAGGGTGACAAAATTCAAACTAAGTGTTTTTGTAGCTGACATAATTATGACACAAATTAGGTATATCTTTTGAACTGTGTCGATATGGGTCTAGGCCGTACTTCACGCCCACCCTTCAAACTTATGCTGAGCAAATCTTGGACTCTACATCAGACTTTTGATGGTACGGTGTGAATATATCCGCATTGGGTTTCTACCCGATACACTAGTTGCATAATGACAGTTTTGGAGATGAGATTAAGCCTAATCATGTGATTTTGATTAATATAAGTGTCACAACTGATGTAGACTGCCAGAAAGAAGTCACCGCACGTGAATAGAATAATGTTCAACAGGATTTAAGGGATTACAAGTGAGTTTTATGGTTTGTATTTTATGCTGTTTTCCACGTATTTGTTTTTTTAAGTGAAAAGCATGACAAAGAAGCTTCCATCCTGAACTTTTTCCTTGATCATGACATTATCCCAATTGAAATAACAATCAATCATGAATTAGATGATAGCGAAATTCAAGAAATATTTGAAAATTTGACATTCCAAATTGGACATGCACACACTTATGGCCTGTCAAAAGATGAGCAAGATGAAATAAATAAAATTAAAAAGCTGATTGCTGATAAAAAAGCATCTGAACGAGATGAAATTGCCAAGAAAAGAGCACAAAAAGAATTGGAAGAGAATCAACAGAAACTCGAAGAATGGGTAAGGAGTTGAATTTAACAGCTTTGTGTGCTAATTGCTAGTCTTATAATATATATTTTAATTAATTAACAGAATAAGCAAGTTATGGAAGAGAAAAAGAAACAATTTCTTAAAATGGAGCAAGAAAGTCTACCAGTTCGTGAATACTTGATGAAATTTGTGCTTCCAAAAGTTGCTGATGCATTCGTAGAAGTCACAAAGCTTCGTCCAGAAGATCCAATCCACTTTTCTGCAAATTATTTATATCAAAATAACTGTGAATCTAATGTTGATCAAGAAGTTGTGGATGGTTTTAAGAAGCTGTCAGCATGCGATCCTAGTTATAAAGGCACAGAAAATTAATAAAAACCAATAAATTTTGATTCATTAGAAAAAATAACTTTTTAAAAACTTTATTTAACTACCAGAAAACTTCTCTTTAATTTCGTCATTGTGTTTTTCCTTATTTTTAGAATAAATATGTACAGCATGTCTAGATCTTTTAAAGGAAATGAAATAATACAAAATTATATTTTCATTGGATTTCATGAGAAATGTGGATAAGAGAAACTTATTTAATATCTTAAAAAACATACATTTATCATAAAAAAAACAACAACAACATATAAAAGAATTAATCGCGTAAAGAGAAAACAACATTTCTCTTCCTTAAATTGATCATAAATATTACTATTACTGATTTGAGTACTTGAGATTTTTTTTTGTTTCATTTTCTTTTAAATAATTAATCTACACACGATTCTTTTGTCTTACTTTGATTCTTGGAGGCCTGAATTAATTTGAGTTCATTTACAGATCATTATTTTAAATGTAATTAACAAATAATTACAATGAATGCCTATATAGAAAGACTTTATCATTTAACGGTCTTTTGAAGTTCAAATTTTACAACGGCTAGAATAAATTTGAAATTGTATAGGTAATGTTGAAATTATAGAGGTAAAATAAATTTTTGGCAGGTTACACTAAAGTATCTATCCAAATAATTTTCGACAGTTTTTTTTCCAAATATTTCTTGACCGTTATTTTACAAATGTTTTAAGTTTTCGAATTTTATTTTCTACTCGAATTCTGTGTGGGGAAAATTGCTTCGGTCAATCACGTGTGATCACCTTTTTTCTAGTTTAATATTATACAGCAAATGTGTGCTGTTTATAAAATCTCGCTTCCAAAAAGTATCATTATTTAATCAGTAAGATTATCATCAGAACCCAATTCAAGCCTCCTCAAAAATAATTCATCATTAATATAATTCAGTTTACAACAAAAAAAATTCAGAACGTTGGAATGTAGAATTGTTACAAATAAAAATAATTTCGAGTAGGTACCATCAATATGAGAATGAGATGAAAGCACACACACAATAATTCTGTGTGCCACGTTCCTTAAGTTCATTTTCATCATGCGTGCCATGAATATAATTAATGTTCATAAATAGGCGATCTTCTATATAGATCATGAGTCTGGTATTTTTACAATAACTTCTCCTGAAGGCGTAGACGTTGTAATGAGTTGAGGAAGTTGAATTTGTACAGGCAGAGTCGTATTATTGCTCGTCACCTAAAATAACAGAATTAAATCTTAATTATCATAAAATTCTGGACAGACTCAAAAATAGACTTACATGAATAGTGACTTCCCGCGGGAGCGTATATTGTGGAATTGAAACTGCCGTATTTGTGGACATTTCTTCACTCGATTGCTGATTTGGTGAACAGTTAGGTGATGTCACTTCTCGCTTAATTATTGGTAAAATTTCACAATTACTCGTCGATTCCGTCGTTGATTGTTGAATTGCATTTGCTGCGTTTGCTTCCTCTTTCGCTCGCTTCGTTTGATGTGATTTTATGTGTTTTCGAAGATGATCTTTTCGATAAAAGCCTTTCCCACACTCAGAGCAGATCTAAATTATGGTTAAAAAGTTGATTGGAAATTAACGATCAAAATATATTTAAGATTTAACGGTTAAAATATTTTTGAAAGTTGCTATAATATTTTTATGAATAAAAAACGACGGTTAAGACAAGCCATAAGATTACCTCAGTTTTAAGTCCACTATGAATCACAATGTGAAGATTTAGATGCTCTTTTCGTTTAAATCCTTTCATACAGACATTACAGACATACGGTCGCTCAGGATTATGTCCAAGTTTATGCCTTTCAAGATGCTCTTTTCGCTTTAATCCAGCTCCGCAAATGTCACAAATGTACCTATAACAAAATGTCAATAAATTTAATATCAAGTATTTCAAGACTATAATTATCACGAGTGCCTATTAAAATAACGAATTTCGAAAATTCGAAATCCTCAATTTTCGAACTTTTTTTTTCTTCTTATAATTTTTAAATTTTTTGGAACTGTCACCTGCAAAATTAGGTTAACGGTTTTTGGAAATTTAAAAATTATGCGAAGAAAAAAAGTCGAAAAAATGAGGTTTCGAATTTTCGAAATTCGTTATTTTAATAGGCACTCATCACAACTACATACCGCCTCTCAATTTTATGAACAGCTAAATGCTGCTCGAGACTCTCTTTCTCCGGATAGGCCATTGAACATTCGGGACAACAAAAGAGAATAGTTCCATCAATTGCCGTCGCTATATGAACTTGTCCAGGTTTAGGTCGTTTTGGTTTTGGTGCCTTTTTCTTAATTTTTCTCTTCTTTTTCACTTTCCCATTTGCGTCTAGCTCAATTTTCTCCTCGTCACCATTCTCATGCTGTGATGTACTCTCAATATCCGGATTCTGTTCCTCATCATCTAAATTATTCGAACTTCCTATATGATTATTGCTATTATCTGAATTAAAATTGTTATTAATGCTCAGCACATTATTATTGTCTGTTAATTGAATTTGAGTTATTGCATCATTATAAAGCTCCTTTTTAATATTGATGCCTTCAGTATTAAATTTTAGATATGGTTGCATATTAATGCTCCGCGTATGAAAGAATTCACTAAGATCAGTCGTTATTGCATTTGGTGCTGTTGAAATTGTTATGGGTGATTGTCCCCAAAATGATGGCTCAGTTTTAATTATCCGCGTAAATTCCTTTTCATGATTCTCATCAGAATCTGATCCCTGTTGATGTTGTTGTTGTTGCTGCTGCTGCTGCTGATGATGATGAAGTTGAGCCTGTAAAGTTTGCTGTAAATGTTGCTGAGCAGCTAGGCCATTTTGTTGTGCCAAAAGTTGTAAATCTTGAGGTTGAATTGCCGCTAATACAGTCACGGGAGCACCTTCTGTCTGATTTGGTACGATTTCGCCATCTTGTGGCGAATATGCAACAGTTAAAACAGTTGTTCCGTGTTGCTGTAAGCCTGCTATAGGAATTTGAAATTTTGGCGGAACTGGATTTGGATTTAGTACTTGAATTTGAAACGTTTGAGTCGCATCGCCTGGCTTTGCAGGCGGAATTGTAATTGGCAGTGTAATATAAGTTTGTGTTGGATTTAATGTTGTCTGTGGCGTTGTCATTTGCGGTTGAGCCTGTAAAAATTGCACATTTCCATCGCTGCCTGACACAAGACTGAGTACCTAAAATGACACATAATTTTGTTATTATTTTCTATTCAATTCGAGAAGAAGAAAGTGAATGCAAAAATATTTTGTTGAATTTCTGGTTTTAAGCGCATTTGATATCTTGGGTGACAATTCTCTAATTTTATTAGAGTTGATTGTTAAGGAAACTTGAATTTAATAAAAATTGATTTTTAACGGTTTTTTGAGATTTAAAAGTTTCAAAAGTGTGAAACTGAAGAAACAAATTTGAAAAGACCGTTAGATTTCAAATTTTAAACGACCGTTAAATTATTAGAAAAATCTGTTGAAGCTAGCAATAGTGCCTAATACATAGCATCAAATACGGCAAATTCACGGAGGAAGAAACGAGAGAGAAATTGTTACACAACTCAATGCAATGCAATCATATTGTGTGTGGGAAAAATTGGCATTATGCTTCTCTCCGTGTTGCTTTTTTTCTACTATTCATGAAATTCAGAATTCACAACCAGTTCAAATGCACTTTTCCACAAACAAGAGAGTCAAAGACAAGCACCAGCAAATCGTTAAATGTTAAGTGAAAGTTTTTCGCTCATTACATTCAAGTATAAAAGAAAGAAAATAAGTAATAATAATAATAACGAGCAAGGCAGGCAGGCAAAAAAGAAAGAAAGAAAGATTAAAATTGAAATCTAAAGTAAAAGTAAAGTTACAATTAAATCTCGGCTGAAGCTTGCTAATATTTTCTTTCAAGCATGCACAAGCTAATGTGAGTGTATTTAATTGACATTTTACAACTAATTATGAATCTATATCTCAAACTAGTTACCTGACTTGGTGTCGGCAAATTTTGGGCAAACTTAGCAAATTGATTCACATTCACGTTGGCTTGATGAAAATGAAATGGTGAAAAATTCATTTTGGAAAGCTATACAAAAAAAAGAAAAAGAATGATTAGAAAAATAAATAAAAATTTTTATTTCTTATTGCTAAATTATTTTTTATGTGTGTAGTGACATTGATTCTCCATTATTGATTATTCATTCATAATAAATTATTTTTTGATAACGGAACATGTTTTTTTTTTTGCAATATTTGTGCGATACGCTCGAACCTAAATTAGAAGTTTTAAGCTCTTGTTCTTCTTGGTTATGAATTTTTAAGTTAATATTAATTTATGCTGTCAAAAAGTTGAGTTTCATTAAATTTCTAACTGTCAATGTCAATTCAAACATTTTTAACGGTCGAAATTAGTTCAAATTTTCAAAACATTTGTAGGGTTTTAATTTTTGAAAAATGACAGCTATACACATTTGGTTCTAAAACTGAATAATTACGAGCACTTGAACAAGAATAAATTCCAGCAACTCAAAGAATATTTTAACAATTCCAAAACAGCACAATATTCGCTCAGACTCATAGAAAAGATTATGAAATTTACAATATTAATTAATCTATAGGTTTGTTGAACTTTTTTTCCCCTTTCAAGGCATCAAAAATTTTATAATGAAAAGTTTTGATTACATTTTAATTATTATTCAAGTGTAGACAGCTAAAAGTCTAAATGACAATCTAATTACTCATTCAGTGTTTGTTTTTCTCGAAACAGAAGTGACAGTAAGCTGATGAAAATCGTCAATTTCCAGGAACTTATTCAAATTTATGAGTAGGAAACAATTCTTGACATTTTATGACATTTTATGTGAACCTTTTAAATTCAATATCGAAAGCAAATTAGCTGATCCATTAAATTGATCCAGGATATTGAGATTTTAGTGATTGTTTTTTTTTTAAAAGTTATGAATGCGACTTAATAGATATTAACCGCATAATTCAATAAAATATACGGGCATGATCAATTTGGTCATGTATGGTGTGTTGTAACTGAACATTTCCATATCATATGTTAAATTGTACTCAAGGAAATTGCTTAATTAAGGCTTTAATTGATTATATTTTCTAGAAACCGTTAATGTTTAAAATTCAAAACCATACAAATGTTTAAGGATTATCCCAAAACCTTACAAATGTTTCAAATCTTGAATTTATTTCGACCGTTAAAAAGCCAAAAATCATGTTATGAATTTCAAACCTTTAAACTACATAAATTATAATTAACAAATACTTTCTAAGTTTCAATCCACATTTATCACCTTACTCCTGTGTCAAAAGAAGAAAACGAGCATGAAGAATTGCTAAAATTAAGATCGATTAACAAGATTTTTCATGTCACTCAAGTTTAATTTATAATAATCCACTAAATCACTTCCTAACCGATAGCTACAAGTTCAATAAACCAGAAAATTCCAGAAAACTTTCTTAAAACTTCACAATTAGCTCACATTATTGATATCAGGCATAGAACATTGAAGGAATTTCTGATTACTGTCACATAGAAAATACGCCGTTATCCTTCCACAAAAATGTCTTTTTACACTTGCGACTCATTCAAATTATAAAGCAATAGCCAAAGAGAATGCATAAATTCGCATACACAATGCCGTATGCGGAACGAACCAAAGAAACAACACCGAGATAGAGAAATATAGGAAATTCACTAAGTATTCACATTCCACGTAACGAGAAGAAAAAAAAAACACAAATTCAACGCTTATTCATTCATGAAAGCAGTAGTAAACAGCATTAGCAATCATTCTGGACCAGCTCAAGGATATAGTGATTTTCTCACCTCAAGGTAATTCTCATTGTCGTCCATCGTACTACTGTTTTCTGTGTCTGATTTCTCAACCATTTGGAATTTCAGCTATTGAATGTTTATTGTATATTTTTTTATTTTATTTTTTTAATGGCAACACACACAGCTTGTTCCATGGGTTCTTTAAATTCCTTCATATTAATTTTTTTTTTATGTATGTTGTCCGCAAAAAAAGACAAAGAGTTCGTCAACAACTTAAGACTATTTGAGCTTAACTTAAAAGCTATGTCGTCAGCTTCACTTCTACGTTCTATTTTTATTTATTATTATATTATATATAGCCACACAATAAATATATTTATTTAAATTATTCACGGAACTATGATAAATTCTTCCCTAAAAATGATCTTTTATAGCACATTAGCATTCAAATCTTTCTTTAAAAATCGATACAGTTAGAACTTGTGATTGATTCATTAGGACACGACTTTTTTTTCGTACCCGAACTAGCACCGGATCATATGATGCACGTTGATCGCTCTTTCGTAAGAAACTGATGATCAACAGCAATACAAAACCGAGAAGAAATTCCAATTGTTGTTGAAAGTACTTTTTTTTTGAGTTGCTGAGAGTTGTTGCATCAAGAGAGACTGTTTGTTTATGCAGCGAGCATTACCAACATTATCAAGAGAAATGAAGAGAGAAAAGCTAAAGTTAATAAACACGTTGTCTCAACTTAATGTTGTCGGGTATTTGCAGTTTATTGAGTAGTGAATGAATTAAGTTGAGTGAGTAAGGAATCGATACCAAATGTTTTTTTTTTCATAGATAGCATACATTCACATAGGATGTATGTAGATGTTCCCCAATGAACGGTTAATTTTTATATTTTGCCCAGTTGTTTAATACGGTGTATTGGTTTCATTTCATTTCTCTTCTTCCTTCTCGCTCGAATTGGTGATCACATTAAAGAACGCACGCACATAACAGTATAGTGTTTACTCAATTCCATCGCTGTTGTGTATAGATATGAATTTTTACATTTGTAAGCATAAATTGTCAAGAAAGCTGTTTTATGCATTTTTTATTAAGTTAAAAACATTGAGTTGAGTTGTTTAATTATGTCGGGTGACTTAATTGTGCTTGAGAACATTACAAATGTTTTTAAAAAATTGCATTTTTATGGCTTTAACAATAAATAGAACCTTACAATTTTTTCTGAAGAACCAAATAATTTGTATGGTTTTAATCAATTTTCGAAATTGTTAAAATTCAAATTTGAATTCACCGTTAAACCTTAAGAGAAACAAAAATTACTTACAGAAAATGCGCTATAATGAGCAAGTCAAAAAGTAGCCACGACAACTTTAGGACTAACTTGAGAAACTTGAAACACAAGAATGAATGCTTAAGTGTTCGGGCATGGTACAGTTGTGATGATACGATGTCGATGGAATTTTATACTTATATATATATATATATATTTTTCGTTCAATGTCGCAAAACGGAATTAGATTCTATGACAAATTTTTACTGACACGTAAATATTAAAAACGATGAAAAATGAGATAATTTTCTAATCGATTCAGCGATATTACTTCATTGCATAAAGTAAATGAATACTTTTATTTTCCACTATTCATCATTATCAAATGATTCCCATCTAATATATTATTTTTTTCAAGCGAATTTTACGTGCTTGTGTTACTTAATTAACATTTTCTATTTCACTCTCTCGATGATCATATTTGTGAGAGCTTTACAGCAACAACACACAGACATTTATTTTCCATCTCACACTTTTCTTCGTTACTTCTTACATGCGATCTCTCGTCCACAACCAGCCCATTCATTCATTCATTCACAAAACTATGTGTATTAAATACTTTGAGCTTGTTTTGGTTGAAGGAAATTTAGAAAGTTTTTTTTTTCTCTTCTGTCTTGCTTCAATGTCTATTAAATTATACTGCATTGTACAATATGAAGCTTCCAGCACAAGAAAATTACAACAACTTGAAGAATAAGAGCTTATTTACCAGTTATAATGCGACTTTTATAGTCTTTTAATTTACATCCCTTTTATGGTACACTAATTCACACTAATTTAGCACACACTTAATTGAATTAAAGGAAGGGATGACGAATTAATAGAATCAGAAATTGGTTTGTTTATATTTTTAAAACTTACAAAAATCAGTCGTTTTGCACTTTTTCTATAATTATCATGTTTTAAAGATGAAATTCAATGTTAAGTTATAGAAATCCAGATACTTTTCACTCTTATGTACACGTCGACACTATTTAATTTATTTTTTTCTACTTCTGTCTTTAGTTTTTAATAATTTAATATTAAACTATATCATCAAAATTATTCAGAGAGAGAAAAACACAATTTGAGTTCTTACCGTGCTATTCCTCTATGCTCAATGTTTTTTTGTTACTCTGGCGATGTGTCTGTGCTTGTTAATTGACTTATAATAGCTGTTTTGCAGATTTTCACACTTAAATTTTTAACGAATTTTTCAAACTTTGCTGACATCAGATTTTCATGATTTTTTGAATTTGAAAAATTCGTTTAATTATTTGAACTTTTATTGACTTATTCTCAAAGTTTTGAGCAGTCAATTTAAGTAATTACCTTTTATTCAAGCATTCTGATTGTAAATTTTACATCAATAACCACTAATAACTTATAATAAACAATAAATTAAGAGAAATGCGCTATATTACATTAAAATCTCAACTTTTGTGTGCGATGCATTTTTCAAAAAATTAAAAACCGTTGGTTAATTTTAGGGCACATTTCATCTCGTCAACATTATATTAATTATTTTGTAGATTAAAACGTCTTATAACGATCAAAAATTATCGCTAGTTCATCTTAAGTGACAAACAATCAAGAATCAGTTGAAGTATAGCTGATTTAATCAGGTAAATTAGTAATAAATTTATTAAAAGATCCAGTGAAAGGGTTAGTGGATTTTTGCGAAACGCTATTGAGCAATCTGATTTTTGAGAAAAATTGAAACATTAAAAATAATCTATTAAAAGTGATAGTTTATTATATTTAATCATTAAAACGTATAAATAGTATCATCTAGAATGGCAGACACTTGGACGAAAGCTGCTGAGAATCAGGAGCAACAAGAAATTCAAAAATTGGTAAAATTTGCTTTTTCGGCATAAAAAAATGAAAAAATAATAGTAAATGTGCTAAATATCATTGCAGAACGAGAATATTAATAATGTGACGATTAGTAACGATGTTAAACCACCTGTAGCTGCAGTAGTAGAGGAATTAGAAGAAGTCAAGTGGGTATCTATGAAATTGTTAAATCATTATTATCTCAATTTATGAAATTTGACTTCTAGCCCCGCCGATGCTTCATTGTTAATGAAAATAATCCGAAAAGGATTAATCGAGACTAAAACTGACTTAGATATTCAACGTAAAGATCCAAATTCACCTCTTTATTCCGTCAAGACCTTCGAAGCTCTACATCTGTAAGTTAATTAAGCTATTTTCCATAAAAAACTTTAATTAACAAGTGCCTTTAAATCATAGAAAACCAGAATTACTTCGCGGTGTCTATGCTATGGGCTATAATAATCCCTCAAAGATTCAAGAAACGGCATTGCCAACACTTATTGCTGATCCACCTCAAAACATGATTGCACAATCGCAGTCAGGAACTGGAAAAACTGCAGCTTTTACATTAGCAATGCTTACAAGAGTCGATACAGCTAAAGATTTCCCTCAAGTTTTGTGCCTAAGTCCAACTTATGAGCTCGCAATTCAAACAGGAGAAGTAGCAGCTAGAATGGCAAAGTTCTGTCCAGAAATTCGTATCCGTTATGCTGTTCGTGGAGAAGATATCGCTAGAGGAACCAAATTGACTGATCATGTAATTATTGGAACTCCAGGAAAAGTCCTTGATTGGTCACTAAAGTTCCATGCATTTGATCTATCTAAAATTACTGTTTTCGTCTTGGACGAAGCTGATGTTATGATCGCACAACAAGGACATCAGGATCAATGCATTCGTTTGCATAAGCATCTCTCTAAAAAGTGTCAAATGATGTTGTTTAGTGCAACTTATGAGAAGAAAGTTATGGAATTTGCTGAATATATTGTTCCGTCCCCAATTACGATTCGCTTAAAGAAAGAGGAAGAAGTATTGGACAATATTAAGCAGTATTACGTGCGTTGTATAAATCAAGACGTCAAATATCAAGCTATTGCTAACATTTATGGTGTCATAACAATTGGACAAGCAATTATTTTCTGTCATACACGTAAAACTGCTGGTTGGCTTGCTAGCAAAATGGCACAAGAAGGACACTCGGTTGGTGTTTTATCAGGGGAACTGACTGTTGAACAACGATTGGCTGTTTTGGATCGCTTCCGTGAAGGACATGAAAAGGTAAGCAACTGTCAAAAATTATTTAAAACAGTTCTGTTTAAAAATAACCGATTCAAATTCAAACTTTAATAATTCGTTAAAGCTCAAATCTGAATAATCCGTTAAATTTCAATTCAACAGGTCCTGATCACAACGAATGTTTTGAGCCGTGGCATAGACATTGAACAAGTTAATATTGTTGTAAACTTCGATTTGCCTGTGGACCAAACAGGTCGCTCTGATTGTGAGACATATCTTCATCGTATTGGACGTACAGGACGTTTTGGCAAGCATGGAATTGCAATCAACTTGGTTGATTCAGAGCAGTCAATGAAAGTTTGTCGTGATATTGAAAGGCATTTCGGAAAGAAGATTCAGTTGCTTGATGCTGAAAACTCTGATGAAATCGAAAAGATTGGATCATAAATCATCGTTACCTCATCCTTATTTTTATTCACACTTATTTCCTTATTAAGTTACTTATAATTTTTTTTTCAAAGATATATTTTTTTGCTGGTCTGAAAACAGACAGATTCGGAAGTGACAGATACTTATGTCCTTTGTAAATGAAAACTGAACATTCTCAAACTTTTTATAATATGAAAAAAGAAAACAAAATAATTAATTAAAATGCATCTCGGCATAAAATGCTTATCACCATAAATTCACATGTACAACCTGTATTTTAAAGAAGATTTAATAAAATATAGGCATGAAGATGTATAAAAATAATTTAATCAGATTTTTATTAATTTTTCTGGCTCTTCCTTATTATCATCCTCAGATGCGAGTAAGTATGGTCTGTAAATCCTTATGTGTATGCATGAATTAAGCCTTTTTTGGATTGAGAAGTCGTCATCATCGTCTTCTGGGAAGTAATCATCTAAAAATTCATTGTTAAGTTAATTAACTTTATTTTTGAGGATATTTAAGCTTATTACTGGATCTTACCAACAAGATTTATAGTTGATGTATTGACTTCATACTTAAACGAATGATCCTCTTCCAACTTTAATGCTAAATTGATAGCTCTGTTGATGGCATTGCCAATGCTATGGATAAAAACCTCACCGACTTCACTGTTTAATATTTTGATGCACTTGTTTATTTGCGCTCCAAAATCTGTCTTATTAGTGATGTACACATCATTTGGTCTTGTGAAATTCTTTGGTGGCTTCCTTTTCTTGAAATCCTGTCTATTTCTGTTATTAGAACTCATTATTTGAGGCTGTTTTATTAAGTTTTCTCAGAGATCTTATTGCAATGTTTTGATTTTGAGGCATGAACTTTTGCCATGAAATTATATCATTAAAAGGCATTTTGTCTGGCTGGAGTGGTTGTTTCTACAATAAAGGATATATTGATATTGTTTTTAATAGATACAGTGACCTCAATCTAAAAATCCCTAAAATGCAGCTACCCTAAAATGCAGATAGTACTGCCAAGATGCAGATGGTGCTGCTAAAGTGCAGATGAAATTTATTTTCCCTAAAATGCAGATGAAATGCTGTTGTTTTTAAAAAGGTATAATGCAGATAATTTTTATCTTATAAAGTGCAGATAAGATGCAGCCCAAATGTAGATCGTATAATTTCATTAAAATACATCAATATTCGATGAATTTTTTTCTTGATGCGTGTTAATGACTTTAAATGATCCATGATGAAATTTAAGGGTAATTATTTATCTGATGACATATTTATGGATATATTGGGTCGAGTATCCTTTTTATGAGCTCATCTATATATCTTGCAAAAATGTTACATGTAGTTTAACAACAAAACTAGTGTATCGGGTAGAAACCTAATGCGGATATATTCGCACCGTACCATCAAAAGTCTTTAGAAAGACAGAGATTTGTTCAGCATACGTTTGAAGGTATAAAGCTAGCGTGTCAATTGAGCTCCTCTCAGCATATGTTTGAAGGTTTTAAACAGTTTTAAACTTAACGAACATTCTTAAAAAGTTTTTTAAAAAAAATTTTCATCCAAAGTTTAATTTTATAAAAATCACAGTAAACTTTTGTTTTAAAACATTCGTAAGTAAGGAAAGTTTTTTACTTTTTCTGAAGCAACGGCTGTTCCTACCTTGCCAAAAAACAATACAGCTCATCTATAGAGCAGCACGGATCAAATGTATAAAACTAGAAGTCTCTACAATGTCTCGTTATTGAGATTTCTTGCTTGCTTGCTTGTTTGCTTACAGAAAGCGTATTTTACGATTTTCTCAGCAATGCCTCAATCAATTTTAAATCTGATTTTTGCAGAAGATGTAAAATTTCAGGCACAAACTTTTCTTCTTGGACCTTTCATAACCAATTTTGCTTCGTTTTCTCACAAAATGCGAAAAACTGATTTTTCAATCTGAACAAAACCAATACATTTACACGTGAAAACGGTGTGAATATAAAAAATACATTCGCAGATACATCAATGAAAGCTGACAAAGTTATAACAAAATTTATAAAAACTATTCGTGAGTGACGCTTAATTAATGTGATTTTCCGACATAATTCCTTAACTTTAGGAAGTAAGTTCTATGTCAAAAGAAAGCAATTTTTGTTTTTTACAAGATATAATAACTTTGAAATTTATCACTATTGTGTAGGGTTTTTGAAAAACAATCTGTTTTCGGTTTTTGATTTTTAAAAACAGCTGTTATCCTGTTTTTCTAGAATTCAAAATAAACTGAGTTATTCTAAGTGTTTCTCTAAGATAATGAAACTTTTTGGTGGTTAAAAGCAGTTAAGCATACATTATATAGCTAAGCATTATTATTTCTTAATTTTTCGTTAATTAACTCTATAAAATATATTAGAATATAAGAATTCAAAAAAAATATTTATACTTTTAAGAAACATTGCAATGTTGCATTGCAGAAGTTCCATAAACTCTAATATTTTATTTGAAATATTCAAAAAAATCTTTCTAAAAAAAAAAAAATACCTTGCAAAATTGTTGATTATATTTTTGAACTTTAGTAAATGCTACAAAAGGTTCAACAAATTTCAAATTTCGATTGCAAAATTAATAATGATTAATCATAAATTTGATAATGATTTCAAACCTATTAGACATCCAAAAAATATTAAAATAGCAAATACATTTCAATTTGGAATGATAGAAAACTATATTAAAAAATTAAGAATTTTTTTTCTGTAAATTATATGTAAAAATGAAAAACAGGAAACAGATCTGTTTTTGAGACCTGTTTTCTGTTAACAGATTTTTGTCAAAAAACAGCTGACTTTCTGTTTTCTGTTAACAGGTTCCCCAAACCCTACTATTGTGGTTTCGGAGATATTTAAGAAACCAAAGCGTCACTCACGAATAATTTCTTTTTTCGTGGGTGCCCAAAAAATTAATATCCAACGTTAAATTATCTACATTATAACAGCATTTCATCTTTAATAATAATTATACGATCTACATTTGGGCAGCATCTTATCTGCACTTTATACGATAAAATTATCTGTATTATACCTTTTTTAAAGCAACAGCATTTCATCTGCATTTTAGGGAAAATAAATTTCATCTGCACTTTAGCAGTACCATCTGCATCTTGGCAGTTCTATCTGCATATTAGGGTAGCTGTATTTTAGGGATTTCTAGATTGAGGTAATACAGTGGGTTAATTTAGAGATTTTACATCATGAAGATATTTGAAAAGTTTAACGGCTTTTTAAAATTTAAATTTTGCGTCTAATTCTGTATCAATTATGTTCAAATGTTTAATTGCTTATAATTCATCAATTAATAACTCAAAAACTGAATAATTATGCGCAATCAATAGAAAATTATATAATTTCTATTTCAGACTCTATAATAAATGCGCTACATCCATAAAATGACTGCTTTCATGTATTTTTGTATTTTGTATTTTTTCAACGGGGACTGTGAATTTTCAAAACAAAAAATAATCATTGAGAAAGTTGCAATCCCATCGATTCAGGAAAATTTTCGCAACTTTTAATTAAATTCCTGCAATTCTAAAGGCTTAATTCATCTATAAATAGTTAATCTGTTGTGTCAACATCAAAAATGGCTTTAAGAATCCTTAAGCAATCAAATTGCGCTGTTCTTCAAGCATTAAAACGAGTAAGATTGAAATTTTCACAACGAGTAAAATTGTTATCTAACTTTTCACAATTTTCATGCACTTTATTTTTGCTTTATTTATTTTAATTCACAATGTCATTGCGCATTAACGTGTTTACAATTTATATCTTTTATAGAACTATTGCTCAGCCTTTGAATTGCAGCATAAAAATCCCGTTCAAAAAGCCATCCCTAAAATCCCAAAAGCTCAATATGGAGGAAGACACACTGTCACGATGCTTCCAGGCAAGCCACATGACTTATATGCTTTACATCCAATTATTCTAAATGATTAATAATTTTTACAGGCGGTGGTATTGGATCAGAATTGATGAATTGTAAGTTGCTCATTTTATTCAATTCCAGATACTTTAATAAAATTACTTTAAAGATGTCCGTGAGATCTTCCGTTATGCTGGAGTTCCAGTAGACTTCGAGGTGCTTGATATCGACCCAAATAGCGAGTCAAATGACGATTGGGATAATGCCATCACATCAATTAAGAGAAATGGAGTCGCAATTAAGGGAAATATTGAGACTAAGAGTGAACAAATTGGAATCATTTCGAGAAATGTCGCCTTAAGAAATGAATTAGGTTTATATGTCAATGTTTTACATTGTAAGTCATATCCTGGTGTAAGATGTCATCATAAAGATGTTGATTTAGTCGTTGTTCGACAAAATACAGAAGGAGAATATGCAATGTTGGAACATGAATCTGTTAGTGGTGTTGTTGAATCTCTTAAGATCATTACTGTTGAGGCTAGTGAGCGTTTAGCGCGTTTTGCCTTCAATTATGCTAGAACTAATGGACGTAAGAAGGTGACAACAATTCACAAAGCTAATATTATGAAATTATCTGATGGATGTTTCCTCGAAACATCAAGACGTATTGCCAAAGAATTTCCCGATATTAAACATGACGATATGATTATTGACAATACTTGTATGCAGTTGGTCGCTCGACCAGCTCAATTTGATGTCTTATTAACAACGAATCTTTATGGAAGTATTACAAGTAATGTAATTTGTGGATTAATTGGTGGTGCTGGATTATATTCTGGAAGAAATTATGGTGATCATTATGCAGTCTTTGAGCCAGGCACTAGAAATACTGGTACTTCAATAGCTGGAAAGAACATCTGTAATCCATTTGCTATGCTTAATGCTAGTGTTGACATGTTGAATCATTTGGGACACACTCAACATGCTCAGGCTATTGAAGCTGCTATTTACGATACCATTGTTGTCGATAAAATCCACACAGCAGGTAAGTTATTTATTAGAAGGATATCCGTTAAAATTTTATTTGAAATTTATGCAACAATTCAAATCCAATAAGCGCGTTAAAATTCAAATTCTCAAAATCCGTTTTATATTTGTAGATTTGGGAGGCACCGCATCAACGACTGATTGTATTCAGAATGTTCTCAAGCATCTCGCCGAGAAGCATGTCTCATGGTAAGTTTCAATGTTTTTCCAATTAATCCTTTGGTTACAGGAAAGTATCAAAGCTTTTGAATGTGTGATAATTGTTTAACTCATTTAAATATTTAAATTTAATCATTAACAGGCATGGAGTTCGTTAAATTTTTTCGGCGTGTATCCCTAGTATCGTACTAATGTTGTTAACAAGAACTTGTTCAACACAAAAAAAAAATTTTAATTCCTTTTTAATACCTATAACATTCCCCTAAAGCCTCTGTTTTGAATCCAAACCATTCCTTATTACTCAAAATTAATCTAATTTCATTTGTATAATTTTCATTAAGGCATACGTCTGTTGAAAGTGAAGAGGATGAATCTGATAATCCGGCATTTTGGCGTTTTGCTTGAATCAAGATTATTTGGCATTAATAATGTTATTTTATGAGATAATGTGAGTGGCTGTTGGTAGTTTTGAGTTTGTAAAGTTCGCATTGTTGCTAAAATAACATTATCATTGGAAATCTTGGCCCGAGCATATCACAAAAACTAAAAAAATGATATTAGAACATAAAAAAAATCTCAAAATTATTCATAATCGTTACTAATGAATTTAATTGAATTTTTTAGTTCCACGTTTAATATTGCACACCCACAAATCAACAAAGAATTGGCAAGAAATCCAGAAAATCCATAAATTCAAATTTATTATTTTTATATCCTTAATTAAAGCATTTTATTATTTCTGTTCGCATGGTAATTTCTTATGATTTAAAGTGTATATCTCAACAATAAGTATTCCAAAATCAGCACATCCATCCAAATACATCCCAACGATTAATTTACTATCCACTCTTTTTTTAATCTTAAATTTATCTTATTTCAGATTTGTTTACACATAAGTTATTAAGGAAATTATGTAAAACATAAATTATTTGAAAAATAAAGAAAATTGTAATGTGCAACATTATTAACGGATTGTTGAAATTTAAATTGTTTAACGTTTTTTTGAAATTTAAATGTCAGGGGATTGTCAACTGAACAGGGGAGCAATTTTTAAAAACATTAACACGTGAATTTGTAAAATATTATTTAAAGCATTTAAAACGTGAATTAACAAGAAAAATGGCAAAGTTTCGTAGTAAATTAAAGCGTAATAAGAGTGGAAAAGCACTCCCGAAAGGACAGTCTTCATTGTCAAATCCAGAGATTAATAAACATCGATTAAAAGCGAGAAGCAAGTTTTTCCAACCGAATTTGCAAAACAGTAAGTTAATTGTATAAATTCTACTAGCTCAATGACTTAATATCTTGTTTTTCTCGTAGATTCCAACTCAAATAATGGCTTGACAATGGAAGCAGTTGAAAAACATGAAGCAATTCAGTCATTTAAAATGTCAGATCCAATAAAGTCACTTTCTGGATCTTTAAAAGACTTTTCGATCGACGATGATGGTGAATTCTCACAATCACAGCGTTCCATGAGTCAGGCTACCACTTTTGCTACTCAATTTTCTGCTACATCAAATATGTCATTCAATAAATTACTTATGAACTTTCAGCCAAATTCACAGGTTCATAAAGAAATGCTTGCAATTTTAGCGGCATTAACAGAAATAATTAAGGAAAAGGGTGGAAGTGAGACAAATACAGAATATTTCTTAGCATTGATGGAAACAATAGAGAATGTTAAAGATGATAATGATCTTCATGCAGCTTTAATGCTGCTTAATATGGGTATAAAATCAGTTTCACAAGCTGTTTTAAGGAAAAAGTTTAACGAAACGGCAGAAGTACTATTAAATTTGATAGCACGATTTGCTGATAAAGAGAATAACATAATAAAGATCATTTTAAGTAGTCTCTCAGTCGTTTTGCGTGCTCAAGAATATTCACAATGGAAGTTGAGCAGCACAATGAAATTTTTCGATGCTATTCTAGCTTTTGTGACTCATTCAAAGCCTAAAATAAGAAAAGCAGCACATCATGCAGTTGCTGGTGTCTTATATGCTAGCTGCTTTATGTTGCCACCAAAAAATGAAGACGATGATGAGGAAATGAAGACAGAAGCTCCAAAAATCGTCCATCCAGCATCATCAAGAATGGCTAAATTTTGCATCGATCAATTTAAGCCTGAAATAATAAACAATAATCAAACTCTACTTCTTCATGTCATCAGTGTCCTTCAATCTATCATTCCATGCTTTGGCAAGGATGATATTAAGAACATATCTGAGCATCTTTTATCAATTATGACTTCATCAAATATTATGGTTCGTACAAATTGTTTCCAAACTTTTCATTCTTTATTCAGCTCGTCTACAAACAATAATAATTTGTCGACACAACTTGTTGGACGTCTATTATCAGCACTTTATGAATATCGTCCAGATCGATCTGATTTTAGACAAATTCTAGCTTGGATTGTTGTTATGAAACAAGGTCACATTAAATTAGCATCATTAAGTCAAGATACATGTATACAAGCATTGCCTAAATTCTTTGAGATTTGTATTAATGATTTATGGCTTAGTGACAAGCTTGATGTTGTTGCTGGAACTTCTAATGCATTAAAAGAAGTTCTTGAAGAATGTATAAAGCCAATTTGTATGAGTGAAGAGGAACCGCCAGTCTTTTATGCTTCTTATATTAAGAAAATTGTATCAATGATCACAAAAGTCTTGGCAGCGCCATTCAGTTCCACAACAAATCATGTCCTTGTCATTTGTAGTGTCATGTTTGAATCTATGGGAAAATATTATGGAGAAGAGCTTGAAGAAGCTATGACAATTCTCGGACAACGATATGATGAGCAAAGTGCTCAACGTGTTCACATAGAACATGCTGTCCATTCAGCTATTTCCACTATTGAAACAGAAAGAGTCTTAAAATGTATTCCATTAATTGATGCACAAGGAACAATGTCAGTTAAAAGATCTTGGATACTTCCATTACTACGTGAAGGCTTGCATAATTCATCACTTGAATATTTTAATAATCACATCATTAAACTTGCTTATCAGTGCTACACAAAGTGGCAGAAATTTAAGGAAATGGACAAAAAAGCTGAATCGCACATTTATGAACTTTTATGTTGTCAACTTTGGGGTCTATTTCCTGGATTTTGTCGTAAACCCAAAGATATGCATAACTTTAAACTTATTGCTCGTACTCTTGGTGATGTACTGAATAAGAATCCAGATTTACGTCAACCAGTTCTTGATGGATTTAAGGAAATTCTCGAAAATCTTGATGATGAGAATGACAAGCTTATGTTTGCTAAATATGCTGAGAATTACTTGACGAGATTCTTTAATATTTATACATCCAAGCCATCAACATCGTACGAAAGGGAAACAAGAATTGCAACATTTGAAGTCGCTCAATTGTATCTTAAAATCACACCAAAAGAGACACTTGACAAATTATTTGAGAATGCATTAAAGGAAATGGCATCAAAACCACCTGGATCTTTCATTTATGATTCATTATTTGATCTAATTGAGGCACTAGCTATGTATCAATCATGTGATAAATTAACGGAATTATACAAAAGTTATATAGTCACAACATTGATTAAGGACAAAAAGGATGTTGAGGCTGAGGACAGCAAAAAGAACAAAGACAGTAATTTACGTAGAAGATTAAAGAAAGCATACAAATTATTACAGGACATGCTTAGCAGTGAGAATGATGGATGTACTGATTTTGTTGCAGCTGAATTAAATAATATTGAAAAGATATTAAGCAGCACATCATATAAAGTCATTGAAGGAACACAAGTTATGAGATTAGCTTGTATTAATTTAGTTCTTGAGAAGAAAGATGCTGTTGGAATTGCCAATAAAATCATTAAAACTGCAATTTCTGAATGCATTGCTGGATTTAATAATGAAGCTGTTTTAAAGGACGGAATAGCTTACAATTTATTGAGAACAATTGGAAAAATATTCCAGGATGAAGAGAAGCTTAATGATTTTGTAGATTGCATTATGGTTGGACTCGTTGGAAAGGATCATCAACTTATCAGCAATACAATTTATGCACTTAAATTCATCCTTCAAGAGTTCGGGGAATCAATGACAATTGAGACAATTAAATTTATGCAAGATCAAGTCCTTGAATTTGTTGTGAGCAATCAAAGAAATGAAGCTAATGCTAGTCTATATTTCCTAGCAACATTTACGAAAATTCTTCCATCAGCATTTGTAGCCAATCAATTAGGACTAATAATGAAGGCAATAACATTAATGCACGAAGATTGTCGACGTCATTCACGGCAAGTTTTGGGATATCTTTTAAAGAAATTATGCAAACGATTTACAGCTGAAGAAGTCATTAAACTTGTGCCTGGACAATGTGAATCAATTCATAAAAAGTTGAAAGTTATTAGGAAGCAAATGGCTAAAGCTAGGCGAAATCAATTAGATCAAATGAGAAACAAGTCAAAGAAGAATCAAGATGATGATTCGGACGATGAGTTTTTGAATTTGGAGAAAAAGAGCATGACGTAAGTATTTAATTATATTTAAAGAGAATGGCAAAATTGGGTTAATGGCAATAAATCTTTTTAAATCCACAGAATTGGCGATATTTTAGCTGATAGTGATTCAGACATGAGTGATGGTGAAGAAGAAAAGAAGAAATCAAAGACTAAAGCAAAGGAACCTCAAACATTTATACGCGAAAATGAAGATTCCATCGTTGATTTGGCTGATCCAAATGCTTTCAGTAAAATCACAAGTAAGTTACTGGCTTTTTTGTATTTAAATTTTATGCTATAAAATTTTTATAGCAAATTAACGTCTATTCAGAATTTCAAATTTGAAAACTACGACAAAGAAATTCAAAAATTCAAAAACTGTTATTTTTCAAATCCCAAAAATCTGTTAAATTTTCTAATAAATTTCGCTCTAATACTTAGCCACAAAGTCCAACACTCAACAACTCAAACAGAAGACAAAGGATCCAAATCGTGGATTTAAAACAGCACCTGATGGTCGTTTAATTATCAAAGATATCGAAGACGAAGAAACAGACAGCGATGATGATGATCTGACTGGATATAAGGAAAATGCTAAGGAAGAATTAGACGGAAATTCATCAGATGAAGACAATGAGAAGGATGTAGATGAGGAAAAAGCAGGTCCATCAAAGAAAAAAATAGCATTAAATCCATACAAAACTGGTGGAACTGGAATTCATCGTCCATTAGCAGAATCTGTAAAATCTGGTGTGTCCAATTATTCAAAAACATCAAAAGCTTCAAAGATGACGAGTGCTAGTAAAAGTCCTGGAGTTGAATATAAGTCAAAGAAGGCAGGTGGTGATGTTAAAAAGAAGGGAAAACATGAGCCTTATGCTTATATTCAATTGAGTCGTAATAACTTAAATCGACGTAAGAGAAAAGCTGCTGGAAGTCAGTTTAAAGGTATTGCTAATAAGTCAAAGAAGAAGAATAAGAAGTAAAGTTCAGAATTTTGTAAAAAGAATTAAAGTTAAAAGTTTCATAAAATAAAGGAAATTTATTTTAAATTAAACACAGTTGTCATTTTTATTTCATAATTTTAAATATCAAAGATTCAGTAATAAAAATGGAAGCTGTAGAGTTACAGGATGAAATTATTGAGCAAGAGAAGATTCCTTCAATTATCACAGATGAATATTTATCAGAATCGCTGCAAAAGTATGAAGAATTCATCAAGGAACTTCGAAGTCAGGGAAATTATGAGCTAGCAAATCAGTTCCTTAATTTATCGACAATCCTCGAAAATGTTCACTTCCAGTTGAAAAGTGAGGAACGAAAAACGCAAGACTTACTTGATCAGCAACTTGATGCGACTGGAAAAATTCAAGCTGCATTAAAAATCTCTCAAAAAGACAATGACACAATAGCAAAACTTAAATGTGAAGTCACGAGTGCATGGAAGGAGACAGATGCATCAATATTGAGGGAAAATCACATGAATGAGTCCTTGAATGTCACTAGAGAGCGTTACTTGACATTAAAAGAGAAATTACAAAAATCCTCAAAACTTGAAATGAACGATGAACTTGGGGAACATAAATTGACAGTTTTACAGCAATGTGAGCGTCTGCATGTAGAAGTTGAGGAAGTAAATAAGCGACTTTTTGTACAACGCGAATATTCTGAAGAGCTGCAAAAGAAGCTTGATGATTCACTTGAGAAGAATCGTGATTTATATCGAGAATGGGATGCAGCTACAAATGACAGTCTAGTAAATAAAAAGAAGGCTGATAAGCTTCAAATGTCATTGGATGAAATTAAGGAAGACTTTGACAAGAATTTGGAAAATTTAATTTATTATCAAGAATCGAATGAAAAGTTCCTTAAAAGGCTTGCAGAACGTGACAAGCAGGTCCAAAATTTAACTGATAAACTTGAACAATTTCGTAGTGACAATTCTTGGCTAAAAGAAGTTAAGGCTAAATTAGAACTGACGATGAAATCATACAAGACTGAGATCAAAAATATCAAGCATGAATTAAAACAATTTGAATCGTACGCACGCTTAAAAGATGATCAAAATAGAAAATTAGTTGCTGGGCATGAGCAGGAAGTGAAAAAAGTCGAGAATCTTGTGAGGAAAATTTGTAGTGTCGAGAAGCTTATGAGTCAGCAAGAACAAGAAATGTTGATTAAAAAGAATGAAATTGTAACTGCTGAGAAGGAAAGAGACTTGATTAAGAAGTCAAGTGATGACGTGAAGCGTGAAAATGATAAATTAAGTCAGAAGATTGAGCAGTTATTGAGGGAAATTGAGCGGTTGAATAGTAAGTACTGGGGGGCCTCGATTTGAGTAGTTGTTTTGTTCCGAAAAATTTCTACTCAAATCGAGGCAAAGAATCCATACAAAATCACATGTTTTGTTCCAGAGTCCAAAAAAAGTATCAAAACAATGAAAATTTTGCGAATTTTCCCTCGTTGCTTGACTTTTCTTTTGTGTTTTAGATAACTTACTTTATTTCAACGCATATTCATATGTAATTTTAACAGATATTCACAAAAAATATGTTTTTAAACAAAACAAAAATATGAGAACCTTGCAAATGTTATTTCACCGAACAATTTGCAAAATTTACCTTAGATCTGAAACTTTTTTAAACAGTAACAATGATCTTATTTATCCACTAAATTAAGTTTTGCTGATCTAGATTCAGTTCAACTCAATGATGTAATCTCCAAATTTTATTATGTTAATACGAGTATGATATCCCGTAATCAATTCCGGGCAGACTTTAGTACTTTCTGTTAAGTATAGTTTTGTTTTTTGATCTTTTAATATTATAAAGTTAGTAAACACACAATTATGCTATCTCGAAATTGCGGTACAGAAAATTTTCGCGATCGGGATTAAAATTTTTCGGTCAGCGTTTACTGATACAACATCAAAAATGTAAAAATTGTAAAATAAGCTCGCCTCTTTTTGGTGTGGAAGTCCACGTTATATACCATTGGAAAGGGTATTAAGAAAACTTTAAACAATAAAGTTTTATAGTTTTTGATTATTCTATAACGCTGAAACATTAGATCTCAAAAACTTTTTTTAAAAAAGTCGCCATTTTTTTCCCCATTTAAATTTCTAATCATTTCTAAATGCATCGTTTTAAGTGTTTATCCCAGAGATCGAAGCCGATTTTTTCGGCTTAACTCAATTTTTGATTTTTTTATCCCCATAAAAGCCAAAAAGTCAATAATTTAACCATAGCCGTCATTATCACCGAGGTCACTACTAGCTTTACTAGGTTTGTCGAATGAAAAACCTAGTTTGAAGAATTTTTTAAGGAAGTATGCATCGTTTGATAGATTTTGGGGCTAATATACAATTATTTTGATTAGAACACAAAGTAAATCAATCAAATATAGCATTTAAAAGACATTTTAAATTGATTTTTACAAATTTTTGACTAGTGCACTAGATTTTGTTGATAAAAAAAAATCATTTTTTGACGTTTTAAGACTAGTTCATTACTTTAGCTAATTTTTATATGAATATTCTGAACTTAAAATGTAAAGATTTTTGGGGACATTATTATTTTCAATGCTAGTCAAAATCCCAAACCTGGGATTAATGGGATTATTGGGATCATTTGAGATTATTGGGATTAATCCCAGTGTCCACGCCTTGACAATTTGTAAGGTTTTTGAATTTGAACTTTTTAAACCCTTTAATTTTATATCGATTTTGTAAGTTTTTACTTAAATTTTGTAACTTTAGTATCGATTTTTCTATCAATATGCTAAGATCACGCTTATTGCAGTAATATTTAGGGTAAATACTTTTGAAATTTGCACAATTTTGCACATGAAAATTTCATTTGCTTGAAACTTTTCAACTGACTGTTGTTAAGGTTTAGCAGTTTTTTCAAACTTTTGGAAATTGTGGAAATTTTCATCTCCAATCTTCTTTTTAAAGCTACAATGCTTATCAGCAGAGATATAAGCGTTTTGTTTTTGAATTTTGAAATTTGTATGGAAATTTTTGAAATTTGCACAAAAAACTTTTAAAATTTGCACACTTTTTTGACAGCAATCCATGACATTTTTGAATCAAATTTGTGTAAACAAACAATTTGTTTACAATTTCTGGGAGAAAAAATAATCCTTTTAATCAAGAAATATCCTCAACTTCGAACAAAAGCATAATAGTTGTGTTTTCGTAACACTCCCGAGTGAACAAAGTACTAGTTAAAAGCTTGCCATTGACTTGTCTGTTCATGGCTGAAATTTAATTAATGTCCAGTTCCAAAAAATTCAAAATAAAATAAATAACACGTGTCTTTTTCTCCATTTTTTTTTCTTTTGTAAAATTTTATTATTGTATTAGTGTGATTAATTAATTTAAGTACACTAACACTTATGAAAAATCTCTAGAAAACATTGAGTCTCGAATATTTGCGCGTGAAACATTTATATTTGCTTAAAATTTTCATACAAATTTTGGTAGACGTTATATAAGTGATTTCTGCAAGCGCTTGTGAAGTATATGGTCAAAAAAGTAAGGAAAATTATTTTTGAGTTTCGAGCACATGATTGATTAGCATGAATGTCCAGTTAAAGTCTAGTTAACGTCTAGTTCTCTATGTCGTATATATTTCGGCAAGTTAAAAGACTGTTAAATAATTGTCCAATAATGGACTTTAACTGGCTTTGTCCACCCGGGACTGTCGTCAAATATTTTCAAGAAAAATTATTCAAGAATCAATCTAATGCTTTATTTTAGAAAACCAAACATGAATAATTATCAAACCAGCACATGCTGCTTTTATTGATATGATGTATAGTATAAATTTTTACTTTCTTGATGTCCCTTCTCATTAAATTCTTAACAGCTGATGTTTCTTGAATATTTTCTATAATTTTGAGAAAGCACGATTCACCATTGTGTTCATCTCAGACTTAAAACATTAAATTAAAGAAAAATCAATGTTTACATCAAATTTCGCAATATCTCCTAAGCTTCAACGTGTGCAAATTTCAAAAGTTTTGACGAATTTTTGTGCAAATTTCAAAAGTGAAAAACAAGCCATTGCAAAGTTGAACTTTTGAGCACTTCCGCTCATTCTTTCACAAAAGAAACACTGCAATTATTTAAAGCAAGTTAAAAGCTTCATTTTTGGATATAAATTTTTTTATTTAATCTACCGAATGTATCCCAAAACTTTATTTTTTTCAAAGTTTCGTTTTGTATGAGAAATTGATTCCTGGAGGAATTCATTTTCCTGGTGCCTTTTAACAATTCAAAAAGGTACAAAAACATTTGTACTATAGTTATACAAAGATTTTGTAACGAAAGTATTGTTAGAAGTTGATATTTTAAGAGAAATTTGTATTTTTTATTTTCATACGAGTGTGCAAATTTCAAAAGTGTGCAAATTTCAAAAGTATTTACCCTATGTTTTAAAAATATTTTCTGAAATGTTTTTATCAAAAATATTTGTTTTGTAAATAATTCAAATCAAAGAAAAAAGGAAGTAATCTACTCAAATCGAATATTTTGGTGGGTAAAAAATTTTCTGTTCAAATCGAATATACTCAAATAGAATCTACTGAAATCGAGGAACCCCAGTAATGTTAAAGAATCTTGTTAAGGTCAACGTTTAAATTTAAAACCTTATAATTTAAGCTTAAAAACTTACAAATTTTCTCGAAAAACATAAAAATTTTGAATTTCGTGAACCTTACAATTCAAATAATTTTAACAACTCAAGCTCGAATGTTTAAGAACTATAATAATTATTTTTGAAATTCCAATTTTGATCCAGTCAATTATGTTTGCTTATTCCTCCTCATTAACTCATTTTAACGATGATACATACTGCCACATTGTAAACATCTTCATTGAATTATGTTTTCCATACAAAACCTTAATTACAAAATTAAATGAGAATCTTTTGACAAGTTTCACACAATTCTTTCCAGCATCACTTTTGACACTAAAGCAAGAGAAACACAAGCTTGAAGAAGAGCAACTGCTCATCAATAATGATTTAAAAGTATCAATAGAACGTGAGAAAAAATCGAGTGGAAATGTGAAGAAACTACAAGCAAATATTGAAACAGTTGAGGCTGAAAAAATGTATCTGACTGAATCAATTAAGCAATTAAATGAAGATGCAGAATTCAGAAAGAAACAATATGAACAAATTAAATCAGAATTGGATGAATCGAATGAGCAAGTTTCATATTTTAAGCATGAATATAATGTTGCATTAAAACATCTTAAAGAAGTCCGTTCTGACTATCAACGATGTCATGAAAAGGAATCAGACATGATTGATCGAATAACAAGATGTAAGAATCAAGTTGATGATCTTAATAATAAAATGACATTAAAATTGACTGAAATTTTGGCATTAATGAAGAAAATTAAACAATTGGAAAGAAAGAATCGCGACATTCGACGAGAATTGGAGAAATCTAATGGAATTTTAAAGTCATGTCGTGTAGAATTGAAAAATTTCGAACATGACAATAGCTTGTTAAAAGAAGAAATTCATCAGAATCATGAAAGATTTATCAAAATGAAAACTCAAGCTGATAAAATTGTCCGTGAACGAGATTTAATTGCCACACAAATGTATCGAAAGAATGATGAAAATGCATTGCTGGAAGAACAAGTGTCAATGCTGAAAATGTCAATAGAGCGTGGAAATTCAATGTATAATGAACGATTAGAGGACATAAAAGTAATGAAAAATGAGATCCAAAGTTTACGGTCACAATGTAATGTGCTTAAACGTGGACTTGAAAATACTACTGATATGAGACATGAAGTGCTGCAATTGCATCGAAAATTGAATCAAGAACGAACAAAAGCTAAGGTTCTGGAAGATGAAATGAAGACGCCAATGAATGTCCATCGATGGAGGAAATTATGTCATCGAGATCCAGGTCGAATGGAATTGTTGAGGAAGTGCCAAAGATTACAAAGGAACTACTTAAAAGAGTCCACCAGAGTTTTAAAATCTGAAGAATTGATAAAAGTTCTGCAAGATCAGATTTCAAGTTTGAAGAAGAAACTTTCGAGATGTCCAAATCAAGATGTTTCTGAAAAGCTTTTGTTTACTAGGGTAAGTGCTGGAGCAGCCTTAAAATTCTTTATTCTTTAATAAACATCATAAATGAACGACCCCTAACAAGTATTTCCATATTTATAGTCTAAATTACAAGAAAATACAAAACGAATGAAAGCAGCAATTGCCATATCTCGAGCAACGGAATGTGAAGTTTATAAAAAAGATAAAGAAATTGCTGAGACACAAAAAGAACTGAATGTTATTAAGTGTCAGCTGTTCAAAGAGGTAAGCATTTGTTTTTAATGGTTTTTAAGAATTCGAATTTCGAAAGGGTGTGAAAATAAGAAATTTGAATTTTGCAAGTTCTCTAATAAATCAAATCGAACTTAATAAGTCATTTAGTCAAAATAATTGAAAGCTAGATTTTTTTAATGCAAAAAAAAATCTTTATTATATCACGCATGTCTAGCTGCACGATTTAATTATTTTGACTTTCTCACGTTTTATGCAGCAACAAAGCTGCACATACATTGCATGCGTATTTTCCCATTATTAAATATTCTTATAATAAAATTCATCTTCATCGTGTGTAATGTGCAATTAATTGTACACTTTTTTCTTTTATCTATAAAACATAAAAGCTGAATGAATTAATGAAGGAAATATGCAGCAACATGAATTTAACATTAATTAATTACAATTCATTTAATATCTTTCCCAGAAACGAACGAAGCAGAAGTTGATACAAAAACTGAACGAGTCGAGGAAAAATTCGGAAAATCTTGAGTTTGAAAAGGAAGTGAATGAAAAGCTGAAAACTCTTGGGAATGCATTGAAGCGAAGTTTGTTGACTTAGTTTTGTTGCACAACCTGTGAAATTTGATTTCTTCTGTTTTAAAATTCAAATTATTGAAGCTGTTTGACTGGTTTTGTTGATTTTCCCCATTTTTTGCACAAAATTTTAAGTTTAATAAATTCTTCTGTTTTTGGATGATACCATAAAGTCTTTATTGACATTGCGTTTGGTTTTTACGCTGTCCACAGAATTTTTACACAACAGAATGTGCGAAGTCATCAACAATCGGAATTTTCCAATCTTATCTTATTTTTTTGACATTATTTGAAAATTCTTTGGTAAAAACCACAGAAAATATTGTTTTGAGCTGTATTTTAATTTGGGAAATACGCTCACATCCAGTTTTTTTTGTTCTCATGTAGAAATGATTCACCAAAGACTTAAAAACAGCAACATTTTTGACTTGCAATGACTTCACCCAAATGTACATTATCATTTAATAAGAAGAATCTTAAGAACGAAAAATTGCAGCAATAAACATTTTTCAAGGAATTGATGTAAAAAATTAAACATTCAAAAAAACTGGTTGCGAGACAATAAATTTAAAATTCACAAAAAATACTCTCAGCTTCTTCTTCAAACTCGTGCGATTACGTCACTCGAGTTCTTGTAAAGACAAATTCTCACAGAAGGTTGATTAGGCAATTAACAATGTTAAATATTTAAACATGTTTTACGTCTAAGAGACTTTTTGTCAGACTTTTAAGAAGAATTGTCAAAATTAGTCTTGCGCCTTTTTGTCTACAGTTGTCAACTGTTTAGAATATACTTTGAGATTTACGCTTTACCAATAGTGTTAAATGAATGAATTTTATTCGCAGATAGATGATTTTAATGGTAAACGATTGCTGTGCTATAGCTGAATTAAGAACACTCAATCATCTGACAATGATTTAAGCATATATTGAAGCAAAGATTTCAAATCAGAATTATTGAAACGAAATTAAAATTTTCTCAGTCACCATTGAATTTTCAATAGTTTACAATTTTCTTCAGTTTATTTTGAATCGTTGAAGTACAGTTTAAATTAATATAATTCTGTCATTGTTGAATGGAAAGCTTCCAAATAGTTTCTTTTCTATATGATTTAAATTAAAAATACAGTTCGTAAACCAAAGAAGAAAACCAGGACACAATTAAAGATAGAAGAGAGCCTGACATAAAGGAGTAAAAAGATAAGTTTATTTTAAACAAATTGGGATCTTTAGTTCATATTTCTTGAATAGAACCAGCCATTAGACTTACAATTGCTTCCATAAAATTAAAAAACATTAAGTTTAATTATTGTCTCGATCCAAATCAAAAAACCTTACTAGATTTCATATCCTGACCTAATCTTTGCCATCAACTTAACCTAACCTCATTAAGTTCTTCACCACAACTATTAAGTCGATCATATAAAGAACTATCTAGTTACGCGTAGTAAAATGCAATTTTCAATGACAAATCTAATGAAAACATTCAAGTTAGTCTTTAATTACTTTATGATAGGCACTTAAATTGAACCTTTATCAATGATTCATTTCCATAAATATAGTAATATTATCGACTTTGCATTGAGTTGTGAGTGTCAATTTATTTCTTTATTCCGACTTCCAATAAAGATTAATAATAGGCTTCCTATATTGATTTTAAAAGAAAATAAAAAGCAGCAAAACGATGCATTCAGAGCTGAGATGGTTAAAATTAGAAATGAGTGAGAGCCAAAGAGCTAATAACCACTTTCTAACACTCTTTTTTTGGTAAATTGAAAATGAAATCATATTTTTTTATCTCAAATCATTTTTAATTTATTCGCATTTCACATTAACTGATCATCATGCACCTTGCATTGCCAAAAATAACATAACATAAGTGTGTGCGTAAATTCCGGAAGGTAAATAATAATTCAAAGAACGCGCAGTACCGGATAAAAAAGATGTCAAATCACGCTGAAATAGCTAAGAGACATTATGATCAAGCAGATGACTTCAGCAAATCAGCAATTGTTAACATTGAGTACAAAAAAAAATAAACTCGTTTGTTTTGGTGTGAAACTACAAATACAGGTAAAAGCTGCTGTGAAGAGGATGAGAAGAATTGAGAGTTTCTTTTCTTAGACGATAATACAAGTATTGTTGATAAGTGATGTGACATTGGCTTTTGACTAGCATTCAATCTACTCATAAATCGATCATTACGGTTTTTCAAATTTAAATAGTCACAAAATTTTTAAAAAATTAACAAGTTTTGAAAATTTAAAGGTTTTAAAAATTTCAAAATAACAACTCAAAAATTTGCAACAAAACCCAGAACAGCAAGTGCGAAAGAAGCTAAAATAGCTTCACATTTTTGTTACCTTAACGATAAAAAGTCCGCAAAACAGAATTATTTTATCTCTCATTCTCTTATTTCTCATTATTTTCTGCTGCCAGCTCTTCTGTGGCTTCATTTTCTTCTACCTTCTTTAGTCGTATTCGGTTTTCGATTGCGCAAGCACCTTTTGCGCTCATCGTCTTATTATTTTAAATATATAGGTTCTCTTCACATGTATTGTAGATCTGTGTGAATCTATCTCTCAGCTCTCAGTCAGTCATATTCTCGGATATAAAAAAAATATTAAAAATAATTTACGATTTTGTCAAAGCTAAAAGTACTTGACTAATTCAAGTAGCAACTTGTTGCACACCTTAGAGTGCATGCATGCCATGAAAACTTATTAAGCTATCAGTTGACGCTTAACTGTCGATTAAATCAGTTTTAAATCAAACTTTGAAAGTGAATTTTTTTTATTTGTTATAAAAACTAAAGTTTGGAGTGAAGAGCTTAAGCGTGAGTCGCTTGTGTATGTGATAATATCCGGAACTCAAAAAATAGATTTTTGTGTAAAGATCACCAATTGCTCATCTTTAAAATTTTAATATCTGTGCTGTGTATTAAATAACATCAAGCATCTTGTGAATGGAATATAGCCGAGGACTTTAAGTTTGAAAAATAAATAATTGCTTTGCACAGCATCAAGTGAGACGAGGAAGTTAATAAAAAATATCAAACAGAAATCTTTTTTGAGTGTGTGACTTGTGAATATTTGAGGAATAAAGTCTTAATTAACATAACAAGAATCATGGATGCAGAAAATCAACATCAAATTCAAAGACCAAAAGTCAAGAAAATGTTTAGTTGGTCCGATGACGCGCCAACAATTCCTGTCGAGTAAGTACTTTTCTGTATCTTGTTAATGCTACTTTATATGCGAAAAATGTTGAATTATGTGATTTGTTTTGATTTCTAACATTCATGGATCATTTGATGATCATCTTTTCAATTGGATGAGAAGTTTAATGAACGTTTTGACTGGTCAAGAACCCTACAAATTGGTTTGTTTGAATCAGAGTTCAAATTGCAAACAGATTTTGCTATAAAATGTGATTTGCTATCAAATTGAGCAATCCAAAAGGGGTGTAAAAATACACAATTTTGCTATAAAATGACAAATTTGAGGGGAAAATTATTAAACAAATTCAAATTTACTACTACGGTTATGAATTTGAATTTTAAAAGCACAGCTATGAATTTTAAACTTAAAAAGTCGTTACAAATATTTTTTTTTCAAATTTTAAATGACTGTTAAAAACTTAATTTTTTTTAAAAATCCATTAAAAAGAAGTTAATATAAAATTGACAGACTTCATCATTAGAACAATTTTTAATGATTCACACGTTTCATTAATTTACACAATGCGATACACTGGATTAATAAAAATCACAGCAGTATCATTCTTTATTTTTGGATGATCATTCTTCACACAACAAAAGAGGTTTACGTCAATTGTGCCACAAGTTGTTGAAAAGAAAAAGAAGCACATTTAGAACGTATGTAAACACATCTTCCAGCTCATGATTACTAGTCACTTATTACGTCAATAAGTAAACTTGACTATGAAGTTTTTCCTTCATAATTTTTATTCATATTGTTTATTAACAGACATGAACAGAAACATATTTTTAATATTAATTTTAATTGTATAGGAAGAGAGAAGAAAAAAAAAGTGAAATTCGCTTCACTATTTTACCGTAAATTGTCTATAGATATTTTTTTTATTTGGAATTATTGCGTACATGCACGAAAAAAATTTCTTTGCTATACTATGTTTCAAGAGAAAAACGGAAAATTTACTTTGAAAATTTTTTCATAATTTTTTAACAACGACTATGAAGTAATTATTGATTATGGTATGAAAGAATCAATGATCCCGAAAGGCACAGTGTGCCAAGTTCTTGGCACAATCCTGGCACACGCCAGCAACCGATCAAAATTTGTGCCGCATCGATGTTTCGGCTTGGTGCCAGCACAAATTTTAGCATCGAGATGGCTTCACACTGGCACCGAAAAAAAACTGTGCCAACTTAAAATATTTTCGTCAATCTAGCACCGTTTTAATTTTGTACCAGCACCACACCGCCATAAGTTTTATTTTTGTTCAACATACATGCTTGCACAGATTTGTAAAACCTGCCGTCGTGGAGATATTACCATGCCAGCAGAAAAAATTTTAAATATCTTTTTCTTAAAGTTTTAAATCAGTTTTTAATTTCATAAAAAAACTTTTAAACCATTTAAAGTGATTTGGTATTTATTTGCCTTTATAAATAAATAAACAATTACATCCCAACTACAAAGTAAGTTTTGTGATTTGATGTACAAAAAAGGAATGCATAATAAAAGGCAAAGAAAGTCAAGCAAAATTTTTTTTTAAGTTTTTTTGTGTTTTTTGCTAGTTTTGGGACATCATTATTTTATTGGACGCTTCGTCAATCATTATTAAGGACCTCAATCATCAAGTACACAGTAAGTAGAGTGTATAAGGACTTAAAATCAATAAAAAAATAAATCACATTTAATCGCGGCGTCGATGTGGCATATTCGTTGATTCTAATCTACTTCTGCGCCGCAAAAATATGCAAAGTCGCACAAAAATTTTATATAAGTTTCTTTGTGTTCTGTTGCTAGTTTTGGGACATCATTATTTTATTGGACGCTTCGTTAATCATTATTAAGGACCTCAATCATCAAGTACACAGTAAGTAGAGTGTATAAGGACTTAAAATCAATAAAAAAATAAATCACATTTAATCGCGGCGTCGATGTGGCACATTCGTTGATTCTAATCTACTTCTGCGCCGCAAAAATATGCAAAGTCGCACAAAAATTTTATATAAGTTTCTTTGTGTTCTGTTGCTAGTTTTGGGACATCATTATTTTATTGGACGCTTCGTTAATCATTATTAAGGACCTCAATCATCAAGTACACAGTAAGTAGAGTGTATAAGGACTTAAAATCAAATAAAAAAAATTCACATTTAATCGCGGCATTGATATGGCACGCTTGACAATTACAAGTCAGTTCAACGCCGCAAAATCATAAAAAGTCGCACGAAATATTAATATAAGTTTATTTGTGTTCTGTTGCTAGTTTTGGGACATCATTACACTATCGGACGTCTCGTCAATGATTGCGGAGGACTTTAAGCATCAAGTACAAAGTAAGTAGAGTGAATAATGCGCGAAAATTTGTAAAATAAAATTCAATTTTAATTGCGTCGTCGATTTAGCACGTCTGTTGATTCGATGCCACTTCTGCGATGAAAAAATATTGAAGTCACACTAATTTTTCGTATAAGTTTTTTTGTTTTGGTTTGCAGATTTTTGGACATCAATAGAATATTAAACTTCTCACCGGCAATTTTGATTTCAACTATCATCAAGTTCACAATTAGAAGAATCCAGAAGAATGTTTAAGTGCCAAAATTTGTAAAAAAAATATTTGAATTTAATTGCGGCTTCGATGTAGCATGCACTTATATTTCATTTAGATTTCGTTCAAATTCTCTAAATTCTATGCAAAGATCATTTTTAATTTTAAAGATATTTGCCAAATGAACGAGAGAATCCCAAAATTGGCTCACAAAAGTCCATGATGATCTAAGCAATACGACAACTACATGACATAATTCTTTTTCTTTCTATTTTCTAATTTCAAATAGAACTTTCTGACTACTCATGGGCCTCAAACTGAAACCACGAAATGAAACCTTTCATTGATAGTGATCACTATTTAAAAAATCACTCACGAGTTTTAATGGACATGTAAGTTGATTCTTAAAGAACTCTTTTAAATTTAAATAAATAAAATGTTCTTTAATTTACAGGGTCGAAGCAAGTTTGAAATTTTACTCAGGCAGCTTTCATAATTAAACATCAGAAACCTCGATTTTTAAACTGAATGCACAAAATTGGAATAATAGACAGTAAAAAACAAAAAAGGAGTAAATGAAAGATAAAAATCATGGATAAATCTAAACTATCAAAAGGAAAAAAAACATAAGATAAAAAAATTAAATGATAAAGGCAAAAAAACGCACCTACATAAATTTTAAATTAATAAAAATTAAAATTTTATCGAACACAATTTTTTGTATGATTTTGGCACAGTTTTTATTTTTCAGGCAGCATAAAGTCGGCTCCAAGCCGGCACCATATCAGATTCTGTGCTTTTTTATATATACAAACCGGCATAACGATAGCGTGGAGAAAGATCCACGCTGTCATGGTTTAGGAAATAACGATAGTGTGGTGCTGGCTTAGCGTCAAATCTACGCGGCATGGTTTTTAAATTACGCTAGCACCATGCCAGAAATTCCATTGTTCTTTTGGCGCACAATCCGGCATGAGTGCCAGCACCAACCTGGATTGGTGCTAAATTTGTTTAACGGTGAAAGCATGGTGCTAGCACCATGCCAAAAATTTGTGCTGGCGTGAAAATCCATGCCATGTGTATGCCGTCTCTGTGCTGGCCCCGTGCCAGTAGTGTGCCTTTCGGGGATGTTTGTGTTATGCAAAGCTTGATACTTTATCGGCAATAAATGGTGTTTGAAGTATCTAAGAATTTTAAATTTGCGTATTATTAACGAGACATGTTGACATCGATGATAAAATGACTGCCGCAAGCTGTTGATTACATTGAATAATGAGTGATTAGAATATTGATTTTTTTGGAATTTTAAAAAATAACGATCTTTTTTAGTTTTAATTTTTTTTGTAAAAATTCAAAATTAAAAAGTTCGTTAAGTTTTAATTAAAAAAATAACCATCATTTAAGCACTATTTTAAAATAGAAGTGTCACCAGGATGCAAGTCCTTTCGTTAATAATTTGACGTCATTTATAAACGATCTCATAAACAAATATTAAGTCAAAAATAACCAGACACAAAAGAATTAAATTCGCAAACTTAAACTTGTTGTGTCAAAAATCCCCAAAAAATATTCTAGAATATTCTCAAAAAAGGTCATGTCCGAGCAGCAGTTGCCATACAGTAAGCACTATTTTTTAAGGTCAAAGACGTTCCACAATTTCTCTTCTTGAGTTGCTGCACATGAACATGCGTCACTGTTTTACATAAAAATTAAGCACCATGACAAAGACAGTAGAATTAAAAAATATTTTTAAGCACATCATCTAATGAATAAATGCCATTGTTCTGATAATGATCGACCTCCGACAGAATATTTGCAATAGTAATCATCACTTGCGCTAGTGTTCCTATGTACTTTGATAAAAAAAAACAATTGGTGACGATCTTGAGAATTCAATTGAATACAAGTGCCTGAAAATGGGAATTTTTTAAGGTCTTGTTCCATGCTCACTTCAGACTCTTATTTCTCTCTTTCAGCAACTGTTGTTGCTTTTGAGCATAGGAAAACATCAAAAGAATTTATTGTATTGGATATACCGAGAGAAAAGAAGTTACGAATAAAGAAGTAATGCGAACATATTCAAAGCCAAAGAAAGTGTGTCATAAGAAAAATAAAATGCAAGAAGTAAAAAAAATAAAAATAAGAGAAAGAGAGAAGTGAGAAGAAAGCAATCAAAACAAAACTATTTTTGAGAGATGTTGACTGGACTGACTTGATTCCTCTGATTTTTGTTACAATTTTTTGGATTTTTCTGACTAGATTCGTGTATTCTTAATCAATTTGTATGTGATTGCTTTTCTGTTGCTGATTAACAGCAATTGTTGCATGGTCAAAGCTGACTCAGTTATCTGGTTTACAGATGGTGCGAAAAACAGCGAAGGTGTAGGAGCTGGAGTTTATTGCACCAACTCTCAATTAGAACTTAATTTCAGTATCACAGAACATTCAAGCAGAACT